CCCCAACCCCAACCCCAATTAGATGGTCATACTAGTTGTATTAACTCAGTCTGTTTCTCTCCTGATGGAAATACATTAGCTTCTAGTAGTAGTGATTAGTCTATCCGTCTATGGGATGTTAAGACAGGATAAGAAATTAAATCCTCTGATAAAAACTACAAAGATATTCTTGCATAATTAAAAATTCCACTCTAATAACAGAGCCATATTTCGGAAGGTAGTATTTATCATAATCATATTTATAGCCTCCAATTATATCACTACACTACTTATATCCCAAGAAGCAATATTTCAAGCCAAAGGAGCTTTAATTCTGAAAGGAGAGTTTATAAATCAATCCGGTATAGATTTAAAGACATTGTTTAAATAAAAAGGAAGTTGCTTTTTATAAGACTTATAGAAAAAGTGATTTTGATCATTATCAAACAGCAATTATAAATACAATCAATATCTAATATTTTTTTTTCATTCTGTCTTTATTTGTTTCAAATTTAATCTTCACTTTTAAAGCTAGATAAGTTCTTATTTTTCAAAGATATATTCTATTTAAGTTATATATAGGCAATTATTTTAGAGATGTCATAATAACTGTTATCAATTAATATATTTATAGAGATTAAATTATAAATGATACTGCATGAAATTAATAATCTAAACAAAGATCGTAATAATTACATAAAGAAAACTTAATTAACACAACATTCTTTTATAAAACATCTACGATATAATATTATAGATTTACTAAATTTTTTACTATTTACAAAAGAGATTAGTCTTAACAACATAATTAATAATTTTGTAATATTATTTCGTAAATAGTAAAAGATATTTTTTATAACAAAAGATAAGGAAAAAGATACATCAAGAATATATTTAAAAAATAAACTTAACATTAGAATGATAAAGTGAAAACTATTAGATTGGATGATATTTCATATTGAAATTAATCACCTTTGATTATTATTCTTCAATTGATATTAAAAGTGTTAGATTTTATAAAGGAATGAAAAGATAAATTAATCATTTGAATTATGATATTATTGTAAGGATTAAGATTTTTGGAGAAAATTATATCTTCTCTAACTTGAAATTTTACATACATCAAATAATTAATATTTTTAAATCACGTATAACCATTTTTAAATTTCAAAAGGAATTTCACGAAATTAATTAATATCTAAACCAATAATAAAATCCCTCACTAATCAACTGGTTAAATTTTACAATTAAATTAATCAATTATCCATAATTTATAATAAATAAAAAGCAAATCTAATATAAAAATTGAAGGGATAGATGAATAAGAGTAAAACATACATATTCACAATAATAAATCTTAAAAAAAACCAAAATTTTCTTCTTCTCAGAAAAAATGAGATTAACCCCTATAATGAAATTGAATGATAAATTTTTAGAATTAATTAAAATATATTCAAAGTACAAAATTAATGATTGAATTCATTACCCTCAAGTAAATTTATGTAAATATTATCTTATATTAAAACATAAGTATTCACAAATATACAATTTAATTATAAATATAAGAAATAAAGTTTATAGAAATAATATAAAATAGACGATTTAAAGTTACATAATTAAATTAAATTTAATTACTTATTATATGAAGAAGTCTCTTTAACCTTAAAATTACCTTTTTGGATAAGGTTAGAATGGTATTAATAGACCCATTTTCATCACTTAATGTTAAATGGTTGTTATGAAAAAGAACAACAATCTCTTTATTGAAAAGAATGATTATTTAGGTTTTAAGAAATGGATAAATAGCATCAGGAGAGAAAAAGAATGAGAAACATTAATTAAAATAAAATCCTCGTTAATGTTTAGAAATTATTAATAAAGATTTTATTTANAAGTTCTTATTTTTCAAAGATATATTCTATTTAAGTTATATATAGGCAATTATTTTAGAGATGTCATAATAACTGTTATCAATTAATATATTTATAGAGATTAAATTATAAATGATACTGCATGAAATTAATAATCTAAACAAAGATCGTAATAATTACATAAAGAAAACTTAATTAACACAACATTCTTTTATAAAACATCTACGATATAATATTATAGATTTACTAAATTTTTTACTATTTACAAAAGAGATTAGTCTTAACAACATAATTAATAATTTTGTAATATTATTTCGTAAATAGTAAAAGATATTTTTTATAACAAAAGATAAGGAAAAAGATACATCAAGAATATATTTAAAAAATAAACTTAACATTAGAATGATAAAGTGAAAACTATTAGATTGGATGATATTTCATATTGAAATTAATCACCTTTGATTATTATTCTTCAATTGATATTAAAAGTGTTAGATTTTATAAAGGAATGAAAAGATAAATTAATCATTTGAATTATGATATTATTGTAAGGATTAAGATTTTTGGAGAAAATTATATCTTCTCTAACTTGAAATTTTACATACATCAAATAATTAATATTTTTAAATCACGTATAACCATTTTTAAATTTCAAAAGGAATTTCACGAAATTAATTAATATCTAAACCAATAATAAAATCCCTCACTAATCAACTGGTTAAATTTTACAATTAAATTAATCAATTATCCATAATTTATAATAAATAAAAAGCAAATCTAATATAAAAATTGAAGGGATAGATGAATAAGAGTAAAACATACATATTCACAATAATAAATCTTAAAAAAAACCAAAATTTTCTTCTTCTCAGAAAAAATGAGATTAACCCCTATAATGAAATTGAATGATAAATTTTTAGAATTAATTAAAATATATTCAAAGTACAAAATTAATGATTGAATTCATTACCCTCAAGTAAATTTATGTAAATATTATCTTATATTAAAACATAAGTATTCACAAATATACAATTTAATTATAAATATAAGAAATAAAGTTTATAGAAATAATATAAAATAGACGATTTAAAGTTACATAATTAAATTAAATTTAATTACTTATTATATGAAGAAGTCTCTTTAACCTTAAAATTACCTTTTTGGATAAGGTTAGAATGGTATTAATAGACCCATTTTCATCACTTAATGTTAAATGGTTGTTATGAAAAAGAACAACAATCTCTTTATTGAAAAGAATGATTATTTAGGTTTTAAGAAATGGATAAATAGCATCAGGAGAGAAAAAGAATGAGAAACATTAATTAAAATAAAATCCTCGTTAATGTTTAGAAATTATTAATAAAGATTTTATTTATTTCAATAGCATTAATTAAAATATGGATTGCAGGAAATTAATGATTCAGAATTGGTTTGTAGTGAAATAATGCTTTTATTTTTTCTAGGAAGAACCTTTAAGAATTTCTAAAATAACGAATTATATTATGAAACCTAAAAAATAGTGAACTCTATTATTATTTACTCTACATGGTTTGCTTAATTATTATTAAATTTATTTGTTCAGGTCTTTTAAATAAACCTATCAATATTTTTTCAAATAAACAGTAAATGAGAAGAAATTTTTGAACTATTTATTAATTTAAACCATAAAAAAAAGCAGGTTTGCAAAATTAATTAGATTTGTAAATTCAAAACCCAAATATTATTATTCCAGAACTTTTACAATAAACATTAAAATGCACATCTTCCCTTGAGAAGCTAGTCTCAACGGGGCTTAAAAGGTTGCCCTATCTGCGATTCTTTAAATCTCACTCTCTTGCTTTCTTTCTTATTTTTTTGAGTGCCATCGTCAGCATTAGTCCCAAAGTGCTATAGAATAATATTAGCTTTCTTTGGGATCAGAAAGGACGGCCTCTCAGATGACCCAAATTTAGAACTCATCAGAAATGAAAGTTAATTTTCCTTTTCCAATATTAATAAAGATAGATAAATATGAACATCAAGACCACTAATATAATTTATATTAATCTAGTTTCTTGGTTTAAAGATATAACTAAAAAAATAATGCTAGTAATAATAATAATTACAATAATAAAATTTTATTGGATTAATATGTCAAATAATAGTGCTTTTACTCTGAATTAAAGAATCAACTAAATGAAAAATTTAAGGAAACTAACTTATGATGGAATCAAACCTATAATGTCACAATTTCATGATAATTCAAGAGAGATATATAAACCTCACCAAAAAAAACATGAGTTCGATTTTTTACAGAAATATGAAAAACCTAGTATAGATATAGTTATATTATTAGTAAATTTTTAATTTAGATAAGATAGAAGAAGTTCTATTAGGACTTCTGTGCATCAGACTAATTTAAATTTTAGACTTTAACCTCGAACATGCAGTATTAAATTACCTAGTTTTCATAATAGAAAAAATGTGAGTAAATCCATACATGAGATATTTTCAACAAATGATCCTTCTATGAATTAAAGTGCATTTAAGATTCATTGATTAACTTCAATCTATGAAATATTATGTTATAAAATAATAATTAAGCAAGAACAAAACTTATTAAAAAGAAGACTAATTATTCATAATCTTCTATGTCTTAATAAATAAAAAGTTTATTTCAACATTGAACACTCCAATTCTTTGCATGAGTTAGATAATTCTAAATTTTAGAGCTTTTAGCTAAATACTCAAATTGATTAAAAGTATGATTTATATACCTATAATTTTACAATCGATATGCTAAGTTAATTAGAAAAGCCTTTGATACCCCAACCCTAATAGTTTAAATTAGACATTGATTCAGAATAAGCTCATTGCATACACATAGATATAAATATATTATTATTCTCAGACAACTAGATTGATCAAATAGGTCATATGAATTAATATATACTCCAAAAATAATAACTATTCCAATTCTGTAAGATAGAAAAATTCTCTATGAATGTTCAGATTTTAGTACATTTAAACAAAGTAACACAAAAATTTGTTGTTGAATAACAAAAAAAAATGTATAATCCATAAAAGTGATAGATGTATCTCATTAGTTAAAATCAATAAGGATGAAGGAAAAGAAAATTATTAATAAACTATTTTAATAGAGGATAAATATGTAAAGAAATAAATGAGGAGATTCAGTAGTAATTTTATAAATTGTTCTTTAAGATGCTGCTAAATTGTTAGATAAATTGCAAAATAAATGATAAAATATTTATTTTTATTTTTGAATGCTATAAACAAAGAACATCTTAAAAATAAAATTTTATCTTTTTATTCAATGAATTAAGATTATCCTCACAATTTTCACAGCAAGTTTATTTTTTATTGATTTGTTTTTCTATAATAACAAGTCAGGTAACATTTTAAAAAAACCAAATAAAATAATTATATACTTGATATTATTATAATTAAACCTTTATTTTTAATTTGTCTTACATTTTGGATTTCGTTTATTACCTAAGTTGAGACAATATGAAAAATCATGTTGTCCTGTTCTTTTCTGGATATAACTGCATTAAAAATGAATGAATATTGGTTACGGCATACTAGTTCACCAAGTAATAATATCTATATGTGAAGTATTATCTTAACAAAATTAAAGCATTTAATAATTTGCAATAGATGGCTATTTCATCCAAAAATTTTTTAATTCCAATCATTAGATGACGATGTGGAGATTATTTAATGACTTAGGAGCTATGTTGCCAGTTTTTCTTAAATATTTTGATAACCTTCTCAAACACTCTTAATTCTGATTATGAATTTGATCCCTCAATTACCATAAATTTTACTAAGAATATCTGATTACAAATAAGAAAAAAAGTGTTTCTTTATTAGTCAGCCAACTAAAATTAAAATTTGTAAATTCGCTCAAGATTTGAAGAAATGAATTTTATTACAACGAACTTAGATTAGAATAACTCAATTGATATAAATTAGCTCATTTATAATATGGCCAAAAGAAATTAACATATTTCATGATCAAGTAAGGAGATTAAGTATAAATGCTATTTCCTTAGAAATTTGCAGATTTACTAATTAATAAAACAAAAATTGATGAATAATTAAATGATCAGGAAAAATTGTATAGATGAAAAAGCGAAGAGTTTTGATACAATTTTTTAAACTTTTGTAATGAAAAGGATTAGTTTTGCTAGAGCATACATACAATTATCCGTAATCAGCTAAATTCAAATATGAAGAAATTAACAACTAAAAATGTACTAAGATGTTCCCTTTATGAAAATGAACAATGATGCCTTTAAGTCGCCTTCTTAAAATCTTTTTAACAAATTATTCTATTTATAATTTTTTTTTTCATGAAATGATTTATCCTAGTTTAAGTATTTAGGATTTTACCAAATAGAATGAATTATCAAAATTAAAAGAGTTGAATAAATTCAAGACTAATCATTTTACTCATGAACTTCGAACTCCTCTTCATAGTGCTACTATATTTTAAAATCAGCCCCAAAATTTGAATTAGAATAAATTATATAGGAATAATATTTATAACCCTTTCTGTGATAATATTGATTGCAGTCTGATAAAAGCAAAATTATTAGATTCGAAATTCAGTTAATTTAAACTTTCAAAAATAATAAACGAAATAACTCAGTAATTGAAATTTAAATTCTAATTTAAATAAATTGGCCTTGCTTTTACACCTTTTTCTCTATTCATTCCAATTACAACAGATTATTAAAGATCATTTTTAAGACTTAACAAATAAAATTAAAATTTGCTTGCTGTTCTTAAAAAAATTTATCTAAGAGAGCATAGAAAGTCTTAATAAAAAAAATTAGAATTTTCATTAAAGGAAGAAGGGATAGGAATAAAAACAATAACTAAATCAAATAAATGCTTTTAGGATATAACTAAATTGAATCTATTGGGAAAGAGTATGAAACAACAGTTTCTTTTATGAGATCTAGAATGAAAAGCATGCCCACATTGAGAATAGTATATACAAAATTAGTCTGTATCAAATCAAATTAAAGGCTCCTAGTAAAATAAAAACAACAGATGTTGAGGAATGCAATTATCTTGTTCCTCAATACGGGATGTTAGAGAATAGGTAAAAGGCTATGAAAAAAAGCGTTGCTCCATTGAAATTCTTAATAAGTGAAGTTCTTCATGATAAAGCCCACAAAAAAAATCTGATTGCCAATATATACATACGATGAGGATCTAGTTAATTTTCTGTCAATGATACTTGTTTTAGTAATTGGTTCTAGTAATAATATTTAAGCTTTGGTGACGAATTTTTTACTCAAAAATCATTGCAATTATTTCTAAGAAAATAAGGTTTTAATTATATTGTACATATAATTATAATGTTAAGCAATGTATTAAATGGGACAGTATTGCTTTATACTAATGGATTGACAAATGCCTATTTTAGATAGTTGGATGACTACAAAAATATGAGAGGAATAATTTAAAGTGGATTAATCTCTACTATCTCTATTTTAAAATTGAAGGCTTTCAGTAGCAAATAAGTCTTTTGAGAAATGAATAGAAACAGGTATGCTTAACATTTTACAGAAGCCTTTTGATATCTAAAAATTTCAATAAATATTAGTTGTACTTTGTATTAGATGATTTATATAAATATTAATAATGATTACAGGCAATCTGTTCAGAAAGGTTTATCTACTGAGATTTAGATTCTCTACTTCATATGCTGAACTAATAGCTTCAAATAAAGCTAATAGAGTGTAAGATGTGGGAAGCTTGAAAGAATTGTTAGATTAAATTTATTAAACTAAGCCATATTTACATTGCATCATATTTAATTAAGTTGGACATCCATAGTACATAATTGATTAACTTAGCTATTAATAAGTAAATGAAATGTACAATGAAATTTCAAATTAATTTATTGGTTTCAAATTCTACAGGATTAATGTGGATAATTTAGATAAGGCAGCTTAGTTTTTTGGAGTCAAAGTAAATTTATTAAGCTATAATTTAGAATATTCCAGCCTCACTAATATATGGCCAAGGCTCGCCATTAGCCAAACATATCGGATTAGGAAAGAAAATTCTCTAAAACAAATTAGAGACATCATAATCACTAACCCATAATACTGAATTTATTCCAGGCACAGAATAATGGGAAGGGCCGTAAGATTTATGGAAAGCCAATTATGAAGATGATTAAGAGCCATTTGATTATTTTGCCCGCTGATTTATAAGTTCATGCATAAAGAAATAAATTTTACCTTTATTATTTTTCATATATTATAAAATTCATTATATTCAGCTTAACTAAATTTTCAGGCTTACATTATTTGAATAATATAAGCTATGATTTTTTATCAAGCACTGTTAGTATAAGGGTAGTATACAAGGTTGCCATCCTTGTGACACGAGTTCGAGTCTCGTACAATGCATTTTTTATTTTAATCAATATCTTATATTAACAACTCATTAAGATGACTTCTAAAAAAAATGATTCACACTTTTACTTTACTTGATTAAATATCTTAAACAATTTCAAAATTACATTTTTTCATAGTTCCAATTCTTACCGAATTTTCAAAAATAAAAATTGTCAAAAGGATTTGATTCAATAATACTTATTCTTATATTCCCTTTGTAATTGGAGAATAGTGTAAATTTTGAATATCTATCATTAAAATATAGGGTTAAGAAAAAAAAAATTTCTTTGTGATTTTTATTTACAAATATTTAATATAGATATCCTTCTACATATCCAATATAAATAATATATTTTAGATTTTGAAGGAAGAAAATGAAAAATTGAATCAGTTCTAAGTAAAAAATAAGGAAAAACCAAAATAATAGAAGTTTTATCAGATTGAGATAAAATTAATAAATGGAATTTAGAAGAAATACATAAAAATAATAATTTACGGGATTTTCATTATGTTGTTATGATTGAATACAAATAAGAAATTAATAAATAATTTCTTTCAGTTATTTTAGGTTGGTTTGAAAAAAATATCGTTTTTGTTTTAGTGATTAATTAATAAATGAAATTAGTATTAGGTTTGGCCATCCTATTGGTATTGAGTAGTTGTGCTTCTTTCTTAGAAGAACAACAATCAATGGAGAATAAAATATATAAGATCAAGTTGGACAGAACTGAATCGTAGGCTAGAAAATCATTATTTGATTTTATTACAACAAGTCAATAATATAGAAAGAGCCCTGATTTGTTAGGTGAAGCAGATTTGGAAATGGCCTAGACCAAATAAAAAGAATCGATAAAATTGTACAATTTTAAGAATACCTAATATACAGGAGAGATTGGTTTAGGTGGTTAAGATAACAAATTCAAGGTATGACTATTTAATAATTTAGGTTATCTTTGACACAGGATCAGCTAACATTTGGTTGAATTCTGCTAGATGTAACGATTATGGATGCAAAAATCATAAATAATATGATGGTTCAAAGAGTCCAACTTATGAACACTTAGGTTACGATTTGGATGTTGAATTTGGTACTGGAGAATTGATGGGAGAAGTATTAAATTGCATAAAATTTAGATTAATGCTGATACTGCTTATGTTGGAGGAGTTAAAATTGCCAAATAAGAATTTGCAGAAATTGTAAGAGAAAATGGAGATGTCTTTGCACAATCAGATTTTGATGGTATTGTTGGATTAGCATATCCAACAATGGCTGCTTATAATTTCAATCCATTATTTGATAACATCATGCAATAGAAATTACTAGACAGAAATGTGTTTTCTTTTTACTTTTCGAGATAAGAGGGTTCTAGATCATCAGAATTAACTTTGGGTGGTTGGGATAATGATCATTTCACTGGAGAATTACATTTTCATAATGTTGTCAACAAATATTATTGGTTATTGGATGCAGATAACATTTTAGTCAATGGAAAAGACGTGGGACTTTGCAAACATGGATGCAAAGTAGTTGCAGATACTGGTACTTCATTATTAACTGGTCCATCAGACGGTTTATATGATTTACTAGGTAGTTTATTATTTTTAATTTAGATACCTTAAATATTGATGAAAATTGCAACAACGTTAAAGATTTACCAAAATTAACATTCGTATTAGATGGTATCAATTATGATTTGGATGCTAATGATTACGTTATGAAAATTGATTCATAAGGAAATGAAGTATATTAAGAATATAATTTAGGTTGCTTATGATACATTTGCAAGTACTGATAGTTTTGTAGAAATGGGAGCAAATTGCCAATGTGTTGGTTCATTCATGCCTTTAGATATCCCATCACCATAAGGACCAGCTTGGATTTTGGGTGATACTTTTCTTAGCAAATATTATTCTGTTTACGATAGAGATAATGATAGAGTTGGTTTTGCTAGATCAAAATGATTAATATTATTATCATTCAAAATGATACATCTTAATAATAATTATTTGTAACAATTGAATAATTCCTGATTATAATATCATCATGCGTACTTAGGACTCTATCCTGGTTTTAGCAATTGACCTACTTATTACTATTGCAATTAAGGTTAAACATTTCCTGTTGATGCTGGATATACTTATTACCATCCAGTAGAATACTATTATGTTGTTGTAGAAACCTATCCAACTCCGGTTTATCCATATGTGGTTGCTGGTAAATAAGCTGAATTCTATGTCACTTAACCATAGGTTGTGATTGGAGCTCCATATGTGGTAGTTGAATAGGATTATGGAATAAATTAGGAATTTGCTACTGGAACTGTCATATATTGGCTCTAAGTAGTTGGTACATATTGGGCAGTTGTTTAAGCATATTGAATAGGTTATGTTGTGGTTTAAGCATATTGAATAGGTTATGTGGTTGTTTAAGCATATTGAATTGGTTATGTATAGGTCTAGGTTTAGGCATATTAAATTGGGGCAGCTACTAAAATTAATTTAAATAAAATTTATTTACCTTAATATTATTAAGTTGTCTGGATTTATTAATAATCAATTGGTGTTTAGATGACACTTTGTTTTGTCACTGCTTGGTACTCTGTTCTCTCTTTTATTGTTTCAACTGGCACATACTCTGTATAAATCATAAACATAATCAATTACCGATATATTTTTCTTATATTACTTAAGGAATGTGTTCAGTCACATATTCCACTGCATAATAGTCAGTAATTTTTCTCTCTCTTGGTACATATTCAACCACCTCTTATGTCACATACTCAGTAACCTCTTTTGTGTACGGAATATATTCTATGCGAGATTCACCTTTAATTGCCTATTTGATTATTATTTAAGGACTACATTTCCTTATGTAACAACTGGTGCACTTGATTGAATCAATTGTTATTAAGCATACATTGGCTACTACAAATATTATGGATTTGAAATTAATCCTGTTTGTTAAAGTGGAATTGGTTAGCCCAATACTCCTGGTTGAATTTAAGAATTTGCAGGAACCCAACTTGGTTATGCCAAATATGTTTCTGGAACCTATTATTAAGTAGTAGGAGGTAATTATGATGGTGTTGCCTTCTGAGCAGGAAGTTATGATGGACGAGGATTATTCATTAAATCTTAATAAATTTATTTTAATTATGCAGCAACTGAGCATTTTCAAATATTAATTTATTATCTCATCATTATAATAAAACATCCTTGTATTTCGAAAGATTAAAATAATTCTTCTTTTCAAATCATGGTTATATTGTGATTTAGGTTATATCTTCCTATAATAAATTAGAAAAAAATTAATGCACATTTAAGAATTGGTATTTTTAAGACTTATTTTAATTTTATATTATCCTTATAATATTCACTAATTGCTTTTATGAAAATATTTGGGCATCCTAAAAAACTTAATTAATTATGAGGATTTTAATTTAAATATTCTTTTAGATTCTTGTATTATAATCCCTCTTTAATTCAATTAATTAGAATTTTGCTTTTTTTGTAATTCAATATTGATTCATTACTCTCTTTTTAGATACATTTTGGGATTTATTATTGTAATCTGAAATGAATATATAAAGAATTTCTACATATAATCTATTAAATAGTAAGCTATTATTTATTCAAAAGTGATAATTCTTTTGCTTTGCTACTTCATTTAATTAGATTAATTTAAAATATGAGTATTCCTTTTCTATTTTTGTAATTGAAAATTTATTAATAAATAACATTAATGAGATCCATCTAATATTCATTCTCAACAGTTTTTGATAAAATAATAAAAAGGTAAATACCTGCAAAAATCATATATGAGGATAAACATGTAAGAATTTTTTTATAATTAAGTGTTTAGCTTTTGAGGATATTAATCCTAAAGCAAAAATACATGTTTTAGTAATACCAAAAGAGCATTTAGATAGATTATCAAATGCCACTGAGTAGCATATTAATCTATTAGGAAATTTGATGTATGCAGTGAATAGGATAGGAAAATAACTGCAATTGGAAGGATATAGAGTGATAATAAATGATGGATAAAAAGGAGGTTAAACAGTGTTTCATTTACACGCTCATATATTGAGTGGAGAAAATTTACCTGGATTTGAATGAAGAAAAAATAATAAATCATTCAATATACTATTCTAAAATTCCTTAATTCCATTGTGCTCTCACCACATTATCATTATTAGTTATAAATTCACCTTCTCCATGTATCATTCCATCATCGAATTGACCAATATACTTTTCTTAATTTGATAAAACCAATGTTCCTTCTCCATGCATTTTACCACCTTCAAATTTGCCTAGCTCAATATTCATAGATAATACCTTCATAAAATTCCCATCCATTTCCAATATTTGTCATATTTGTGTAATCATAAGGACCATTTATTAATTCAACCTATAAATTTCGTAATTTTCCATCACCCTCATAAAAATTATCTTTCCAATATCCAGCATATACTTCTTGACCTTCGCTATCTGTTAAAATTCCAAATCCACTTCTAGTTTAAGGAGGAAAACCTTAACCTCTATAGATATAACCATCTTCGTATTATAAGGCCAATTCTTAGATTTATAATAAGATGATACCTTCCAGTTCTCCATCTCCAGCCTCATATTCTGGATCTTTTGGCGGCGTTGGTTATTTTTATTAATCCTCTATTTATTAAGAAACTTGTTTGTTTGGAGTTTTAGCTTATAATGTCTACTGTTGAATTGGCTATTACTATTGACTTTACTATTATTTTGGTTATTATTATTAGGATTTAGGAAGTTATCCGGTTTGTGGTTTCTATTATCCTTAGGGTTATGGGACTGATTCTAAATTAGTAATAAGATTCATTACATTGCTAAGGCTAATGTGATTATTATTAAGTATTGGCTTTTTGAATTCTCTCCATCACTTATTCATAAGTTAAATACCCAGATCTTGCTGGTGATTACAATTGTTATTATTAAGTTGGTTTATTTTATGGCTGTTATTATTAAGATTGCATAAGATGATTTCTTGTAGGTGATGCAAATCCTCGGGTTGGACTTTGAAAATTCTTGTTTGGAGATTGAATTGCTTAGCTAACCATAGGGTGGGTAGGTGGAATGTTAGCTCTAGGAATTTGAAATCCATTATAGGAGGCATAGAGAGACTATGGCTGAAAGTATTGTGGAACATAAGAAGGATAGTATTAAGGTCTGTATGGTAAGTGTTAAGGTGGATACACTGAACGAGGATAATATTAAGGTATGCTTTAAGGATAATACATTAAAATAAAATTTCAAAATATATATCTTTCTTAATTTTGCTTATAATCAATTAAAATATCATATTTAGCATTTTCTTGATTTTTTTTATACTTCGAAAAATCAATTCCAAAATCTTATCATGTGTCATCTACTAACAGAAAGGTAGGAAATTAATATGATTTTCAAAAAATTTAAATATCGTTAATAGTTTAAAGAGTGTTTTAATTTTTTAATAATATCGTTAATTTTAACATGTACAGAAGATAAAACATAACAAGGAAACAAATTGATCATTACAGCTATATACTAAATGAGGAAATTGGAAGAGGTTTTAGCAGCAAGGTTTATAAGGGAAAAGACGATGTTTCCCAAGAACCAGTTGCTGTAAAGGTGATTGATATGAAAATGATCAAATAATCAATTCACTCATAATTATTAAAAAATGAAATCAACGCTTTACGTTCATTCAATAGTAAACATATAATGAAATTGCATGATGTATTTTAAACCTAAAATAACACATATATCATCACAGAATATTGTGACTCTGGAGATCTCAATAATTACATTCGTAAAAAAGGAAGACTAGATGAATAAGAAGCTACAAGAATTTTATAATGCGTTGTTTCAGCCATGATGGAAATGAATAAAAAAGGCTTTATTCACAGAGATATTAAACCTGCCAACATCTTAATTGATCACTCAATTCCAAAGCTAGCTGATTTCGGTTTTGCTGTTCCATTACATGAGGCTAGAGTATAAGGCAGAAACTTCAATGTTGGAACTCCACTTTATATGAGTCCATAAGCTTTGAGATAGTAGGGACATACAGAATAAGGAGATGTTTGGGCAATTGGAGTAGTATTTTATGAGATGCTTTTTGGAAGAACACCCTTTAATGGTCAATCAGAAACAGCACTAATTTCTAATATTATGAATCAGCCTTTGCATTTACCATCTCATCCACAAATTTCTTCCGCTGCCAAAGATTTTATCAGATAATGTTTAAATGTTGATGATGCCAGAAGAATGAGAGTGCGTGATATGGCTAATCATTAATTGATTAGATAATTGATTGCACCTTCTTAACCTCAATAACAATAATAATAATACCCTCGTCAGTAATAGCAAAGGTAAGCTATTACTCCTCCACCAAATGAATAATAATAATAACAAAGAGTTAAAAGATCACTTAGTCAAGGTGGGAAACAAGACATCAAATATAGAGAGAATAAAGAAAACTATTATCAATAATAAAATCAACAACCACAGAAGCTTGCGCAAGTTGACAATAATAAATAACCATTAATACCATAATAATAGAATGTTCAAAGATCTACTAGTTAACAATAAGTTCAAAAATATTATATTAAATAAAAAACATAGCCTGCTGAAGATATCAAGCATATAGGAATTTCAATTGAATGCAAAGTTAATAACGATATTTTGTTTACTCAAGTTAATTTTTGTAGATTTCTTTATAAATTCTCCTCAAGTCTACTCTAATGCAAAATAATTAGTAGTCAATTAAAAGATAAATTGCTATTTCTAATGGGTAAAAATATTGCAATTAAAATTACAAAACTCAATTAAATTACAGATAAAGAAAATAATTAACCAAATTGCTTATAATTAGAAGATTTTCCTTCTTATAAAAAAACAGATTCTTATTAAAAATTTACTTAAGCAATAATAGAATACAATGAAAAGTATATGAAGTATTTTGATAAATTGCTTAAATTATGCAACTCTAAATCAGGTATTTTGGTTGAAATATTTTAGAATTGTAAAAGGATACAACCTTTGTGTGTCTATTAAACTAAGACTTTACAGAAACAGAAACATTTTATAGAATTACTTAATAATATATCAAACAAAGTTTGAGTGAAATCAAAAATTACTTTAGATAATAAAACTTATAAAATATCAATCTAGATTCTCCAATAACAGAGGAAGTAAAAAATTAATTAATTTAGATTTAATTACCAGGATTTATTTTATAAGGACTGAGTAATTATTTCCTCTTACTTCAAAAAGCAATAGAATTCTTGAAGGATTATAGAGGTTTTGTTAGATGCTCACATACAGAATTAATGACTGATAAATCTTAGGAGGGTCTCACTTATGGAATACTAGAATAATTAATGGTTAGATTGCTATGATAGTTAAAGTTATTATAATAAACATTTATTTCTTTTTGTAAAATGATAGAGATTTTTTTAATAGAACTGGAGCACCTTTATAATAGCATTTTGAACGATTAACAAAGATTTATTTATTCAATTTTTGAAACTCATCATAACTTTTTAATTTGATAATTACTATCATATATCTTCTACTAATATCACAATCGCATGCTTGTTTTTTCATTCTTTATCAATATTTTGGGGTTTTGAGGAAGGGTAGATAGGAAATTTTGTATAGCCTTTCAGACCATATCCATAGTTTTTATTAGCTAAGAAATTAAGATAATTTAACTAGTTACAAATTCATTGTTCATCATTTCATTTAAGTAATATCTATTTTTTAATTCTACTACTTATTTATATGATGCATCTTAATATTTATAGTCTTTAAATTTTGGTCTGTTGTATAAATCTATAATTTTTATTTAAAATTACTAAATTGAACATCCATATCGAATTGAGGAGTATAATATTCCTTATTGCCTAGTACATTATTTCTTACATAAAACCTAAATATATTTTAGTTTACTTTATTTTTTAGTCTCTAACAGTCTTCTAATTGTTGATTGATTAAGATTATAAATTTATAATATTTTCAAAATATTTATTATTTTCATTTTTATCAGCTATTTTGGAATGAGTTTGATTATTTTTAGATTTTATTGAGTTACTTTTAGAACTTTGCTAAAATAAATACTTTTTATAATTTACATCTTTTTCTGATTTTTGTATTTATTAATTCAGAAAGTGTTATTATTATTGAATGCTTGATTTTTTAAATTGATCAATTGAATCAACTACTCTATTTTCATCATGCTAAAAATTTCTCATTTTATCTGGATTTGCTTAATTAGATTATAACAATTATGGTGTACTCTTAAATTATAATTCCTACCAATTGGCATATTAGAAGTCAGCGAATAGTGGATTTCTCATTTTTATATTATTTAAAATTTTTTTTCGATTCTTTTCATAATTTATAATGAATACTCTCATTACTAAGATACGCTTATATAAATTTGTATGCACCTATGTTTCTCCCTTTTCTTAGTATTCTTGGTCTGGTTCCTTCAAATAAATTATTAAACTACCTGGCAATTCTCCTAATTCCATTGAATAGACAGGTTCTTTCATTGTAAATAAAATAATATTAAAATAGATTATATTTTCTATTTATATCTAATTCAACTTTTATACAATCTTCAAATCCCTTTTTATTGGACTCTATATTGCTTTTTAAAATACTTAAAAAATACATCATCATTTTTGTAGCAAATTATTCTTTAATTGAGATCTGAATAAATTAAAGTAAATAAATTTTATTTATATTTACAAATGGGAAATTAAGTGTACTTTGCAAAAACAATGGAGGTCTCTATTTTTAGTTAAAATGTACCTTTAAATTAATAAATCTAACATCTTGGTGGATAATATTATTAACATATCGAAAGAGTTGAACTATATAAATTAAAAAACGAAGTTACTAAATTTTCAACTTTTTTGAAAAAATAATTCTATCTCTATAATTAAGCTTAAAACCTATATCATCCAAACCTTATATATTATTATCGGTTTTGTATTGATCCTGAAATAACAACTAATTTAATCATTAGTAGATGGTATTATTAAGCACTTTATAAAAGAACTAAAAATATTTGTGCTTATCATTTTTAATATAAGTCTTTAATTCCAGAAAAAGATTTGTGGAAAGTATAAATTTAAATCATATATAAATAGTTTCTGTATCAAATAAGTTAAGGGCTTCAATTTTTAGAGAGTAAACAGTAATGGCATATGTAAATCTAGCCAGATACTATTTATATAGATTAAAATATGTAAGTTAGATTGATTCCTATGGGAATCTTAAGAAAGATGAGTGTTTACTCTCAAGTTTCAAATAAATAAGGGAAAGCATTACTATCACCAGAATTAATTGAACAATTAAAACTAAATAACATAAATCCTGTTCACAATCCTTCAAAATCTGATATCTTCTCTTTAGGCATGACTATGTTAGAATTAAAGACTCTAAAAAGTAGTTTTGATTGCTATTCATTTAATTCTAATCCGCCTTAATTGCACGGAAAGTTGATAGAGGAACGCATGAAAGAATCAATAATGAATGGTTATTCGGATGATTTAATAAAAATTACAAAAAAATATGCTTCATCAAGATAATCACTATAGGGTTGGAATAAAAGATATTTTAGTCTATATTTATCATATTCAAGAATTCATAAGAACTAAACAAAAATCTAAATAATTAAAGTAACAACTTCTCCCCTTTAAAACCAACATTAAATTTGAGTAATCTAAGACAACCAAATACAATTTAGTATGATTAATAGCCTTTAAAATAACCATTATAACTGCAAAAATTGAATAATCAAATCTTACTGAAAGTTAAATTTAAACCCCTTAATCTCATCTTGATCTAAATTAATTAGATAATATTTCTAATTTTCAATAATCATATTCCTTTAGAGAAAAATCAGATGAAGAATTACTCTTTAGAGAATAATAAATAAATCGATAACTAGAATAACAATTGAAATAATAACAATAAATATTATAAAAAAAATATTTATAATAAAAAAAATAGTAAATTATAGAAGATTAATAAAGAAAATTTTTTTCACTTTAATAGTAAATTAAATAGATTGCTGTTAAATTAGAAGAAAGCCATTAAAAACCTACTGAAATACCCAATTCTTTAAATTAACTGGATAATTACAATTATTAAATCAATTTGCTCCCAACTCCTCCAATTACTTTTGCAAGTCCTATCAAGCGCACATTAAATGATTTAACAGAAAATATTGAGATTCAAAATAGAGTGAATTACTCTTATATTATTAATTTGATAAAAAATAATTAGCAATTACTAAAATTTATAGTTTTTTAAATTTTATGAAATGATGAAGTGATTAAATTAATGATGTAGAATAGAAATCAATTTTAGTTAATTTTACTTTTTCAATACATTCAGCTGAATTATTTTTGAAATAGCCAGTATAAGATAAGAAATTGAATATCATTTAATACATTTCTCCTATAACTCAAAGATATATTAAAAAATTCATAGTAGTATAAATCCAATAAAACCAATTAAATTGTTAAAAACATTATTAATTATAATTTTCAATTTTTATTTCTTATTCCTTTTTTTTATTACTATTACTATTACTATTATTATGTTTGAGGGAAGATAGATTTACGTGATCTAGCAGCATCAATTATTGTTTTTATAGGTGGGGATTGAGTTGTACTACTTGCACTTAAGAAAATAGCTGTCTAAGATACATTTGCTTTTTCTGGAGTCCCTTAAATTTCCCCATTAGAATTCTTGATCTAATATTAGTCTAATTATCTAAGCATTTAATCAACTACATTTTGTAATTTCGTAGTAATTTTTTATTTATTTTATTGAACCTTTTCTCTATGATTTTCGATTTAATCAATTTATTTTTAGAGTACTGAAGATAATTAATCAGAATCTTAGTAAAAACTAATAGCTTTGGCTAATTCTTCTGGAGTACAAGTCAAAACAGTAGAATTTTAACATGGAAGTATAGGATCAATTTAATTTTAGATTGTGTTTTTGAATTCATTAACATGATCATCAAAATTCAATACATCATTATTCATTTCTTTCTTTAATTCATCTTTAAAATTATTAAGCTTTGATGCTACTTAATTTAAGCATATATTAAAATCTTCATCAAATTAACTAGAATCATTAGCGATTGGTTCTATTTGAAGATTTCTTACATTTAATATTTTAGAATTTAAATCCTCCTCAAATTTTGAGATCTGTACTCTTGTATGACTATGACTCTATGGAGCTTATGAAATGTGATTTTCTAAAAAACAATCAGCACAGCCTAAAATATTATAAATCATTGGTTTTATACCTAATTTTTATTCGTGTGTACATTTTGGATCAATACATATGTATTTGATTTTTTACTAATCATGATGCTCAATTGGGCATTAACTCATATTTTGATAAAATTTAATAATAATTATTTTACGCGCACTTTAACCGGCGCTATTTAATTTAATTTAAATTAAAAATATTTTTATAAAATATTAAAATGAATGAAAATGTAATAATTCAGAAAAACATTGCACTATTTCTAATTTTCCAATTTATTATAATAATTTCATTATGACTAAATGAATATATCTCAATTTTTTTAGATTTAATAATAAATACAAATATTAAAAATTAGTTATTAGAGTACTAAATATTAATGAAATATCTTAAAGAAAAGATATGCAAAAATATAATGTAGTTTTATTAGTATCTGATTAAGCAATTACAAAAAAGTTGCTTAGTATAGTTTTATTAAATATATGTTATAATATTAATTAATCCTTCAACAAAGGAATTATTAATTTCTTAATTTATTAAATACGTTAGTTTAAAGGAAAAAATTCGTTTTTCCTTTAATATGTGGTTTAAAATCACCATTTTGAAATCAAGAAAGTATTAATAAATGAAATCCATAGTTTTGTTAGTATTGGTTGCATCAGCCTTCGCTACTAATTTAGCCGCTTTCGAGAAACTCGAATAATCCAAACTTGGAAAGACATTGTTGAACACAATTGCTATCCAAATGCAAACAGGTGAACCATTAGAAAGAATTTTCTCTACACTCTATGATTTGGAAGAGAGATATCAAAACGACTAAAGAGAAGACGATGCTGAAAACAAAGCCTTCTAAGGTGTTTGTGATGCTGATCTTGCTGGTTTAAACTAAGAAATTGCCAACCTTGAATAGAGAGACACAGAATTATAAGCCAAACTCGACGAACTTCAACCAGTCCATGATTAAAAGGTCGGATAAAGAGTTGCCAAATTAGCTGAAAAAGCTCTCCTTTAAACAGTTATCGATGAAGCTTAAGCTAAAAGATAAGAATAGAATGATGACTTCGAAGCTTAAAGAGAAGAATTCACATTTGTCTCAGGTGTTCTTGCCGAAGCTAGAAGACTCTTCACAGACAATTTATAAGCCCCAGCTTTCTTATAAAAGGGATCAAATGAAGCCGTTCACTATACACCATAAGTTTTTGCTTAAGTTGCTACTCATTTAAATGCCGCTGCTCACAAAGCCGGTTAAATGAAACACATTAGAACTTTCGGAAAAGCCATCAAACTTATGGCTTCTTTGGCTGTCAAATCTTAATAATATGCTAACTAAGAATTAACAGGAAGAATCATTCAATTGATCGATGACTTATAAAACTAATTGAACTAAGCTTTCGATTTAGCCAGAAAGACTGAAGATGCTAGAAGATAAGCTTATGAAGCATACAATACACTTTTGAACAGAGATATGAATAAGCTTAACTCTGCAATTGCCAATTTAGAAGCTGAAATCTAATCATTGGCTGATTAACTTGCTGCCACTCACAGCTCATAAGATGACAATGCTGCCAGACTTGAAGCCAAGACCTAATAAAGAGATGACAGAAGAGCAGAATGCTAATAAGCTGCTTATGAATATTAATAAAGAAGAACTGCAAGAGATGGAGACAGATAAACTGTTTCTGACTTGATTGGACATTTGAATAGCAACATGAGAGACTTAAAGGAATACATTGCCATGAGAGTTGCTGCTGGTGATTCTGATTTGAGCTAATGATTTGATTCATATATATCTAAATATTCATCTAAGATTTTCACAATTTCTATTACATTGAAAGTTTTTGATTATAATATATAATGATAACAGCACAAATATTCAAAATGCCAAATTTAGCATTAATTCTGAAAAATCTTAAAAAGTTATCTCTTCTTTATCATTAACTTCATGGATAATTTATTTCCAAATTTAATCTGGAACTAATCCATTACCAAAAATTAATTTCAATTCATCTATACTTATCGAACCATTACCATCCTAAAATAAATTTAAATTTAACCTTATCAATAGCTTAAAATGTTTTAGCAAGACGATCTTGAGATAATAATTTTGATCTATTTATTGAAGCTGCAACAAATTCAGAATAATCTATAGATCCTGAATTATTTTAATCAATATCTCTCATGATTCTCTCAACTTCCTCGATTGCTTCATTTTCATTCATTATCTTCCTTAACCCAATTAATAATTCTTGTCTACTTAATTACCCATCATTATTAGTATCTAAGGCTTTGAAAGTTTTCAATAATTCTGATTTATCTTCCTAGGTTGAAAATTGATTCACTATGTATTGATAAATTGCTGATTGAAGCTATTTAGTGGACTAAATAAGAAATTAAGAATGATTTACTTTAAAGGTTTTCATATTCTTTAAAGCTCTGTCAATTTATGGTAATTCATTTTAAACATCCTCATTTTATTATGCAATCCATGGATGTTTGAGTGCTTATTCTGCATTATATCTTTTGAAAGGATCTTTTTCCATCAATTTAGAAATAAAATCCTTTGCTTCTTCTGTGATAATATCCCATTCCTCTGAATTAAAATCATATTTTCCTTATTCTACTTTTTCTAAAATCTTTGCCTCTGATTTTCCATTAAATGGTGGATAACCACATAATAAAATATAAGTTAAAACTCCACATGACCACATATCACATTTTTCATCATATTTTTTTTTTAAAACTTCTGGAGCTATGTAGTAAGGCTAATGAATTTAATAAATATTTACAGTTCCTATTTTTTGATTCATTTTTTAATGAGGATCAAATACTCTTGAAGTTCCAAAGTCAATGATTTTTATTGTTCCTCTTTTATCCTTACTTTCAAATAATATATTTTCTGGTTTTATATCTCTATGAACTATTTTATGTTGATGACAGTAATTTAATCCTTGTAATATCTATTTAATTAATTTTATCGCATCTTTCTCTGAAAATTATTGAGATTCCACTATTGCATCGAATAACTCACCTCCTGTACATAATTCCGTCACAATGAAAATTTATTCAGAATTTTAGTATATCTCTAGAATTTTTACTATATTAGGATGATCCTAAATTAAATATTTCTTACCAACTATTTAAGTATTTCTGCCTCATGTAAGACTCTAGAAACTTCTTCATTGGTGGCTTCAGATTTTGATATGATTTTTATTGCTCTTGTAATACCTAAAACTTTGTGTACACCTTTACGCACTTCAGCATATGACCCTGAAATTAATATTAGCTTTACCACTCCCTAATGGAGGAGAAAGAATTTTATAAACATCATGAATAGATAAATTTTAATGAGTGTTTACAGAATCAAGCAATTTAACTTGAGTTTTATCTTTTACTTCTTATTCTGACAAATTTGGATTTTAAAGAGAGGATTCTTAAGTTTATGGATACTTTTAAGTTTATGGATTGAGTTCATGTAAATTATCTTCTGAGTGTTTTTGTTTTGGTTTCTCAATACATAATTGTCCCATTAATTTATTATATTTATTTTGAATTTAATTTCTTATAAGCATGAATCAACAGAATATAATAATATTACAAAAATATATTAATGCAATTATCATCTATTATTAATACTAATCTCTAATGACTCAAATATGATAATGATTGTATTTGAATTGATTATTCAAAATTCCTAACATAATTTCCTTTAATTTATAAAAATGCTATTATATATAGTTTTCTAATTCATTCTATTCAATTTTTTATACTTAATAATTTAATAATTGATAATTAAAGGGGTTATGCTTTGTTTTTGTTTGTTAATAAAATTCATAATTAAAATTTATTTATAGATAACTAACAAATGAGACTTTAAAGTTTCTGATAATGACATAAATATTCTATTAATTTATGTAAAAATTAAATTGAGACAAGATTTAAAGATTTATCTAGATAATTTTAATATTCATAACAAATATGTTATATAGAGTTTGTAATTATCGATGATTTTGGAATTAATTTTTTTTCATCTTCTTTAGCATTATTTTAATATAAAAATAAAGTATGGATAAATATTTTGAGTTTTCAAAATCAAAGGATGAATCAAGATTATCTATTGACTCTTAAGAACTTCTTAGATAAGTAGAAACTAAAATTCACCAAGCATAATCACCAACATTTATCTCACCCTAAAAACAATATTTGAATTAAGCAGATCATTATGATTAAAAAGAGCAAATCGATTATTTATCATTTAAAGAATAAACTACAATAAAGAGGTTATTAAATTTAAGAGATGATTATAAACAATTCTTAAAGAATATAAAATCTTACTAAGATTAATTAATTTAATCTATTAGTGAGGCTATGAAAAAAGTTGCAGATAAGGGAAATCGATATTTATAAGACCAAGAATATGAATTGAGGTTATAGTTGTAGGAAATTTAAAAAAATAAGGAGCTTATCAATTCTTATTCTAACTGTCATATTATATAATCCCCTTTAAAATAAAAAAATAATTTTTTTTCAGAAATTACTTATAAGGTATCAGAATTGAACAATTATATTCTTGAATTTTTTGATCATGATAATTCAATTTAATCAAATAGATATTAGAAAAAGTTAAACTTTTCAAATTATAAAGAATTGAGTTCAAAAAAAAAATTTAAAGCATCACCTTCTCCATTTAAAGAGATTGATAGAGTTTTATAATTAAAAACATCATCAAGTAAACCTTAACTATAGGGTAATAAACCTTAATTTTCAGGCAATAAAACACCATAAGATTTAAATCAATTCATTGAAGTGCTTAAACTTAAAATTAATAACACTAAAAATAATAACATAATATAGAATAGACCAAATTTTTCAAGTAATTTTTTATAAAGCAAATTAAATATGAGCTCAAAAAGGCTTTCAATAGAACAATAACTCTAATCTTAAAATAAAATATTTTTTTAATCTGTATTTTGAATTTATATAATTTATACATTCCATTAAAATAGAAATGCATAACAGTTCTTAATTAATTATTAAAGCTTTAGGTATCAATAGATAGAATAATAAAAATAAAGATAGAAGGGTGTGAATATTATTTTGTTCTATAAAATTGCTTAGGTTTTAAAACATAGAATAATTTTTTATATAATTAATTTTTAAATTTTAGCAAAATATCATTAAGTAACAAATATTATTGAATAAATGTTTTGTAGTTTTTGTAATACAAACTATAAATTCTGAAAACCATTTAATTCTTAATTATAATTTATGATTTTTGGCTAAATTTAGTTTATAATTAATATATTTTATACTTAAAAGTTATAATAACAATTTTTAGAGAATTATTTATTTTGATATCATAAAGTTTTGCTAAAGTAATTTTGTTTATAAAAAATATTTCTGTAATTACTTAATGAGCTAATTAGAAGCAAATTCTTAAGCACAAATTTCTTATCAAGAAAGGAGCAAACCTGATTCTAATCGATAATTGGGAACATCTAATTTATCAAATGGATAAAATATTAAAAGCATAGATAATAATGAGTATGACATTTATAATTAAACATTAGGTTTGTTCCAAGGAGATCTTCACAAACAAATAAGTAAGAAATTGATATAATCTAGCTATGGATATTAATAAAATATTCCTCAAGTTTATCAATATCCATAATTCAATTATCCTGTAATGGGATAACAAACAATGAAAGAATAAGAACATGAAGAATAGATCTAAAGATTAATGAAAGAGAATGAAACATTAAGGTATGTTTCAAAAAGTAATTAGATATTAGTGGAGAACCTTGGAGTAGGACAACTATAAGTTAAAAAACGATAAGTATTAAATCTGAGTATATTAGTATGCAATTAAGTAATAGAGATAAGAGTAATAATGCTGAAATTTAAGGATTGTAGTATGATATATATGAATATTCTAGGGATTAAATACTACAATTAAAAAATGAAAATAAGAGATTAATGAATACAATTTAAGATGATCAATATTAACTTTTAGATTTATAAAAATTAAAGAAGCAAGTAGAACTAAATTAGGGGCTTGAAAATTAGATATCTGAATTGGAGTAGCAGCTTTCAATTGCTAATAAACAGGTGTAAGAACAAAAAAGATTAAATTCTTTTTCAGATAGTGAGATATAGACATAAAAGGAAACTATTGAAAAATACAAATTATAGCTTAAAGAGTTAACATAAAACAATGAGATGCAAAGTTAAAAGAATGATTAACTCCTAAATGATAATAGAAAGATGAAATAAGCATTAGATATGATCAATAAGGATTTAACAAACGAATAAACCTAAAACTAGGTGTTGATTCAAAAAATCAATCAGTTGAATTAGGGATCCAAAGATTAGATTAATAATCTATAGAAAAATATCTAGAATCTCAATTATTAAAATGATCAATTAAAAAATTAAATAATCTAGCTTCAATAAAAAGAAAAGGAATTATTAAATGTGTAAAATATAAATTTATAGAATGAAAATAAATTAAGATAAATGCAATAATAAATATCTGACTGTAAATTATATATAAATATTAGAATAAAGGTAGATTGAATAATATGCAATAACAATATAGACAGGAAAGAATGAATATTAAAGATTAGTTATCAAAAGTCAATAATAAGAATAAGATATATGGAAGATGAAAGAATAAGTAAACTAATTAAATACCCAAAATTAAATGTTACAAAATAAATCTTATCAGCTTGAAAGAACTATTGAGGATAGTTTAAATAAATCACAAATTTAATCTGCTGATTTAAAAGGAACTCTTGACAGATGGAAAAACTATGGATTATCACTAGAATAAGAAATAAAGAAAAGAGAAGTAGCTTTACTTTAATTAGAAAATGAATATGTGCAGATGTAAAATCAAATAAAAAATGCTTAAGAAAATGAATTTTAATACAAAAATGAAAGAACAATAACATTATAAAAAATGAAAGAGATGCATGATGATTTGCTATTGTATGAAAAAAAATGTAATTAGTTAGAAAGAGGTAAAATATATAATCAAAATTATAGAGTTATAATTATTATAAGAGTAAAATAACAATGTATTACAAAATCAAGAAAGGTTAGAACAAGATAAGTAATAATTAAATTTGGAAGTCAAAAATTTAATGGATGAATTACTTAGAACTTAAAATTAAAATGATTTAAAATTGAGAGATTTTGATGCTTTATAAATGAAATATGATTCTGAAAATAATGCAAAAGAAAGAGAAATTTAGAATTTAAGATTATAAAATAATATGCTTTAAGAAAAAAATAATTAATTAGAAAATGATTTGGCTAGAGAAAAAGTATTTGTGTCTGTATAATTTATAGGAAAAATTATTTCAAATGGAATCTAGAATCAGAAGTTTAGAGACTGAAATACATAATCTTTAGTTTAAATAAACCTTAAAATAATAGTATTCATGGAATTAGGAAGTACCAAATAATCATAGTAATCCGATAGAATTAACAGAAAATAGCCAAATTTATTCAGGGATTGTTGGACCTTATTCAAATCATTCAGGATATTTGAACACTTAATAAATCAATTTTGGAGTATCAAATTCTTAAAAACCAAAACCTAGAGAAGTGTAAAATACTCCTTTTTAAATTAATGAATTCCCTGATCATAGACGTACTAGCTCTTCGTAGCTAATTAAAAGTAAAAATTATGATTTGAGATTCTAAAACCAAACAAAAAATCAATAATTTTGAACAATATCATATTTATTTATAATCAATTTTAGTTTCTTATGTTTATTAGAAAGTTATTGAAAGTTTAATTTAATTTGATAGTGAACTGTTACTTAAATATTCTTTAATATATAATTAAATAATATTACTGTTTTTATAAATGAGTTTTGCGTTAGAAAATATTTTCATAATAAGAATTCTTCAAACAAGCCAAAAGTATAAAGATGCTTTAGAACTAAAACATATAAGATCCCTTTTTATTTTAAAATAGAAATTGAAATATTTTACTTATGATGATTAAACTTTTTCTTTCAACATTGACTTTTTTTATTTAAGGAAAACTATTTCCTATTAACGATAAAATTATTTACATGAATGATTAAGTACAGAAAAAGGAATAGTAAGCAGATAAGTGAATAATTGAATTGATTGAGGGATATAGTATTTGAATATTATGATTGAAATGTATGCTATAAAATATATAAAATTTTAATTATGCCTAAAATATCATCTGACAAAAATCTTTTCTTTAAGCTTTTAGGAAAAGAATTAAATGAAGAAGAATTGGAAGAGTTACTTTTCAGATTTGGTGTTGAAGCAGAAGAAAGAGAGGAAGAACCAGATCTTTTATATTTTGAAATTGCTGCCAATAGACCAGATTTATTGTGTGTTGAAAATTTAGTGCATTCATTAAGAGTATATATGGGATTGGAAAAAAAAAGAATCTATAGTTTTACTCCTGCAAAAGAAACAATTTATGTGAAAGCTGCAGTATTAATAAATTATATATTGTAGACACAATAAATTAGACCATTTGTTGTTGGAGCAATATTGAGAGATGTTACTTTAACAGAAGATAGTTTTAAATCCTTTTTATCATTTTAAGATAAAATTCATTAAAATTATGCTAGAAAAAGAACTCTAGTTTCTATTGGAACTCATGATTTAGATAAAATAGAAGGTCCATTCTTTTATGATGCATAAGCTCCTTAAGATATTGTATTCTAAGCTCTAAAACAAACTGAACAGATGAATTGCATTGATTTATTTAATAAATTAAGAGTAATTATATACCAAATTAATAATAGGAAGATTAATACTTAAAAGGTTATTTGAAGATAATAGAAAATTCACCTGTTTATCCTGTTATTTATGATAACTAAAAGAGAGTTTGTTCATTACCACCAATAATTAATGGAGAGCATTCTAAAATGTCAGCAGAAACAAAAAATATTCTTATTGAAGTCACAGCAATAGATGAATAAAGAGCTTTACATACTTTAAATTGTTTGATTAGTGGATTTGCCATATACAATAATAAATTAAATATTGAAAAAGTTAATATTGTTTATGAATCAAATAATAAATAAGTTGTTACACCTGTAGTAGATGAAAGAACATTAACAACAAATATTTAATATATTAATAAAGTTTTGGGAATAAATATCAGTACATAAATTAATAATAATATTAGCAACTTAATAAGCAAGTGATCTATTGTCAATTATGGGTATATAAAGTGTAGCTAAAGATGATAATATTTTAGATTGTTAAGTACCATTTTATAGAAGTGATATACTTTAATAATGTGATATTGCTGAAGAAATAGGAATTGCTTATGATTATAATAAAATAGAATTTAAAGTACCAGAGACTGCAACAACTGGATCAGAATATAGATTAAATAAATTATCAGATATGGTAAGAGAAGAAGTGGCTTTATGTGGTTTTGTAGAATGTTTGAATTTCGTATTAATGTCAATAGATGAATAAACTAAAATGTTAAATAGACCAAATTTATAAAATTATGTGTCTATCAACAATTCTAAAACTCCATAATTTTAATCAGTAAGATCAACTCTCATTCCAGGAATTTTACATACTTTATAAGCTAATTCTGATAGCAAATTACCAATTAAATTATTTGAAGTTTCGGATGTTTGTGTTAAAGGATTGAAATCAGAAAAAGATGGATTTTAAAAAGGAGAAGGATAAGTGGGAGCTTATAATTAAAGAAATTTAGTTGCCATTCATTCTAGTAGTAAAAAAAGTGAGTTAGAAATCTTACATGGTTTGTTAGATTAATTAATGATAAAACTCAGAGTTAAAAAGACAGATTATCACTTAAAATAATCAAATGGTAAAATATATTTTGAATTTAGATCCTTTGTTCTTCCATTAATTATAAGCCTAAATCATTTATAAAGATCAACCAATCGGAGGTTTGGGAGTAGTTCATCCAGAAGTATTAGAAAGATTTGATTGGAAATACCCTGTAACTTTATTAGAAATGAACATTCAGGTAATTTTGAATGATTTCTGAAATATTATAATAAATCAATTAAATGAGAAATAATATCAGAAACTTTCATCAATATTTCTGAATGATGAATTGAAGCATTTATTTATAGTTTTGTTCAATCTTATAGACTTTAGTTTATCTTTAATATTTCTTTTTTTGTTCTCATTAAATTAATTAAGACGATATTTTTTCAAATTCTCTAAAACATTTATAACATTAAACTGTGGAAAATAACAGTCATAATTTTTCATTTTATCAAGCTCAATTTCTGGAATATAATAAATGGTTCCATTAGTTTAGAATTAATTTGGCAATTAATTTTTATCATTTTCATTATCTACATTATTATTATTGTTGGTTATTTTCACAGAATGATGAATATTCTATTATTAACTTATAAGACTCTTTTTAGGCATTGATGTTTCAGTTCTAGCTACATGATTTGCAACTGAAGTTCTTACTTTACCTTATGAATATAGATTTGGATTATGCTTTATTGTATTATTGGTTAGATTATGATGGTTAGTAAATGCATTAGAATTAGAATGTTCTCTAGGATCAATTTGAACTTCATTATCAGTCTTACGTTAATATTAAATATATGGATTCTATATTGCTCCATTTGAATCGTCATCTTAATTTTAATTTCTTATTAAATTAGCGTTTTAACCTAATCCAGTTTTAAATTTTTAATTCATAAAACTTGTTCTCATTTTTTCAATTTAAGAAGATCCTTTCCTTTAGGCTATAGAATGATTATCCTATTAATGAGAATCTTAGGATTGGCTCTCCTAAGATTAATTAGATTTTTCATTAAAGCCTCCTTAAATATCTAAACCTAATCTAATGAGATAGGATTCATTTAATTAACTAAAATATTGATAAATATATTTACTCCTCATTTAAATATCCATAATTTATAATAAAATCAATACCTTAATTTAAAACACTTTAATAATCAAAAGTATTTTATTTTTTTTTACAATCCCTAGGTCTATCAAATTTAAGTCTTGATTGATAAAGACTTGTATTTGCATTTCTTGCTATTTTATAGATATTGGTTTGATAAAATACAAATGGACAATCTTTATATCTATGAGTCCATTTGCAAACATCACAAGTTCTACCATATGTTTTTTGATAGGTTAGCTTTTCTCTCAATTAATGAAATTTTTATCGACATTCTTCATTCTCTTAAATAACTTATAAGAAGTCATTTCTTTCAATATACACAATTGACAAAACTGTTTGGGCTTTAAAGTAAAATTAATATGATGAATTAATGATAAATTCTAATTCTCCTATGATATCTCCTCTTTAATAATTTCTTTACATCATTGCAGAATTAGTTTCTTTTTCATTTTTTTATAAAGCATCAAGTCCCTTAGATATAAAATAGCTATTAACTTGACCATCTAAAATAAATATTAATTTTGTAGCTGGATCATAAACATTAACTATTTCATATCCTGGAGCAAATGTAGCCTATTTAATCCTTTGACATAAATTGTTTATTAAATATTCTGGAATATTCTCTTTTAAAAATTTAGATTTCATTAAAATTGGTTTATATATATCAATTAATACTTCTTATTTTAATGATCCACTTAATTTATTTAAAACAGAATCGTCTTAATCTTATAATTATTCATCAATTTGATGTTTAAACTCAAAATATTTTCTAATCTTAAGTGATAATTATAAATTTAATTGCTTTTATTTAATATATTAATTGACTTTTTTCATTGATTTTTTTAATAATGCTTTCTTTTCTTCTAAAGTTTTTAAGATTTCTCCTATCATAGAAATAATATAACCAAATACTCCACATAATACCATAGCTACAATAACTACATAAAGTCTTTCAATTGTAGTTTAAGGTACAATGTCACCATAGCCTACTGTTAAAGTTGTTATTACACTCCAATATAATGAGACTATGTATCTATCATACCATTATTTATCATAATGGTTATAATAAACGAGCCAACTATTTTCATCTTGATAAATTTCATATTCAATTCTACCTAATAGATGCCAACCACAACTACACATATGAGCAACTAAAACTAAAAAATAGACTAGTTTTCCTAATTCGATAACAGCTTAAACTTCTTCTTTAGCATTTAATAGATCTTCTACATTCTATATCATAGATCTCACTCTGGCTATTCGTAATAGCAAAATAAATTAAATATAAGGTATATTGAATTATGCTAGAATAAAAGGTATTGCTATAAGTAAATCCCAAATGAAATTGTTAGATATATAATGGAAAAAGATGTCACTTCTATTGGTATGAATAATTCCTTAACTATAATAAGCAGTATTAAAGTTTAAAAGTATTTCAACAATAAAAATATAACTGGGAATAGTTTCAAAAAATAAGGCAGATATTTAACTTGATTTATCTAATTCAAAACTTAAACTCATTGGAATAAAAAATATATTGATAACTATAAAACATACCACAACAGTATCCCAAAAAATTTTGAATGTACTTTCAGGATATATAATTGCTATTTTATTTAAACTTTAACTTATTAAATTCCATAGTTAAATAATTTATAAAATCATCTTATTAAAAATTCGATATAATAAATTATTTAATTTTTATTTCTAATTGCCTTTCTTAAAATTTTTAAAATCAGCGCTTTTATCTCCTAATTTTATAAATATTTCATTATTCATTAACTTTATTTTTAATTTGTCTGCTTTAGTTTTTAGTTAATATATGAATCTAGCAACGTATTTAATAATTTTCAATCCTCCCTTCTACCAAACTTTATTCATACTCTCTATTAAAAAAAATACTTTACCCTTCATTAAGTTGCCTACTTGACTACATATAAAACCCATCGTCATTTTATAATATCTCATCACTTCTTGGTGATAATACTTTAACTGTTGGAATCACTGAACTTCTAGATTAAATCAACTCAATAAAATTCATATTCTTGCTTCTTTCACATATTAAAATTAATTACTTTTCTTAACTTAAATTATCGGCTTAATCAATCAGTGAATTTTATTTATTTATCTTATGCAAATTAGTTTCATTTTCAGAACTAAATATTTATCTTTTAGTTGTAATAAGTGTATAAGGGTCACTTTCGAAATTTTAAGATGAAATCATATTAAGATAATGAGAATAAAACAAGAAAAAATTAATAATGAAAATTGAAATATAAAAAATTTAAATTATAATTATAAATATGGAAATTGAAAAATGGAAAACACAATGCAGATATCTTTAGAATGAATTAGATTCAATGAAATAACAACTTTAAGATGCCAAAGATTTAATTAGATTAAATAAGGAATAATTAAAAATTTGTTATAATCCAACATAATTTGACTAAAGTTCTGAATGTAAAGCTGCATTGGTGTTACTAAAATTTGTTTAAGAGGAAAATGAAGTCTTAATGAAAAAAATAGAATAATTAAGTGATGAAAGAAACCTAGCTTTTGATAAAGTAAATCATTTACTGTATGAGTTTATAGGCTTTTATTTCTGAATAAATTAATGAATCAAATTAGAGAGTAGAATCTTCATTGATTACAAGTCTAAATAGAACAATCACAGAATTAAAGAAGAAGTTAAATGAATAAGTCAAGATGTCAAATGAAATTATGGGGACTATTTATTTAGAAAAACATGTAGTTATCAAAATTATACTACTTAGTTAGCTTAACCAGAATAATTGACTTTGAATTTTAATAACGTAATTTAATAAATGAATTCAATGTTATTAAAATAGAAATTACAAATAGAAGAATTAATCGAATAAAAAAATGATTTAGCTCAATTAAATTTTAGCTTATCAAATGAAATTCTAAAGATAAGAACTTAAAGATTCACTCCTAGAAATCAGACAAAAACATTTTGTAATTATAATTAATAATTTAATCTAGTTAGTCAAAATGAAGATCCATCAAAATTCATTAATAATTTAGTCTAATGTAATTATCAAATTTAAATTTCTAGTATAAAAGAGATTATTTTTTGATGATGATTCACAAGATGAAAAAATGCATATGCAATAATCAGCAGTATTTTCTCCCCTTTTCTCTCCAACATTGCCACAAAAAGTAAAAAGATAGTAAAAGTCTCAAATACCAAAAGATTTAAAGTAAGAACCTGAAAAACACATACCAAAACTTGATTTAACTAAAGCTTAATAAATATAATAATTCAATATCAAACGTATGCAATTATTAGCGAATAAATTGGCAAATGAAGGAGTTGAATAGAAAATTTATATGTAATTATGTAATTATATTATAAAGGTTATAAGATGAATTATTAAGAACTAAAAATAAATATCATGCTTAATTAGTCTTGAATTAACAGTTAGATTTATAACTAACAGAATTAAATCTCTAAATTATGGAATTATAAAATGTGAATGAAACATTAATCAAATCAAACTAAATGTATGAAGAAAAATGGTCAAGCATTTATTAATAGTTTTCATTTTATAAGGAATTTTATCTTAAACATAAAGATTAAATTCAACATAATATCTAATCATTTGCTACTTCTGATGATCAATAATAATTTAGTGCCTTTGAATTTGAGAAAGTATTGAACTCTTCTAAAATATATAATAAGAATCTATCCCAAAAAAATAATAATAATCCTGCTATTAGTATAATTAATTATTAAGATGATACTATTTAGTAATCCTCTTGTAGACTTCCTACAGATAGGTAAGAAGAAGTGAATAAATTCTTAACTTAATAGTATAAATGTTGTTTAATGATGATGGCAAAGGAAGTTATCTCTTTAGATTATCAACATATTAAACCTGTTTAGACTAATCTTAACAAAGTTAAAATTAAAAGAAGTTACAGTAATACAATAGAGTATTTTCCAGTCTTTTGATATCCCATTGGTTTATTTGTTACATTATTCTAACTAAAATAGATATAAATTTTAATTAATTAAAATTAAGAAGCACAATTACTCTTCTTAAATATAAAAAATATTAAAAAAAAGGATTAGCATATCTGCTCTTAAAGAAATTTTATTATTTGATTCTTCTTTAATATCAATTATATCTTTATAATTCTTTGGAAAAAGGTGATTAGTATTGTTATATTGATTTAAGGATATTTGCTTTTCTAAAATGGTTTCAAGATTCCATAAATATCAATTTTATTTTTATAGATATTAATAAGCATCTAATTCTTATTTCAGATCCCAACTCTACAAATAAGATATATTATTAATAATTGGATAGTTTATAAATGATGATGATGGATTATTATAATTTCTTTCATAGTAGTTTAAAATANCAGTATTTTCTCCCCTTTTCTCTCCAACATTGCCACAAAAAGTAAAAAGATAGTAAAAGTCTCAAATACCAAAAGATTTAAAGTAAGAACCTGAAAAACACATACCAAAACTTGATTTAACTAAAGCTTAATAAATATAATAATTCAATATCAAACGTATGCAATTATTAGCGAATAAATTGGCAAATGAAGGAGTTGAATAGAAAATTTATATGTAATTATGTAATTATATTATAAAGGTTATAAGATGAATTATTAAGAACTAAAAATAAATATCATGCTTAATTAGTCTTGAATTAACAGTTAGATTTATAACTAACAGAATTAAATCTCTAAATTATGGAATTATAAAATGTGAATGAAACATTAATCAAATCAAACTAAATGTATGAAGAAAAATGGTCAAGCATTTATTAATAGTTTTCATTTTATAAGGAATTTTATCTTAAACATAAAGATTAAATTCAACATAATATCTAATCATTTGCTACTTCTGATGATCAATAATAATTTAGTGCCTTTGAATTTGAGAAAGTATTGAACTCTTCTAAAATATATAATAAGAATCTATCCCAAAAAAATAATAATAATCCTGCTATTAGTATAATTAATTATTAAGATGATACTATTTAGTAATCCTCTTGTAGACTTCCTACAGATAGGTAAGAAGAAGTGAATAAATTCTTAACTTAATAGTATAAATGTTGTTTAATGATGATGGCAAAGGAAGTTATCTCTTTAGATTATCAACATATTAAACCTGTTTAGACTAATCTTAACAAAGTTAAAATTAAAAGAAGTTACAGTAATACAATAGAGTATTTTCCAGTCTTTTGATATCCCATTGGTTTATTTGTTACATTATTCTAACTAAAATAGATATAAATTTTAATTAATTAAAATTAAGAAGCACAATTACTCTTCTTAAATATAAAAAATATTAAAAAAAAGGATTAGCATATCTGCTCTTAAAGAAATTTTATTATTTGATTCTTCTTTAATATCAATTATATCTTTATAATTCTTTGGAAAAAGGTGATTAGTATTGTTATATTGATTTAAGGATATTTGCTTTTCTAAAATGGTTTCAAGATTCCATAAATATCAATTTTATTTTTATAGATATTAATAAGCATCTAATTCTTATTTCAGATCCCAACTCTACAAATAAGATATATTATTAATAATTGGATAGTTTATAAATGATGATGATGGATTATTATAATTTCTTTCATAGTAGTTTAAAATAAAATCCTAGTATTTTGAATCTTTTTTTACTCTGTGCTTAATGAAATAGAATGTATTAATACAATTATTCTATACTTATATCGACCTACTTTAATATATATTTCTAATTATATAATATGGATGATTCAATATTAAACCTAATTAAAGAGAGTAAACAAATTCACTGAATAAAGATTGTATTTAATTGTTATTATTATCATATAAATATACTTAAAATTATAATTCTTAAATATATTAAATAAAATTAAGAAAATCTAAAAGTCTATTTTATAATTATGAGCACATGTGAATAAATAGGCTTTATCGTTAAAAAAAATCTGCTTGTCAGTCTTAGAAATAAAGAGTTCTTGATCGAATCTATTCTACCTATTGTTGTGGCTGGTATGCTATCACTAAAAGGTACTTTAAAATCAATATGAAATTTAGCTTAATTGCAAGCTATTCAATAGTTGATGCCTTTACTCTATAGTATTGCTTTGACTTCAACATAAAGGTCAATGTTAATAAAATTAGTCGAAGAGAAAAGCAAGAGGTACAAAGAACTTTAGAAGGTAAAGTATTTATAATAATGTAAGATTATGGGAATGAATGAAAAAGCTTATACAATAGGATGGATCTTAACAGGATATATAAGGATAGGAATAGTAATTGTATGAATTAATAATCTAGTCCGTGATTATTTTTGAACTGTGCTGGTTAATATTTAATGCTATTTTTAATATAAATTGGGATGAAGAATTTCATGTATCATTTAGTAATATGTTGTGGCCTTACATTTTATTTGCATATGCAGTAAGTATTTAAGAATAATTTTAGGCTATGAATTAGAATTTCTTATTATCAAGCTTATTTAATGAAGTTAAAATTGCAGGTGAAATGTAGTCATTTTTATAAATTGCATTTACCTTTTTTATTTACTTTTCATTTGTTGAAAATGTAGCTAATAAAGTTGCCTTTTATATTATCATGACAATAATAAGTCCATAATGTGGTATAGCCTTTTCTTACATTTCTTCTATGAATTCAGAAATAGGAGCAGACTTAACAAAATTAAATTTATTTCCAACAACAACTATTAGTGATACTTATCCAACTTCATTAGCAGGTCTATAATAAGCAATTTAATTTGTTGTTTATTTCATCATATTTATTTATTTTGAATAAGTGATTCCTAATGAATATGGAATTGCTAAACATCCATTATTCTTTTTAAACATTTCATCTAATAAAAAAAGAATTAAAATTTAGGATAAGTAAAATAACGTATTTTTGTAATTAAATGAAAATGATACAGAAAGTAGTTCTGCCATGTATAATGAAGATATAAAAATGACTAGTCCTCCAAGTATTATAATTAAGAATCTTCTAAAGAAATTTGGAGATTTGAATGCAGTTGATAATATTAGTTTACATCTCTATGAATCTTAAATATTTTGTTTACTTGGACATAATGGAGCAGGTAAAACAACAGCAATTAGTTTATTGACTGGAATGATTTAAAAAACATCTGGATAGGTTAGTATGTATGGAATGAATCTAGATACATAATTAGAAACAATTAGAAAATCATTAGGATTATGTACATAAAAAGATTGTCTTTATAATGATTTAACTGTAATTGAACATTTAGAATTCATTAGCGGAATTAAAGGTAGATTAAATAAAGATGAAATAATATAAATTTTGTAAAAGACAGAGTTATTAGAAGAATAGAATAAAAAGATATTAGAGCTATCTGGAGGATCTAAAAGGAAGTTATCTTTGGCTATGAGTTTAGTTGGAGATTCAAAAATAATATTTTTAGATGAACCTACATCTGGTATGGATGCATATTCTCGTAGGGCAATATGGAATATTTTAGAAAGAATTAGAGAAGACAAAAGAACTATTATTTTAACTACACATCATTTGGATGAAGCAGAGTTATTAGCTAATAGAATTGGAATAATGTCTAAAGGATAATTACTTGCTGTAGGATCTTCAGATTTTATTAAAAGGAAATTTGGAGAAGGATATAATTTGAAATTATCTTTTGATAATAATAATTTAAGAAATCAAATTTATGATAAAGTTAATGAAATGATTCCTAATTGTTTTTTAGAAACATAACATTCAAATGAAAATAAATTAGTATTTAATATTCCTTTTGCTTCTAAAGGAAAATTAGGAAATTTATTTTATAATTTAGAGTCATTAAATGTTAAAATAGGATTGGAAATGAAAACTTTAGAAGATGCATTTGTTAAAATTGGATTGGAAGATGAAAAAATACATTTGAATTATGTTAGAAAAAGTGAAATTAAATAAGTTAAATAAAGTATGGGTATTATAGCTGAAAATGATGAAGATACAAATAATTTAATTGAAAATGAAGATTTTCATAGTCTTCCAATAATTTAAGAATTCACAGAAGAAAAAGAACTTAATTAAAATATTCCAGAATGTCTTAAAAATGATCCTCAATATAAATTAAGTTCATAAATATATGCTATATTTTTAAGGAGATATTATACTGTAACAAGAACAAGTACTAATTATTTCTCTATTATAATACCTATGTTAACATTTATTTTAGGAATGACAACTGTTGCAGGAGTTGATTTTGATGAAATATTAAAAAATGTTTTCCCAGAAATGGATCATAATAATTTAGAAGAGGCTGTTGAATTTTTCAAAATATCATTATTGAGTAGTTGCAGCGTTTTAGCATTTTGCTTTAATGCTACAGTTTATATTACATAACCAGTTTTAGAGAAAGAAACTTATTTGAAATAAGCTTTAATAGGTATGGGATGTAGAACTTTTCCATATTGGGTAGGAACTTTAATATTTGATTACCTTATATATCTATGCTTTGTAGCATTATTTTACATTATATCAGCTATTCTAAATTTAGAAATTGCATTTAAATACTTAGGAGCTGGATTATCCTGCTATATACTTTTTGGATTTAGCTATATACTTTTTGCTTATTTAATGGGATTTTTATTTAAATCTTTAGAAAATGCATTAAAACTATATTCTATGTTTTGTTTTTTTGTGAATTTCTGTGTTCCTTTTATCCTTATAGCATTTATAGACTTTTTTTATCAAAAATTTACTAGTGCTATTGCAGAACAACTTATTTACATATTCCAAGTTCTTTTTGTTCTAGTATCTCCTTTTTATGCATTTTTTGAAGCTTGTACATTTTTAGCTGATAATTTTTAGAAAATATATGATCTCAACTTATATACTACACCTTAATTAATATAAAGAACTTATGCATTTTAATTGGTATTATTAGCATAAATCATTTTTTAAGTAATAGTTCTATACTTAATTGAATCTAAAAGTTTAATTTTACCTACTGTGATAAATGAGGGATAGTAGAAATTAAATGAGAATTTAGAATAGGAAATAATTGATGAAAGGATTAGAATAGAAAAGGGAAATATCTCTGATCCTATTATTTGTAAAAATTTAGAGAAGGAATATATAAAGGATAAGCCTACACTTTAGAAATTGACTTTTGGAGTAAAATAAGGAGAAATATTTGGAATTATTGGTCCAAATGGAGCTGGAAAATCTACACTTATTAATGTATTCACTGGTATTAATACTCCAACTTAAGGTGTTGCATTAATTAATGGTGCTGAACCTAAATAAAGAAATTAAGAAATTATGTAACATGTTGGAATCTGTCCATAATTTGATTGCATTTGGGAAAATTTAACACCAATTGAACATTTATAATTATTTGGTAGAATTAAAGGATTAAATGGAAATGATTTAAAATAAGCTGTTGATTATTTTATCAAAACTATGTAACTTGATTTGTTTGTAAAAACAAAAGCTGGGTAATTAAGTGGAGGAAATAAAAGAAAATTATGTGTTGCAGATGCTTTAATTGGAGGAAGTGATATTACATTTTTTGATGAACCAAGTACTGGTGTAGATCCAATATCAAGAAGATTTTTATTTAATACATTATAAAGAAATATATAATTAAGAAATTGTTCTGCAATTATGACTACTCATACTATTGAGGAGGCTGAAAGTTTGAGTTAAAGAATTGGAATTTTGATAGCTGGTTAATTCAAATGTTTAGGAACTCCTTAATATTTGAGATAGTAAATTTATTATTAATAATTAGAAAATATAGTAAAGGTTATCAAATATCGGTTAAATTCAATAATGTGGATGAGCATTAAGTTTAGGATATTGTTAATTCAATTTAATAAGAATTTCCTACTATTAATAGATTAGATGATAAAAGAGTAGGATTTATGACATTTTCAATAAATGACTTAAGCTTTAGCTTTTATAAAACGTTTTAATATTTTGAAAGATAAATATAAAACGGGATCATTGAAGATTTCTAAATTAATGAAAGGTAATTATACTTAATTATATTTTAGTTCTCTTGAATAAATATTTATTCATTTTAGTAGAATTTAATAAGAAATAAATGAATAGGAAGGAGTAATCTTTGATTGATCATTTATTTGTAAGTTGTATTTTTTATTAATATTCATTAATCAACAGAAAAATGTTAATTAGTTTAAAATTTACTTGAATTCTAATAAGTAGTTGATTGATTCACTAATTTTTATTTGGTTTCATGCAATGGATTGAAAGGTTTAAGTATTGAAAGGGAAGTTTTCAATAACTAAAATAATATTATGTCATTACTTTTCGTTTAGAAAATAAAGAACAAGTAAATCCTAATTTCATTATAAATCTTTATAAATGACTACATACAATATTAAAACCACATTGTTTATGAGTAGCAAATACTTTTTAATAAAATCCTTTAAATTCATGAAAAGTAATTTGATCTTTTGGATTCTTTTTATAGAATCTTTTTAACATATCCTATATTGCTGCAGCTCCTCTTGTTTTATGATTTGTCATATTATTATGAAGTCTTTTCATAAAATTTTCTGATTAGAGATCATTTTATTTGAATTATTCTAAAGGTTAACCTCCATTCTCATTTGCTATTATTTATTTTGCTAATTCTTCATATCCTAAATCTTCATCTTCTGGTTTGAAGAATTCTTCCATTTTTAATACCTATTCTTATTATTTTAAGAATTATTTTTCTAATTCTCCTTTAGATTTCAAAATGATGTCGCTATTTTCAGAATTTCCTTAATCATGTAATTCTACAGAGTTTTTTTAAGTTAATTAACCAATTTTACTATCTAAACTTGTTTTTGTTTAAGGAGGATCAAATTAATTCAAATCTAATAAAGTTTATAATTTTTATTTTCCTTGAGAATCAAGGGATCTTTAATTTCTAAATTGTTTTTATCTAAATGATTCTTATGATTATCGAGAACTTTGAGGAGAAGTGAATTCAAATTATTATAAATTATCTGAACTTAAACCCCCTGTTTAATGTATTATTTAACTTTGATTCAATGCTATAGCAACAGCTGTTTCTAATTTTTTTGGTAATTGTTAAGCTATATTTTATTTGATATTCATAGGAAGATCTAATTAAGTAATTGTACTTTATAGTAATTACATCAATAGATAATTTTCAGTTTAAGTTTCTTAATCAATATGTCCTAATAATATATTTATTAATATTTACTCTAATGCCAATAGGTTGTAAATTATTATTAATCTTCATCATTTAATTTGATAGTCATTTAAAGTTATTATGGAACTGATGTGCTTGATCTTTTAATTGGAGAACTTCCATTAAATTTTAAATAATCTTTTTTATGCTTAATCTATTCATCTGTTTCTTCAATAGTATTTGATTATTTTAAACTAAATTTATCTAAACTTTATTAAGATGTAATATTTGAAGGAATTTCTTCTACAGTTTCAATCATTTAAACATCTACTGTTTTTTTTGTTTGAATATTTTTACTTTAAGTAATTTACTATCCTTTTTTTATGGTTTATTTTTTTTATTCTTTTTAAGTAGTACTTCTTGAAAATTTAACCTTAGTTTTACCATTCTCTGATTAACTATCATCACTCTCCTATAATTATTCCTATCCTTCTGTTTGAATTCTCCTTCCACTTACATTATTCTTTTTATCAACTGACGCAATTCTTTAAGGTTTATTTATGGCTTATCCAGATTATGTCCTTTAAGTTTCAAAATTAGTTGCTGTTTATGTTTCATCTTAATCTTTAATTGAATTTTAATTTTAAAAAAAATCTTTGGATGCTACCTCTAAAGTAGTTTATCTTCTAGTTACTTTATTAGAGAAAGATTGCTTTTTAATTTTTTGTTTCTTCAATTCAGCAGATTAGTTTAATGTAGAATCTTCTTCATCTATTTTAAGAATAGATTTTTATTTTTTTTTCTTTGGATTGAAATTTGTTTAACTTAATTACAAAGATACTTTAACAGATCTTTCTGAATTAGATTTTGGACTATTTGTTTATCTTGATTCTATTTAAACTTAATTTTTATTTTTTATTTTTTAACTTGCTTTAATAGTATTTGAATGAGTAGGAGATCTCTCAAATCCCATATCATCTAATCTTTCTCTATTTGATATTTCACTATTTTTATACATTTATTANGATTCTTATGATTATCGAGAACTTTGAGGAGAAGTGAATTCAAATTATTATAAATTATCTGAACTTAAACCCCCTGTTTAATGTATTATTTAACTTTGATTCAATGCTATAGCAACAGCTGTTTCTAATTTTTTTGGTAATTGTTAAGCTATATTTTATTTGATATTCATAGGAAGATCTAATTAAGTAATTGTACTTTATAGTAATTACATCAATAGATAATTTTCAGTTTAAGTTTCTTAATCAATATGTCCTAATAATATATTTATTAATATTTACTCTAATGCCAATAGGTTGTAAATTATTATTAATCTTCATCATTTAATTTGATAGTCATTTAAAGTTATTATGGAACTGATGTGCTTGATCTTTTAATTGGAGAACTTCCATTAAATTTTAAATAATCTTTTTTATGCTTAATCTATTCATCTGTTTCTTCAATAGTATTTGATTATTTTAAACTAAATTTATCTAAACTTTATTAAGATGTAATATTTGAAGGAATTTCTTCTACAGTTTCAATCATTTAAACATCTACTGTTTTTTTTGTTTGAATATTTTTACTTTAAGTAATTTACTATCCTTTTTTTATGGTTTATTTTTTTTATTCTTTTTAAGTAGTACTTCTTGAAAATTTAACCTTAGTTTTACCATTCTCTGATTAACTATCATCACTCTCCTATAATTATTCCTATCCTTCTGTTTGAATTCTCCTTCCACTTACATTATTCTTTTTATCAACTGACGCAATTCTTTAAGGTTTATTTATGGCTTATCCAGATTATGTCCTTTAAGTTTCAAAATTAGTTGCTGTTTATGTTTCATCTTAATCTTTAATTGAATTTTAATTTTAAAAAAAATCTTTGGATGCTACCTCTAAAGTAGTTTATCTTCTAGTTACTTTATTAGAGAAAGATTGCTTTTTAATTTTTTGTTTCTTCAATTCAGCAGATTAGTTTAATGTAGAATCTTCTTCATCTATTTTAAGAATAGATTTTTATTTTTTTTTCTTTGGATTGAAATTTGTTTAACTTAATTACAAAGATACTTTAACAGATCTTTCTGAATTAGATTTTGGACTATTTGTTTATCTTGATTCTATTTAAACTTAATTTTTATTTTTTATTTTTTAACTTGCTTTAATAGTATTTGAATGAGTAGGAGATCTCTCAAATCCCATATCATCTAATCTTTCTCTATTTGATATTTCACTATTTTTATACATTTATTAAGAAGAATCTAATCTTTAATCAATTGAATAACCATCTTCATTCAATTAATTTTCAAAATCATATGCAGATTTATATCTACTTGTTTATCTAGGTGTTCCATTTTATGAATTTTATATATTTTAATCATCACTTTTATCTTAAAACTCTGTATATTAGTATTTTAATTCTCTCCCTGAACTTGGACTTATTTTATTTAATTCACTTTTTAGTTAATAAACTTTTTATTAAAATTATTAATTATCTTTTTGTAATTTTTAAATTAAATTTTATTATCCAATATCAGTACATTAAATAGCTTAATCTTAAAATGTCTTAGAATTAAAAGAAGTAAGTTACTTTTCTAATTTCTTAAATTCATAATTTAATTATGCTTTATCTTGTTCTGATTTACTAACATTTAATTTCATTGATTCCAATTCTAAAGCAGTTTGTATATATTAATTTTCTGTTTATCTAACCTTATTTTATAATTCAAATATTTCTTAATTCTTTTTATCAACTTCCATTTTCTTTTCAATTAATTCTTATTTTATTTTTTCACTAATTTAAGATTCATCAACAGAACTTTAATTACCTCTCTTTGATGAACTTAATTTATCTTTTTTATGTTAAGGTTATTATACTTACAATGTTCTACTTTTCAATAATTCATCCTATTTTTATTTCTGTTACATTTATTAAAACAATTTAGCAACAATTTTAAAAGTTTCTGATTATATATCTTTATAATTATGTGTTATATGATGTAAAAAATCATCCAAAACATCTTTTACAATTTATGGTTCTTATTTAGATGCCTCTACCATTAATTAATCCATTTCAGTTGTTTTTGTGTAAATTGTTTTATATATTGATTTTAACTTTTCTGTTGCTGATGATTCAGCCACTTAATTTAACTCATGTTTCTCTTACATCACCTTTTATATTTCTTCTAAATTCTTTAAATTTTCTTTTGTAATTTCTGATAATTTTATCTCTAAATAATCTTTATTAAATCCTCTTATTGCTTCTTAGATATCTAAATTAGTATCTGTCCCTTGACTAACCATTAATGTTATTTTTGGATCATATCTTTTCATTACTATTTACATATTCAATTTATTACTCTACCTTAAGACTTCTTGCAAAATCTCTCTTTAATTGTCATCAATTTCATAGTTCATTTTATGCTTATATTCAGTTTAAGGTTATCCAGAAATTGATGGTAATCCTGTTTATTATCTACTCATCTATCTCATCATATTTTTTGTCTAAGGAGTCTGATAAGCTGATACTCGTACACCTCCTAATTAACCTATTTCTCCTATTCCATCTTTCATTTATCTTTTTGTCTATGATATCAATTCCATCTTTTATTGAAAATCACTTGTCTCATTATCAAACTCATTAACCATTTTACTATTATAAACAGTTTTGTATAATTCTTTCCATACTGATGACAATTTATTTACTATATGACTAAACTCATTCAAATCTCTTGATTACAATAAGAAACCTATTTCATTAGCAGCAGCATCCAAATTATTTGATATTGTTTACAAATTTGCTTAAATGCCTTATTTAACGATTGATTTATTCAATCCTTACAAGAATTATTGTAGTTTTTGTATACTTTAATGTTCTGCTGAACTTTATTGATTTGATAGCATTTTAGAGATATAATCTTAACAAAAAAAAACAATAAATAATAATTAACTCAAAGTAATTCATAAAAGTTATTTATTTATATTTTCTCTTAAAAATGCTGGATTAAGAATTAATTATTTTTATTAAATACTTTAATTTTTCTTAATTAAATCTAATAATGTTTTTGACAAATCTGAGGATTTTTATTATAAGCAATAATTCACAACTTAATTATAGTTTATAATTAATAATAGCATCACTGATAATTAAATGGCAAAATTGTCATTAGGATGCTCATTTAAATAATCAATTAACCTATTAATTATTTTTTTTAATTCTTTAGTATCTTCAAATGTATATTGAAAATCTTTTGTTTGCATAATCATAGTTCTATGTTAACCAATAATTTATTCAATCTATTTTTTTATTATAAAATGACTTGGTATTAAGTCATATTGATTTTATATTAATTTTAATAATTGTTATATCCCATGTTAATTTTAACCCATAGGAGATAAGCTATTTTCTTTGAAATTATTACTAAAAGTTCTCTTTAATTTAGAATTTTAATTGAAATTATAATATCCATTATTCATAATATTATTGATTGGATCTCTTGTCTTTTCTTCAATCTAAAATTCAGTTACTTTTGTTTTATTAGATGAATTTTCTTAGTCTAAAATATGTCTATTAGATGTATTAGTTGACTTAGATTAGAGATAACTAGGAGATTTACTCTACTCATTATTATCTTTTTAATCTTATGGTGTTGTATGGGCATTTTCCAAATATTTCATTAAACTGAGTTTTTTATTAGCAAACTTAATTATTGAATTACTCCTTTCTCTTTCAGAATCTGATGTAATAGTTGTAGTTTGTCTTTAAGGTGTGACTTTTTAAAGATAAGATAATTTTGGAGTTGTGCATTTAACTTTTTATCTTTCATCTGATTTATCCTTATCATGATTATTGGCATTGCTTAAGCTTCTATTATGACGACTAGTGAAATTGCAATTTCCCATACTTTCAGTTCTTAATTTAGTTCTTTGATGTGGTCCTTTTTCAATATTTTCAGTAGCTTAATTATTTTATTAGTTTTGCTAACTTTAATATTGTATAGGATGTTTTTAAATTAGAGGTAGCATACTTTGGTTTGGAATATTGATTAAATCTTAAGTATTTGTTAATTCAAATAGACCATCCCATGAAATTCTTTTATCTTCATATATTTAGAGGCAACTTCTAATTATCTATTTAGTTTAATCGCTTACTCTTGGAAAGCATGGAAAATCTAAGGGCTTGAAATAATATAATCTAATACTTTGGAATCCAATTTTGCCATTAATTCAACAAGATTTGAAGAATGCCATGGAGTTATGCCATATAGCAATTCATATAAAATTAAACCTAATGACCATATGTCACATTTAGATGTATATGATTGTCTTTTTAATATTTATGGACTCATATAAAGAGGAGTACCAACCAAAGAATTCATTATGGCATCTATATGTGAATCAACCTATTTAGCAAAACCAAAATCAGTAATTTTAAACTCTCCATCATGTATCATGATATTTGCAGGTTTTATATCTCTATGAATGATACCAATTTTCAATAAGGCTTTTATGCCATGAAGCAAATCCCTAAATATATTCATAGCATCAACTTCAGAGATCAATCTAATAGTAATAAAAAAGTAATACTTTCTTTTTTTTAAATACTCCCTTAAATCTCCTCCATTACAATACTCAGTAATTATATATGTATTATTCACACTTTGTAAGACATCAATTAATTTGACAATATTTTTATCTTCTATTAGTTTCATAATCTCAATTTCTGATGCAATTAATTAATTGGCATAGTCTGTCTATAATATTTTTTTATCTATAATTTTCAAAGCTACAATCTTATCTGAATTGAATATTATTAATGATTTTACTGTCATTCATATTCTTGCCAGCATAAACAGTTCCGTAAGCTCCTTTTCCTACTTTTGCCTTGAAACTAAATTAGTAATTCTAGATTTTCTTATCAGGAGGGTATTGAAGAAAGGACATTTTGAATTTGAAATTAAAATAAAAAATTAAAAAAAATCTAAATAAGTTGCGCAAGAAATAATTCTTATCATATTATAAAAATAATCAAGAGATATATTAATGGTCAAATTTTACTAAGATTTTTTCGATTATATTATGCATAAAATCTAGTATTTCCTTAGATTTTACATTCAATTTAGAATTTAATGATTCATTTGCATATATTTATTTGATTAATCACTAAAAAGTGTTGATTAACTATTTGTAAAATTATTTTCATTTTTAATATCTAAAGTTATGTATAATTATTAAATTTATTTGTGATATTAAAATTTTAATGCAAATAATGTTCAATATTTTCTATTTGAAGAAATTCTCTAATAGGAGAATCCAGATGTAGTTTCAACTGATTGAATTGTTTAAACATTTGCAACATCATTATTTTATCTATATTAATTTACCATTTATTGTTAAACTTATTTTTCATTATTACTTCTTAAGACATCCAATTCTGCTGACATCATTGCAACTAAACACAATAAATCAGTAATTTTATTTGACAAATCTTCATTTGATTAGAACATTGAACTATTATACTAAATATTGATATTATCATTACTACCAAAATTACCTTATGTACCATTATTTCTATCTATTATATTAGTTTTTGCTTTTAATCTTTAAATTTCTAGTGAAAGCATAGCAATTCTATTTTCATATTCAATAATTAATTTTTTTAATCTTTCATATTCATCTAAATCAATTCCTAAAGTTTTATTTTATAATTCAGTATATTTAACTGTCATTTCCTTAACTTAAACTGTTAATTAATTGAACTTTTCTTAAATTGGTTGCAAAATACCAGATAATCTTTCATTTTCTGCTGCAATCAATAAATATTAAAGTAAAATATTATCTCCTGTATCTGCTTTCTTTAAGGCATCTTAAACTTAGTTCATCAATGTCTATTATTAAGATTCTAAAAGTTCACATCTTTCAATAGTTTATAGTAATTCTATATGTTTAGCTTCTAATAACTTCTTTAATCTTTCTATTTCATTTATAAATTATTAATTCTTATTAACAGCATCTCTATTAGTTTTCTCAATTTATCTATACTCTAAAAGAGCCAATTCTATTCTAGAATGCTTTTATTTCCAATCTTCAGTTTCTGAAGTTATTTGTTTCACTAAAGAATTTAATCTCTCTATTTCAGTCATTAAAACTGCAATTCTATGATCAGATTACTTAAGTCTATCTTCCATATTAGAATATTCATTAAATTTTAATTCTAATTATTTAATCTTTTCTTTATAATCTTCTGCTATCCTTCTTAATTTAGTTAATTCCTCTTAATTTCCATTAGTTACTGCCTATTATTCTTATAATGATTATTAAAGATTATTATTTTAATCTTACAATTAGTTATTAGATTCTTCTAAATTTTAAACTTCTCTAACTAATTAAGATATTTCATTTTCTTTTTAAGCTAATTCATCTTATTATTATGCAATTACTGAATTAGCTCTATCTAATTCTGATTTGGCTTATGCAAGTTCATCTTGTAAATCTCTCATTTATTCAAGATTGTTTCTAAGTTTTCCTAATTCTTTTTGTTATTAATCATACTAATTTTTCATTTGATCTAATAAACCTCTTAATCTTTCTAATTCTCTATCAGCCAACTACTTTTATCCAGCTTCTCTATTTAATTATTAATTATCTTTCTCAAACTTTTATAAATCATCTTCCAATGTATCAATATAATTATCCATTTCAAGCAATTTAGCTTCTAAATCTTTTATTCTTTTTAATGCATCTTCTAATTCTTATTATTTTTAATCAAATAATCTTTATTTCTCTTTAAGATTGTTCTGTAAATCTGAAACCTTGTCATTTAATTAATTCTTCTCATCTTATAGTTCATTAAGTTAATCTTTTATTTCATCAAGTTATCCTAAATTTTATGTTTGATTTTCTAAATCTTATTATAAATTATTATTTTCCTAAACTAATTCTTAATTCTATCTTTTAAGATCATCAGTTTGTTATTTCAAATTCTAATTTTCTTATTATGATTTAGATAAATCAGTCTAAGCTTTCCTTAAGTCTCCTTATGCTTTTTATAAATCTCCTTATGCTCTTTATAGATCATTTTTAGATCTTTATAATTCATTATTCATTTATGCAAGTTTAGTTTCATTGTCTCTGAATAATGTCTATAATTTATTAACTTCATCATCTTTAGCTTTTAATAACATTTTGTATCTAGATAACTCTTAAGCCAAACCCACTACTTTTTCTTCTAATTCATCTATCTTTTATTACAAAAATCTAATTTAATCATCCTAAGAACCTTAATTTTATTATAATTCAGATAAGAGTCTCTAAAATATATCATTTTATATTAACCTTTAAATCTCCTATTTCTCTATCTTTTGATTACAATTATTTTTTATTTTCATCTAAATTTTTTAATAATTAATCAGGATTTTAGTTATTCAATTACATTTTCATCTTATCCAATTCTGCAGCTTTCTTTTTTAATTAATCAAGCTCCTTTTATATATCAGCTATTAATTCAAATTATTATTTTACATGGATTTGAAAATTATTTACTTATTTCATCAAATTTATCGGCTTTTTATCTTAATTTTTCTAATTCTTTTTCTAAATCTGAAAAGTTTTTGCCATTTAATTTTTTATTAATATCATCAAATTGTTATGCCTTTTTTTTCAAATTTTCTAATTCTTTTAATAATTCATCTAAAATCCTACTCAATTTAGATACCTGGAGCTTTAACACCTATTTTCTTTTACAAATCATCTAAAATCTTAGCTTTTTTTCTGAGTTCTTCTAATTCTTTTGAAATCTCTTCAGGTGCTTTCCCTCCAAATAGTTTATTTTATAATTATAATTGCAATTCTAAATCTCTTTAAGATTTCCTCCAATTTGGATCATAATCTTTGAGTTACTCTTCAAGTCTTCTAATTTCATCTTCCAACTCTCTAATTATTATTACAAGTCTTTCACGTTCTTCAGAATAGCTATTTACTTCACTAAATGAATTATAATTGAAATAATACGATGTTTGATTTTTCAATTTTTCCATTAAATCCCTAATTTACATCTCATAATTCACTCTATCTAATCCTGAGTCTATAAAATTTTGAATCTCCTATTTCAATTAAGTATTTTCTTTAACTAGCCTTTCTACTTCTACTGCCATTAAAAAGCAAGCAATATCCAATTCCTGATTCTATCGTTTTCCCAAATCATTTCTAAAATAATTATCTTTGATACTTATATCTCACTCTTGTTTCATATCCAGGAACATTCAACTCCTTTGAGATTGCCTCTGATGTGTATCTTTAAGATGTAAAAGAACTTTAATAAGTTCTTTAGTATCCTGACATTATGTTAAATTATATATTCCGTTTTTATTTAAAACTATAGTTATTGAATAACCACCAAAAAAAAAAGAATATGTATACATTAATTATATAGTTATATGAACTTTAACAATTATGGTTTACAATTTGTATAGAAATATAATATTAATAATATTTTTCTATATTTTAACAATTTTAAATAACTTAATACTATATCAAATCAGAACTAGAAAATATCTATCAAAACCATTAAGATGACTGCTCATGAAAAAATATAATAGTGTATATATTATACTTTATTAATTTTCTATCATTATCTTACAATATATTAGGTAAAATAATGCTTATAAAATTTAAAGTATTTATATTGAATAAAAACATACTCAATTCTATATAAAAAGTATTTAAATGTCTTAACTTATTATCAAAAAATAAAGCAAAATATCTTAAACAATTCAACAATATACTTAATTTGACGTATTTGATATTCTTTCAAGAAGTTCTATTTAAATACAAAATTAGATAAATTAAAATTCTGATGATATTATAATTACATAGATTTATTACAATTTAAGGAATATTATTACACAAAATGAAGAATACCTATTTCTGATTTATTTTATAAAATTCGAGATAATCAATATATTAATTAAAAAATTATAATTGACATTTAGTGAATTAATGAGTTCCTATATTCAATCCTAATTTAATATTTCAGATAAATAATTGTTTGATTTTACAAAACCTTAGCCAAACTCAGATTCAGATGAAGATGAATTAAATCAATCATTACTATTAATGAATAATAAAGATTATAAAAAATAAAAGAAACTTATTGATATTGAATCAATAAAATCAGAACTAAATAAGTTACCACCTTTCACTATTGATCATTAGCAAAAAAAATATAGTAAAAAATTTCAGAAAGCAAGTCTAAGAACTTTATCGAATACATTCATTCCAACTTCACCAATTTTAATTGAACAACTTGGATAAGTAAAATCAATAAAATTTATGAAAGAATAAATTCCACCTGAAATTATGCATAAAGTATATACTTAATTAAGGTATTACTTATATATTAGATTTTAGATATTAATACATTCCAGCATTTAATATAGTATATAGATAGGGAGACCAAAATAAATACTTTTATATTATTCTAGATGGAAGATGTGTAGTTTTAAAACCGAAAGAAAAAATGGTTGGAATTAATAGTATAGAGATTGAATTAGATTAAGAAAATAAATCAACTATTGATCCTTATGGTTTAAAGAGTTTATTTCCTGAGTATATGATAATGAAAATGCTATTTTCTGGAGAGTATGATTTTTAAATAGAAAATTGTTAGTTCTTTTGGTGAAGTTGCTATAAAATTGGAAAGTTCAAGGGCTTCAACAGTTTTTGCAGTTGAAAATACTCATCTTTTATATATGACTGAAGCAGCATATGTTTAGTTATTGGATCCTTACTTAAGTGAAGCATTAGAAGAAAAAATATAATATTTTAAAAGAAATACACTATTCACATCAGCTGATTCAGATTTGAATGAAATAATGGGAATTTTATTAGAATGTAGAAAAATATCATATAAATCTGGAGAAATCATATATCAAGAAGGAAATAAATCCAATTCCTTATTTTTTATCATTAATGGAGAAGTTTAACTTTCTAAAACGATTGGAGACAGGAATTTAGTATTATCTTCTTATGGAGAACATTAATAATTTGGAGAAGTGGAAATTTTGAATAAAATCACAAGATTTACTACAGCTAGAGCTATATCACCAAGATTAATTGTTTATAAAATAAGAAAAAATAAATTTTTTAATAATCTAGGCAACTTTGTTGTTTATGATAATATGAAGAAATAATCTAAATTAATTCTTTAACATTGGAATATAATTTATAAATCTGCTATTGCATAAATGAATGATCAAAATAATGTAAAAGCTGTATATCAATATAGGTTTATTTGCATATTGATAAAAAGAAAACATAAGAAAAAAGAAAAAAATATCACTCATCTAACCATAGTATGAGTTAAGTTTAAGTATATCAAAATATGACAGAATCAGGTATAATAAATGATGATTCTTGTGAACTACTCACAGAAGATAAGGGATAGAGAGTTTTTAGTAATGCACTTCAATAATATTAGTAAAAATTAAAGAAATTTGGAAATCAAAATCTTGAATCCTAAACAAAATAAGTTAGAGAACTGTATTAAAATACTTAAATTATTAAGTACTTATAATGATGAGAGACTAGTTCCTAAATTAAGATAGAGGAAGTTGGAAAAATTCTCTTTTCATGCTAAATTGCCTAGCATAAGTCCTAATAAAATTCTCCCTTAGATGAATTTAGATTAGATTCTAGATTCAATAACAAGATTGCCAAAAGTACCTTAGGATAATTTAATACTCTCTTTAATGTATCAAGAAGCATATAAATCCAATAACCCTGATAAAAAGGCTAGATAAGTCCAATAACTTATATAAGCTTCATTCAAAAAAGTCAGAAAATATTAAACCTCTAAAGAACCAATATTAAACTAAGCAAGATTCAAATCTACTGATTCTTTATTGAAGAATCTTAAAATTAATGACAGTTTAGAAGAAAAGAAAGAGAAAATAGATTATCTAAATTTCGTTTAGCCAAAAAAAATATTTTGATTTATTTTTAATAAAATTTTATGGAAAATTTATAAATTTCTTAATTTTTAATAAATTGGATAATCTTAATTGTTATTTACACTTTTTATTAGATTTTAGATTATAAAAGTAATGTTCAGATAGCAGTGTAAAATACTCAATAAGTTTAAAATGAAGTAAACTCTCTTAAAGTTCAACTAATCAAGAAAAATTAAGTAAACTATTTAGAATTAGAGATTGGATTACAATTAAAACTTTGAGATTATAGAATAAGAATAATCCAAATATTATTTGTTTTTTATTCATATTATTTTACTATATTTATACACTAAATTTATAGCTCACTCTTTTGTTGCTTTGGCATCTTTTGTTGCTTTACCATCTTTTCCAGTTTTTCCTTCTTCTTCTGAATTTTTATCAGCTAAACCATCTGTTTCTATTTGGGAAAACTTACTTTTGCCACCTCTCACTAGAACACCTCTCTTTTTCTTATTATTTAATTTATTCTAAATTTAATTATATAAAATTACTTCCTTTGTGAGATCTTAAATATGTAAAGGATTTGGACCTTTATTACCAAGATCATAATTCACTTCCTCTTCTTATTTATTTTATTTTTATTTTCCATCCTTTCTTTTATTTTGTTGTTCATCTTTAAAAAGAATGTCAATAATTCCTTTTATTGTTTCTTTGACACTATCTATTTCAGTAAAATTCATCATTTTATAAAACAAATACTTATGGGAAGGTATGCATTTATATCTAATTTCTAGTAAGAATTTCATGAAATTCTAATAACTTGTAAATTCTTTTAATCTCTTATAAGTATTTGTAATTTCAAATATTAAATCATGATCCAAGGGAATTTTCTTTTCAAAGATATAAACACGAATAACATCTTAAAATAATGCCTTGGTATCATCTGATTCATTAGCATTTTCTTATTATTATAATAATGATAAAAAGGCTTTTAACATTGTAATGTCATAAACATTAGGAAATTTGACACCATAATCAGCCCAAATTTTTAAGGCATCTTCAAAAAAGTTGACATGAGATAAAAGCCAAAGTCTATAATCAAGTATATCATATTAATATCTAAATCTCTTAGCATCATTGATAACTAATCTTGCATCATCTGGTAATTTTGAATCCAACAATAATTATGAAAATTTTCTTACAAATTCTTTAAGTTAGTCTTTTTATTATTATTTATATTCAGTCATAATTTTATTGACTTCAACTGGATCTTAAGTTGGAATTTATCTAAGTTTTCTTCCCATTAATTAATCTTTCAAAGATTCATACAAAGACATATATCTATCTCTCTTATTCTAATTAATTAATCTTTAAAATATTGGTTATAATTCTTCAAACTTTAATACCCATTAATAAGCATAATAGAATCCAATAATCAATTATTCAGCTTCTGCTTCAAAGTGTTTAAATTAATATAATAAATTTACAATCTTTCTCATTTATGTAAAATTGATAGTTATTTTAGTTGACAAAAATGCATAAAAGAATTCAGCACAAGTTTAAGGAATTTTATTATTCTTAGTAATTTATGTAATCTTTTCAAATGTAGAATCATAAAGTACAGTCTCATAAAGACAATAATGAGCTAATACTCTCTTATATAATAATCTGTTATAATTTCCTTCTTACATAATGTAATCCAATAAATAATTATATCCTTTTGATCCAATTGAAAATGGTGTGCATGTCTAATTAATATATTTTCCATAATTCTTTTCAATATCTCCATATTATGTAGTATATTTAACTCTTATCTTTTCATTCACTTCAATTTTATTTTTAACTTAACAAATGATCTATGTAAATATTATTTTTGATTCTAAAGGTTTTTTAGCTTCTAATGCCTAAATAAGTTCAGATATCAAATATAAGTGATAACCATCTTCACTAGATTTGATTCCACTTAAAAAGCTTTAAACATCCTCAACTAATTATTATCTTGACTAATCTTCTTTAAATAATTATTCAATCTAAAAATGAGCTTTAGCACTTAAATCTGTATTGTACAATTAATTATCAATTACATATTATTCTTATAATTGAGGTTAAATTGGTTTATCTTATTCAGTACTTTCAAAGGGTAATTTATGAACTGATTCATTTGTATCACTTGCTTTAGTTCTTCTAAATCTTTATGGTTATTCTACTTTTTAGAACATTTCTGATTATTTTTTCTACTCTTATCTAATTCTTATTAAACTAAGAAATTATTAATAATATATTACTTATCACCATCCTCTGAAAATATTGATTTAAGTTATTATGTCTCTCCTTTCTCTAAGAGAATCTTACCATGCTTTCTTGACTATTATTATTTCTTTTATTATTATAATTAATTTAATTCTTCTTATTATTTAACTTCTAAATCAATTGATTCAACAGATTTTAAATAATTCATGAAACCTGTTCCTTCATCTTTTGGAATTTCTTAATATTTTTAAGTGCAAAAGTTTGATTTTAGTTTTTAAACAAATTATTTCTCTCTATATTCTTTAATCATTGGACGGTTTTCAATAATGATATTATGTAACATTTTAGAAAACTTTGTAAAGGTTTTAACTCTAGCTAATCTTATTTAATTATATTATTATTTCTCTTCTGTGAGGGAAAAGATTTCTTCTTCCAAAGTCTTTTCTTAAGGTTATTCCTCAGTTGTTGTTTCTTATGTTTCTTATGGCTTTTCTTAACCTTCTTCTGTAGGTGTTTATTCTGGTTAAACTTAAACTGGACAAATAGTTTATAAAAGTGGTTAAATTTTTGAATGTTTTCTTAAACGAGTTTAAAGATCAGCCAATTCTTTTGATATTTCTGCCCTATGCTTATATTTTCTCAATTTTCTTTTTCTTTGTAAGAATTATTTTGTTAGATTATATCTTAAAAAGTTTCTATGTTATAGATTTTTCCTGTAAACTAGTCTATGTGCAACATCGACAATATCAGATTTATAATTTTTATAGTGAAAGAGAGAAGATAATTCTTTTTCTAATAATAGTGTAGAGTTTTGTAAAACAGCTTCTTTAATTGCATTTTCTTTGACATCATATGCAATAGTTTGATTAGAGTATATCAAATTAGATGAACTTGGATTATAGCGAATTTAGAATTAAGAAACCTCAATATATTTCCCTTTTAAGAATATTCCATCAAGATTTGTATAATTTTATAAAGTCAATGGTTTTTCTATAATTTAAATATTTATTTACTTGATTTTTGTTGTTGATATTCAATTAATCCTTTTTAGTACAATGAATAATATGTTTTAACATTTAGGTTTTATAAAATTTATGGTAATTCCTATTCTAAATAAAAAGTATATCTTTCATCTCCCATTGTTTATTTAAAACTTTCTAAAATATCTTTGATTGGAAAAGCATGTGTCAATCTTTATAATAATAAATATTATAATGCAATAGCTACAATTGCTTTATCAAATGTTTCAGATCCAAAAAATAAATCTGCTAAATATAATTACAATTCTTTATTTAAATTAATCTTAAATTTAACATTCAATAGAGTAACAAGTTATTATTTTAATGATTCCTAATTTACTTAACCCCCCCATTAGATATTTAAAATACCCTTAATAAAAGATTCATAATTAAGTAATTTAGTAGCATTTTCATTAAAAAAGAAATATTATAGTAATAATTAATCTTATTCTGGGACTTTCTTAAGAAATTAATCAAATTTTTCTTAATCTTCAAAATACAATTCTTTGTTCTTCAATTCACAAAATCTGAGGATTGGTAAAAATTTAGTATTCTTATACTCTATTTCTTTAATAATTTAATTAATATGTTCTGGATTTAAATACTTCTAATAATGAACATAGAATTATTCAGGTAATTGATTAAGGTATATTTAAAATGATGGTCTGTTAAAAATTAAAGTTCTATTAATATATATATTTAAAAATACGTAAATTATTCTTCTTTCATAAATCCATAAAGTCCACTAGTAAAATGAGATTTCAAAAATTCATAAACTTGAGATGGTTGAAAACTATCATATCTCATAATGAGGTTAGTCAAATTATAATTTTCAAAATCTCTCTATCTTTATTTAAATTTATCAAATAAATTTGGATTAGTTATCTATTTTTGACCTGCAAGTTCTCTATTCATTTATTCTGTGATATCTTCTTTTGTTGGCTTATATGGTCTTATTTTGTTAGAAAATATATAATCTCTTTTATATTTGAAGATCTTCTTTTCATGTACTAAGTCTCTAAAGATTCTCTATTTACTAGTCCTACTAATACGAGAAACTCTTTTTATTGGTTTTTGACCTTCTTAGCCTTCTTCACCTTCTTGTGTCTCAGTGATTGCTTCTTCAGCTTTTTACTTTTTTGGGTTGAAATATTAGTTTATTTTCTTGATCATCTCTTCTTTATTAGGTTTATATCTATAATAGCTTAATAGAATCCTTTTTAATAAAAAATTGCCTTAATATGAATGAGAATATTACTTTATTTTTATCTATTGATTTCTTATTATTCTTCATAAGTATATTTTAACCTAGTCTTCTTTTTTTCTGTATCTTAAGACTCTGAAAACTCATAAAAACAACCTGTTGTTGGTAAATACCTCTAAAGGAGGGCTCGCTTTACATAGTTTTTAATCATAAATAAATTAAAATTATTTATTAAACAGAATTTGATTTTCATTGAGGATATATGTTTGAATATTGGTTCTTTATTTTATACATATTTCTTATTTATCATCAATTATAATAATTCCAAATCTTCAATAAGAAATCAGCATCAGTGACTTTAATTTCTCCTACTGCATCAACCAATTTTTAAGTATCTTATTTTAATTTTGAATACTCTTGTGGCACCTCAAGATTATTTAAAATTTATTTGTAAGTTTGAGCAGTGATAGTTGTATTAAATTTTTAAACATCTGGATTAACAAGGATATTCTATTCACCTTATTTTCTAAGACTATAGATAGCTTTCTAACAATTATAAATTTAATGATATTACTAATTCATAATAATGATTTTCGATATCTTCAACATTTTTGAAATCAAGATAAGGAGTCTTAGTTTCATCATTGAGAATTTCAGAGGGGAATAATTATTCCAAATCTACTCCTTCAAAAACTGATTTAGCATCAGGTACATTAGGAGGATTTAAGTTGTCACTATAAAATACTTTTAAATGAGGGTTTTTTCTATAATTAGATTCAAATTCAAGGTTGGCTTCCTTAGCTTTTGCTTCAGCCTTAGCAAATAATTCTTCAACTAATTTTGAAAATTCTTAATCTTTATCCTTAATTCTTTCTGTATCAAATTCATATGATTTTGTAGTTCTGCCACCATAAATATCTTTAGTTTCTTTCTTTTTCTATAGATTTTCTAAATCAATATCTTCACTATCTGTATGGGTTTCATCAGCACTGATATATTTATCGTCTTTTTCATCTTTAGTTTGAGTTTCCTTCCCATCAAATTTCTCAATAAGACTATTATCATTAGTGATCATATAATCTTTTCCACCTTCTGATTCAAATAAATTAATTTATGATTTTGCAGCTTACATAATTTATTAANGGCTTATATGGTCTTATTTTGTTAGAAAATATATAATCTCTTTTATATTTGAAGATCTTCTTTTCATGTACTAAGTCTCTAAAGATTCTCTATTTACTAGTCCTACTAATACGAGAAACTCTTTTTATTGGTTTTTGACCTTCTTAGCCTTCTTCACCTTCTTGTGTCTCAGTGATTGCTTCTTCAGCTTTTTACTTTTTTGGGTTGAAATATTAGTTTATTTTCTTGATCATCTCTTCTTTATTAGGTTTATATCTATAATAGCTTAATAGAATCCTTTTTAATAAAAAATTGCCTTAATATGAATGAGAATATTACTTTATTTTTATCTATTGATTTCTTATTATTCTTCATAAGTATATTTTAACCTAGTCTTCTTTTTTTCTGTATCTTAAGACTCTGAAAACTCATAAAAACAACCTGTTGTTGGTAAATACCTCTAAAGGAGGGCTCGCTTTACATAGTTTTTAATCATAAATAAATTAAAATTATTTATTAAACAGAATTTGATTTTCATTGAGGATATATGTTTGAATATTGGTTCTTTATTTTATACATATTTCTTATTTATCATCAATTATAATAATTCCAAATCTTCAATAAGAAATCAGCATCAGTGACTTTAATTTCTCCTACTGCATCAACCAATTTTTAAGTATCTTATTTTAATTTTGAATACTCTTGTGGCACCTCAAGATTATTTAAAATTTATTTGTAAGTTTGAGCAGTGATAGTTGTATTAAATTTTTAAACATCTGGATTAACAAGGATATTCTATTCACCTTATTTTCTAAGACTATAGATAGCTTTCTAACAATTATAAATTTAATGATATTACTAATTCATAATAATGATTTTCGATATCTTCAACATTTTTGAAATCAAGATAAGGAGTCTTAGTTTCATCATTGAGAATTTCAGAGGGGAATAATTATTCCAAATCTACTCCTTCAAAAACTGATTTAGCATCAGGTACATTAGGAGGATTTAAGTTGTCACTATAAAATACTTTTAAATGAGGGTTTTTTCTATAATTAGATTCAAATTCAAGGTTGGCTTCCTTAGCTTTTGCTTCAGCCTTAGCAAATAATTCTTCAACTAATTTTGAAAATTCTTAATCTTTATCCTTAATTCTTTCTGTATCAAATTCATATGATTTTGTAGTTCTGCCACCATAAATATCTTTAGTTTCTTTCTTTTTCTATAGATTTTCTAAATCAATATCTTCACTATCTGTATGGGTTTCATCAGCACTGATATATTTATCGTCTTTTTCATCTTTAGTTTGAGTTTCCTTCCCATCAAATTTCTCAATAAGACTATTATCATTAGTGATCATATAATCTTTTCCACCTTCTGATTCAAATAAATTAATTTATGATTTTGCAGCTTACATAATTTATTAAGCAGTTGAATTATCCATTTTTACAATTGTAATATATTTATCCCATAATTCAAGTAGATTATATAATCTAATAAGTTATTTATTCATTTCTTCTAATCTTTTTACTGGATTTGTTTCAAGTTCTTCTATTTTTTAAGCAATAACAGTTTAAAATGCACTATTTACTTTGTCTAATTATTCAGCCATTTCTTTTTCACTTAATTTTTTGTCTGTTAAAATAATTGCTTGACAAGTATCCCATTCAAATTTTAAATTTCCTAAAACATTATCTTATTTTAAGAATTTGATTAAAGTCACAATTCTTTGATATAATGGCATACCAAGTCTATTTTTCCATTCTAATTAGATATTTGGATCATTTAATCTAAATAAATAAATATATATTATATACTTATCAATTTCATCATATTAAGCTGTTTCATAAAGAATAGCTTTTTCTTGTAAATCATGATAATAAGACATTTCATCTAAAACAGTATCAGGAATTAATAGATTTCCAACTAATTTTTCATATGAATTTTTATCAGAAATCCAATTTTTTGATTCTTCATTTAATACTCTAATAATTTATTGCCTATTCATTTTTTTAATATCTTATTCAACTAGATATTTTTTAACTCTTTCATTTCTAACTCTTCTAATGTCTTATAACTTATTGAATTATTATGTTGCATTAAATGTTTAGATTACAGTTTAATTTCTTCTATAAATATCAAGTCTCTCTTATTTTGCTTTTTCTTTTGCCAAATAGTCATCTATATATTAATTTTCAATTTTAGTTTATTCTTCCCAAAAGTCCTTGACAATTCTTGACCTATACTTTGATATCTTTAATTTCCTACCTAATTCATTAAATGTTTATATTCAATCCTTTCTTTATCATACTCTGACATCTTAGGGGCTGGCCTTCTTAATTTATAATTAAACGAAGGAACACAAACTAACTGTCTCTTTCCTACCCTAATTAATTGTAGCATATTAAATATTTTAATTTTATTTTAATATCAGGATTTAAATATATCATAAAATTATACAAATAAATTGTATATTCCAATTCCCATCATCAAAGTGTAGAATGCAATCCTAGCAAACATAGGAATCGAATTCTTATCCTTATGATTCACACAATTTTATTGAGTATTAAATTAATCATCTTCATCCCCTATCAAAGTGACTTTATTCTAAGTGTAATAACATTTCAAATGCAAACTGATTGGAACTATGTATACTAATAAGAACCCACAAACTGCTCCATCAAAAGAAATTACAACTCCAACTGGAATATTCAAAATTTAGATTGTTAAACATAAAACCATAAACAAAATGCTGAATCCCCAATATACCATTTTAGATGGTTCCTTTTTATTATAAAGTACTTCTAATATCTAATATTTGCTAATATTATTAAATATTGGAAATGCTGTAACCAAATGTACTAAAAATAAACTCTCTATTATAATAATCTCTATATCTGATTTCTTAAAACAATTAAGTATCGTTTAAGCATCATGAACATTTTCAATTCCCTAAATTAATTTAAGTTATTACCAGAATTCCAATTGAACCAAATATTCCAACTATGCCATAAATTATTCCTGCAATTGTATAAGCTATAGCCAAATCTCTAGAATTATTATCTCTCTTTTCATTATTTTTCATTAATTATCCTATAGCATTATGAATCATAAAGGCTAAAGCAAATTAACCAGCNGATAATAAGACATTTCATCTAAAACAGTATCAGGAATTAATAGATTTCCAACTAATTTTTCATATGAATTTTTATCAGAAATCCAATTTTTTGATTCTTCATTTAATACTCTAATAATTTATTGCCTATTCATTTTTTTAATATCTTATTCAACTAGATATTTTTTAACTCTTTCATTTCTAACTCTTCTAATGTCTTATAACTTATTGAATTATTATGTTGCATTAAATGTTTAGATTACAGTTTAATTTCTTCTATAAATATCAAGTCTCTCTTATTTTGCTTTTTCTTTTGCCAAATAGTCATCTATATATTAATTTTCAATTTTAGTTTATTCTTCCCAAAAGTCCTTGACAATTCTTGACCTATACTTTGATATCTTTAATTTCCTACCTAATTCATTAAATGTTTATATTCAATCCTTTCTTTATCATACTCTGACATCTTAGGGGCTGGCCTTCTTAATTTATAATTAAACGAAGGAACACAAACTAACTGTCTCTTTCCTACCCTAATTAATTGTAGCATATTAAATATTTTAATTTTATTTTAATATCAGGATTTAAATATATCATAAAATTATACAAATAAATTGTATATTCCAATTCCCATCATCAAAGTGTAGAATGCAATCCTAGCAAACATAGGAATCGAATTCTTATCCTTATGATTCACACAATTTTATTGAGTATTAAATTAATCATCTTCATCCCCTATCAAAGTGACTTTATTCTAAGTGTAATAACATTTCAAATGCAAACTGATTGGAACTATGTATACTAATAAGAACCCACAAACTGCTCCATCAAAAGAAATTACAACTCCAACTGGAATATTCAAAATTTAGATTGTTAAACATAAAACCATAAACAAAATGCTGAATCCCCAATATACCATTTTAGATGGTTCCTTTTTATTATAAAGTACTTCTAATATCTAATATTTGCTAATATTATTAAATATTGGAAATGCTGTAACCAAATGTACTAAAAATAAACTCTCTATTATAATAATCTCTATATCTGATTTCTTAAAACAATTAAGTATCGTTTAAGCATCATGAACATTTTCAATTCCCTAAATTAATTTAAGTTATTACCAGAATTCCAATTGAACCAAATATTCCAACTATGCCATAAATTATTCCTGCAATTGTATAAGCTATAGCCAAATCTCTAGAATTATTATCTCTCTTTTCATTATTTTTCATTAATTATCCTATAGCATTATGAATCATAAAGGCTAAAGCAAATTAACCAGCAGGTTAACTAAATTCCCAAGACCATAAAGTTATTTATTGGAATTTTTATGAAATATCCTCACTTGTCAAATTAACTATAAATATATAAATGATAAAGATTCCATATGCAAATAAAGCAATTACTCCATAATGAGCTATTTTAACAATTGTTGTAATATCCTTGATTAACAATAATGTTGATAGTGGAAGAAAGACTATCAAAGCTTACCATTAAATTGAATACCTTAAATATTATAAAGTAATAAATACTTATTAAATACAAAATTTTCACTTGCATCTGCAAACTCAATATCATTATAGCTTAAAATGTATGTTGTAATTGGGTATAATGTAAGATTGATTAATTGAAAGTAAATGATTCCAACAATAAACAATAAGGTGCCAGAACAAAATCTGAAAGCTTGCATCCATGGTTTACCTAAAATTCTTTTTATCATATGTTCAGTATCTATTTCCTAATCTTTTAGATGAAGTATTAAAAGAGAACAAGTATTATATTGAACAAATCCCAATATAATCATAATCACTGTGCAAGAAATCACTCCATAATTCAAAAATACTAATGGTAATACTAAACATAATGATCCAACCATTGAATTTACTATTCCAACAATTGTTTGTAAACTAGACTATGTTTTATCTGGTCTTTGAATAGCTAACATTGATAGTACACTTGAGCTTTTTGAAGCTTTTCTGTGTTTGAATCGTACTTCTTCCATTCAAATTAATTAATATAATTAACAATTGCAACAACAAAGTCGTTTTATAATCCAAATCCGTGATGTAAATACCTATTAGTAATGATGAATTCTTGATAAGTTGTAATAATAATTTGATATAATTAATTTTTCTAAGAATTTAAACGCATCATTATAATAAATAATAATAATACTTAATTAAAAAGATTTGGCAAGACAATTTGATTCTCTAATAATTATTCAAATTCTTTTTTTTTTATAATTTTTTTATTTAATATTCATAAATGTCTAAATATTATTATGAATATATAAATAGCACAAATAATTTACTATTGAATTTCAGATACTCAATTCTCTAGTTTAATTAATCAATTTAATTTGTAGACTCTTAAATTTATTTAATTTTAGATGTTTATTAAAATTTTAATATTTTTCAACAGAGTTTTATTTTGAAACTCAATTAAGTGTTTAAATCATACATTATCAAGATTATAATAGGCTTGCTACTCAATCAATCATAAATATATATAAAACATGATTTCTTATTGCATAAACTTAAATATAAATAATTTCGATTATTTAAATATTTTGTGTTGAAATTTATTTATTTTTCTTATTCAAAGTTGAAATTTATTATGCAAAAATCTTAGTATAAAGAATAATGATTATTTTGATAATAATTCTTGTCATTCTTGCCTTCATTTTGAAAAGTTTAACAAGAGAAATGAATTTTTTTAATAGAAGAAAATACTATGATTGAATTATATTTGAAAAATTGTAAAATTTTGTTACTCCTTATTATTAATATTTATAATTTGTATTATGATTTATTTACAAATTCCATTTCAAATAAATAAATAACATTTAGTATGCTAATACTCGTATCAATATTTTTGCTTTTCTATTTCAAAGTCTATAACTTACTTATTTTTTCATTTTTGATTAATTAATAAAATAAATGATTTATCTATTAAAAACAATAGGCCTATTTGATTTATCCTATTTGTTTATTAACAAATATCTTGACCTTTTGATTTGAGAATAATTAATGAAAGTCAGTGTTATAACTTAAAAATAAATTAGCTTTAAAGAAAGATCATATCAATTGAAAAGTTGAAATTTAAAAAGCAAATTTTGATCTAATCTATTTTTTAATTCTGAATTCATCTTATATGATCCATATTTTCTAAAAAAAAAATATGGATCATTAAATTGTAGAATTAATACGCACTTTAATTATTTTATAAAAAATAAGATTTATAATTAATATAAATACTCTATAATGAACTTGATCTTTAAATAATATATATTATGAATAATCTTGAATTTGGACCTTAAGTAAGTTAGCAGATGATTAGATTACTTCATGCATTGATAAATAAATATGAAGAATTGGAAAAACTAAACGATGATGATCTGTAAAGGTATTAAAAAATGAAAAATGAGGATCCTTTACGATTTTTAAATTTAAATTAGTAAAATCAATAAAAAAAATGTTCAAATAAGAATCATCTAAAGGATAGAATTACAGAAAGAAACAATTTAATTATTGAGAATCGTTACTAATGTGGGACTTGCTTTTCAATATTTTTAAATTATTAATAATTAGGTCAACATTGTTGGCAATATCATTCATCAAAAAACCTTCAATCAGATTCAGATACTAATCAATAATCATAATAAGGATAATAATAGTGAATAATTATAATTTGAATTTATTTTGAAAAATTATATTAATTTATACTATGAATTCTTGGGAGTTCTTATAAAATCTAGATATAAATTTTTATTTGAGACCAAATAATAATAAAGAGACATAATTAATTAAGAGAAAATTATTGAACTTTAAGATAGTAAATTGATTTATAAGAGCTCAACTTGTAAAATGTTTTTATTTTATTATTTTCTACTTCTTTTACAGAATTCTATTGATAAATAAATATTTTATAAAACATCTCTAATATCTAAAAGTTTCATTTAATTATTAAATGTCAATTAATCTAAAATATTAAAAGACTATTATTAGATTAGATTACTTAATTAAGTAATTGTAGATAACATTCTAATATATAGAGTATATTCTTTTTACATTATAATGGATTTACAAAAAATTTTAATCTTTTTGTGCATCAAATTTTGAATGATCCTAATACAAATTTTATATTAGTATTGCATTCCTATAAATGAAGTAAGGAAACTAAACAAATAGTTTATTTGTTTAAAATAAAATTAATCTAAACTTTATTTCTAATATTATATTTCTATAAAAATTATTAGTTGATTTATAGAATTTCTACAATTAAAAACAAGAATTAAAAATGACTTCTGTTAGAATTATACTCATATATTGGGTTGAAAATATTTGGATATTTATTTTCTCTTAATATTATCATAATAATTTTTGCTGAATAGGCTTCATTTTGAAATTAACTATTTTTGCTCTTATCTTATTTTAGAGTTTAGAAAATTTGTTTAAGAATCTTTAACTATTTTATATAGTATCTCTTAACTTAAACTCTTTAATAATGTAAGCCTAATCTAAAAATTCCTTTTAAAATTATTATTCTATTTTTCATTAATAAATATAGTTGTAATATAGGATAAATATGGATCACTCTTTTATAGCGAGATTGGATGAATGTTTTGAAGGGTTTTTTAAAATGGATCTAGATGGGTTCTTTATACGGACATCAAGGATAGGATTAATCCAATGTACATTTTAATATCCTTTTAATTTTTCTATTGTTTTTCTTATTTAAATAACAGTTTGCCATGGTTTATAATCACAGACAATTAATTTTTCATTGAATGAGATCTTAGTTTCATCAACTTCAATCATATCTTCAATAGGTTCTTCTTCAATTAGAATTTTTTGATGTTGACTTAATGGAGCCATTTTTTCTATTTTAAACTTTGGTGATTGGGCCATCATTTTTATTTAAAAATAATTTTATAGATTTCTTAGTTCTAATTTGATCAAATTATGTTTCTATAATAATGCGTAATAACTTCAATATTATACATTTAATCTCGAATTTGATCAATTAAAATCATTTGAAAAAAACTCATATAATTGTATAAGTCACTAATTTGATAATAGTAAAGTAAAAATTAGGTAATTCAAATTTAGATTCATAATCAAAGAAATATGAAAAATATATTTGAAATTTTCCTATAAAGTTTAATTAATGAATAAATATAATAATATTTAGAAACAAATAATGATTAGACTAGACTTTAGATAATTAAATAAGAAAATAATAGTAGATAATATTTTATGCTAATTTATATATCAAAGTTATTTATGATTGTTTTTTTTCATTCACTTAAACTCCAAATTTCAAGTATTTTAATACTAAAATCATTAGTTACTGTTAATATTTCATTTTTATAAGTCTCACATTTATTTGTATTACCTGATGTTAAAGATTGATTAATATATAGACCAAATTAATCACCACATCCAACAGCAAATCCATCTGATTCACAAAATATAAAATAATTATTTGTTTCTGCCCATTTAAATGCTCTAAATTCATTTTCCTACAATCATTTTATAAATTACTTTAAAAGTCCATAAAAATGTTTCACCATTACCAAAAAATTTTCCAAATGTTAATTATAAAGATTCATTTAAATAAGCTCCAAATTTACATTCATGTCCATCTTTGATAGTTAATATTAATGGTGATCTGTTTTCACATTTATGTAATAATGTTTGAAATGATGAACCATGAATAACATTTGAGAAAATTAATTTCCAATTTGATGTTTTATAGATTGATGGAACATGAGCAATAATCTTAAATTTAATTATAATAATAATTAATTTACCTAAATTAATTCATCATTATCACAAATTTATGATTATTACATCATTTAAGGTAAATAATCCTAAGCTCCCCATAAATTATTTGTTCTTTTTAATAATTTTTCAGTTAATAAAGAATCTTGAATATCATAAAAAGGAATAATAGTTAAATTTTATTCTTTTGATTATTGTTAATCCTCTAATATTCTTTAAGATTTAGTTCTCACAACTTATTTTAAAGTTTCATATAAATCAACACTTAATTACATATGTTCTTTTTGATTTTAATCATTTTATATCTATATATAAGATTAGATATCTATACTCTAAAACTTAAGATTGGTATAATTTCAACTAACTTTTTACTTGTTACATTTGAATTAACATGAATGAGTAATACATAATCCTTAAAACATTTATTTGAACTTTTAGCAATTCTCATTGGCAATTCATTTAAATCTACAGATCTAACATCTTTTGTCATTAAACAAGCTTAAAAATTAAGAATGCTTTATTCTTTTATTGTATATATTATTACTTTAACATTTTTTAACTATTTCTTTATTATGATCAATGAAACTTGGATCAAATAGAATTACATCATTATTTATTGTTAAAATTCCTTCTATACATCCATAATTAGTCAAATAATATACATTAACTAATATGTTTAATATGTATATTATATACATTTTTTGGTTTATCCCTTAGACATTATTTCATCCATCAAATTTCTACCAAAATATGATGATTAATTCTGATTAAGTGTATTATAATCATTTTCTGTTTAATCTTATTAAATTTCCTATTCCTATGGATTTGGAAGTTTAATTCTCATTCCAGGTACAAAACACTCAGGAGATATATCATTTAACTTTAATATTCTGTTTTAACTTAACATTAATAGACTTCAATACTTAATATTAAATTTTAGTTCTAGTCCAAATAGAGTGTCATTCTCTTAAACTATATAATCTATTAAATTAATTTCTTCTGGTTGTTTTAACTATTAATCATAGTTATCTAAATAAATATTTTCTACTGCTTGTAATTTAATATCTAATTTATATAATATAAACACCTATATATTCTTGTTCTTCTCCTTTTGTCCATTTTTCATAAATTGGAACATGTTCATTTGATGTAAATTCAAAAACAAATGTTTCATATGATTAGTCCATCTTTAATTCAGTCCCTGGTTTATTAGCCTATGTATAAAATTAAAGAATACAGGTGTTCCATAAAAATAACTAAATATATTCCTCATTATTATAAATAATTAAATTCATTATTATTATTATTATTATTACTAATTCAATTTTATTACAAATACTATAACAAAGAATTGAACTACATTATTTTGTATATAGTATGATCAGATATTTATATTTTCATATTATCTATTAATATACAATCAATATAATCAATTACATATAGATAAGCAAAAAAAGATATTTATATGAATTCTTAAAGAATACCATAATTTTTGATAAATTTATTGTTTATGTATTAATGCTTGATCAATGATGATGGTGTCCATGTGCTTTAGGTGTTGGATTTCCAGTTTTTACATATCCTAAAACTTGAGCAGCCTTCAAATAAGGTGTGCCTGAGCATTTCTTATCCAAACAGAATTATACATAATCTTTTTCTTAAATTTTGAAACATGTTCTATAACATAATTCTAAATGATAATAAATTGTTTGATACTTTCTTCCCAATTGTTATCATGAAGGTATTAATGTCTAAGTTTATCTTAAATTGTTTATTATTAAACTGGGTAGTCTGGTTAATCTTCTAATCCATGAAACGAGGACAATAAATCAAAGAAATGAATGTGTCCTTTATGGAAGACTTCTGGATTTTAAGGAGTATATGCTGTTGAATTCGATCTCATAATTATTTATTTTATTTAATATTTCAAAATTGGACTTATTCATACTCTATCTAATAAATTAATTTGAAATGAATGTAATATCCTATTATAATAATGATTAAATCTATCTTTTCAATTTTTCATATTATTCTTATATACATTTAATAACTATATTACAAGAATTAAATATAATTTTATATTTATATGAAAACTAAGATAGTGTCTTTATTTCTAAAAAGAGAACATCTAATATTACTATCAAAAATGCTTTAAATAACAGACAATGCAACTGAATAAGACACATAAATTTAAAAAATTGATTCTCAAAACCAAAAATCTGAAAATAGAATTCTCAAAACTGAAAGATGGCCACAATAAGATTTAGACTATTTTCAGAATAGTTTTCTATAAATAGCAAATTTAACATTTTCTTATTTCAAATTTCACTTCCCTGCAAATTCAGCTTTATAAATAAAAGAACATATTAAGTTTGTTCATATTGTAAAATAAATAAATTTTGGTGGAGTAACAATAGAAGATGTATTCAAATAATAAAGAGTAATACTATTATTTTATACAATAGACTCGTCTCAATTTAGAAGTATCCAAAATAACTAAATCCATAAAACTTATAGATGAACCAATAATGTCAAAACTTATGAATTAAAAAATAGATCTAGCATATATTTAAACAATTTAAGATAAATATTTCTATCCTAAAAACAATGATTTCATGGCACCATACATAATCCTTAATTTAAAACCACATATATCTAAAACAACTACAAGATATTAATATAAAGAACTTTAATAAAGTATAACAAGTTTAGAAGATATTCCTCCTTTTTAATTTATGAATTCAAATCTCATTTAACCAATATTAAATTATGATTCTTTAAAAAATACTTTCGAATATAAATTCAATAAACTAATGTAAAGGAATTAACTGGTTTAATATACAATAAAAAGATATTCAAATAAAATTAAATAATATGAAATTAAATCTGAAGATGATCATAATAATAATTCTCTTAAAGAAATAAAAAAACTATTCAGTATTTAAATCAAATAATTATCTGAAAATAAATTAAATTAAAGTTTAATTGATTCCAATCTCAAACTTTTAAATCCATAAAACTTTATTGATTCTTCTCCTAAAATTATTCCCTTATTATTTCAATCTGAAATATTTAATCAAATAAAAGAAGAATCTCAAGATATTAATCCTATTTGTTATCAATAAATATATCACAATTAAGATTAAAATTGTAGATAAACACAAAAGATAATGTCCTTAAATATATCATAATAATATCTCTAAGATTCTAAATATGTAGAAACATAAAAGAATTTACAATTATCCTAAATTGAATCTGCTAATAAATTAGAGTAAAGATTAATTAAACCATCTCTAAAATCACTAGACTTTAAATAATCTGAATTATTAAACTAAAGTACTGGTAGGTATCAAAGAAAAATGAATAATGTAAAAATACAAGATCAAAATGATAATTCATAGTCAAATAATAAATTTTTAAATATTCCCCATTAAACAATTGAACCTCCTATTACATAAATTGATATTTAAACAACAGATATTTAAACAAACAGAAACCATTAATAAAAATCTTTGGATAGAATTACTTTAAAACCATTAGCTTATTAATCAGCAAGATTAAAAGGAATTAAAGATTCCAATCAAAAAGAGTCTTCTTTTCCATATATTAAAGAATCACTTCCTAATATTTGTTTAAGCATAAATGATTCTCACCAAAATAAACTAAAAGAATCTGAATCAAAATTTTCTTTATAAGGTAGTCTATAAAAGAAGATTTAAACAAATGAAAAAGAAAAAGAATCTTTAAGAGATATATTATTACTCTAAAAAAAAAATAGCAATTTAAAAAATCAATTATAAAATTAATTGATTTTGTTAACACATTCTGAGTAAATATTAACTACTTTAATGTCAAATGGATCAATAAGAGGAACAGAACTCTATTAATAATTATTGTAGCCAATAACAATTAATTCTAGCGCTAAATTCTTAACTCCAAAGAGTAACAATATTTTATCAAGAGCAAAATTTAGAAAAATGCAATAAGAAAGTAAGATGTTCAGTCTTAAATGAAATATTCATTTTTAACTTATTTAAAATATTTATTAATCATAAAATGATTACCAATCTAATTGTAAATCATACTTTAAATTTACTTTATTATTAATAATATTTTCTCAATAACATGCTTAAATATTAATATTAAAATAGGATTTTTAATATCTTTAATAATTGCTATTATATAAGAAAATATCATCAATATATTAATTAATCCTTTTTTTATGATTATAAAATTATTTATTATTTCACTCCTTTAATTATATAAAAAAGACATGATAAAATCATAAAGAGAATCATAAGAAAGGTCTAATTAAGAATTTCCTTCTCTTTCACCCAAGAAATCGTTTTCAATGGTTAAAAGTAATAATATCATTCAAATTTCTTAAAATTCATAATAATCTATACTAAAATAATCACTAAAATCTAAATAAGCATTAGGAACACTACTTAATAATAAATTAAATTTAGATAACTAAAGTTCTGAAATAGCTTTAAGAAAGTCTTTTAGGTAAGATAAGAATTCTTTATGCACATTTATTCCTAATAAAAGATCAATGTTATAAAGTTAATGCATTGATGTTTCATCATAAATAAGATCCATTTCTTTTAAAGAAACTAATTTAATGTAGATATTAAACTAGATTTCATATATCATAAATGAATTAAAGTAATATAAAAGTGAGAAAGGCTTAATTTCATTAATTGAAAAAGAAATTCATTCAAATACACGTTTTCATGATCTATCCTTTCTATTTGTAGATGCTAAAATGAAAGATATTGTTTCTTCTGAACAATTATTCAAAAAAATCTATAAATAATTTACTTACTCATCTGATAATAGAACTATCGTTAAAAGAAGTAAACTTGATTAAAATTTCCTTTAATTACTTTCAGAATTTCTCAATAAACTTGAAGAAATGTTTCGTAAAGTCCATGAATCATAATTTTAAGGATTATAAGAATCCATGAAAAGTTCTAGGATTAAGCTTTTAAGTAATATTTTTTATAATATAGACAAGGAAATTGAAGTTTAGAATTTGTTTACTTCATAATAAAAGAGAGATTCTTATTAGTAATTATAGTCTTTTCTTTAATCCAAATTCTCAATAAATAAACGAATTTTAGAAAGTAAATTGTTTTAAGATATCAATGATTTAGAAGAAAAAAATGGATAATTCAAATATATTGATTAGAATAATAGATTTATATCAAACAAAATTGATGATATTCTAAAAAATATTAAATATTGAATACTTTTTCTTTCAAATAAATAATCATAATGATTTTTATATTCCATAATATCAATTTAAAATCAATTATTATCAAATATTATAATTATTTCTAAAAATTACACTACAATCATTACTTTTAATTATTAATCGGATAGTAGAAAATGATATATAATTATTAGATTGACACATCAGAACTTAATTCATTTTAAATACACTTAGAAGAAGATAATAATGACTTTCATAAAAATATTATTTTTATAAAAATTTGTATTAGAAAGAGAGATCATAAACTAAAACTTAATTTGACATAGTAATATAAAAATAGACAAAGAAATAAATTTTATACCAAATATTATCATTAACATAGTTGAAGGTATATATATATTATATTATCCTTTACATTATATATTGATTACTTATATATAGTAGGATTATTTATACCTTTAAATATGTAAAAAATATAAATTCTAAATTGGTTTCATAACTTTAAAATTTTTTAAATCCTTGTATTTAAAGTATAAATAAGCAAGTAAACAACCTAAAAAATTAAATTATATTTTAATTATTATAGTATTATAAGACCCAAATATAAATAAATCTGATCCTAAAATCTAATCAGATTTTAATTATATTAATGAAATTTCTTGTTAAAAATATGAGAATTAATTTTAGATTTATATAAAATACTTAATTTTAGCATTAATTTCTATTTTATTAAGGATTCAATTAGATTAAGCAATAATACTTTAATTTACTTATGTTTATCTTTATAAGAAATTATTAAAGTTTTATCTATAAAATTTGTCTTTTGATTTAAGATACAGACAATATATAAGTTTTAGATTTTTAATTATTATTAAATTTGACACGTAATGTTATTGATAATTGCATTTCTGCTTTAAGGTGCTTTTAGCATATAATTTACGTTCTCATTAAAATCGAATGAGTTGAAGGGTTTTGGAGAAAATATAGGATAAAATAGTTTAATAGTTGGAGCTTTTTAAGGGATTTGAAGTGAATATTCACTAAAAATTAATAAAATTTAAGTGAATATAATAGATACCAACAAAAAAAGGTTGATAATATACTCTAATATTCTCATAGCTTAAAATTATAAAAGTTTTCATTTACAACTTAAAATACTTAATTGAATTATCAGTTTTGTGTTCACAATTTAGCAAATTCTTGGATGATTTTTAATTTTACATTGGTAACAGAAATGGATGCATAAGACTTTTGTTGTTGGCATAAAAAGAAGATTTAAAGCCTTTAGAAATTCATTTAAAAATTAAATGGCTTAGTGGATTAGATTGAAGTAGTGCAATTATATTAAAAAAATAGCCTGATTAAAAAGAAATAGAAGAAAGATAATCAATTAGATTTTAAACTGTTTCTAAAATATCATATATTATAATATTATTTATTTTGATAACTTTATTTTTAATGATGCTTACAAAATTTTATTAGCTAGAATATTAAAACAATTTTTCAAAAACAAAAACTCAATTGATTTATCTATAAATTTTTAAATAACTATTTAAATAGGAATTCTTATAATAAGCGTTCCTAAATTAGAGTTGAAATTTAAATTATTTATAATAAAATCAAACCTTTCCAGAAGACTTACGAATCTGTTCAATTTTTTCATCAAATTCTGGTATGTCTTCCAAATGACCATTTGAAGATCCACTATTACGTGATCTACAAGATAGAGTCTTTTTTTTGGTTTTTTAGATCACAAAATTATATTTAGTTAAAATTAATTAAACTTCTTTGCATTGATCATCAATAAATTAAACCAATAGATATTTCAAATATTTACGTTCTTTTGAGAAACCTTCTTTTTAAATAAATTTATCAATAACAATAACAGCTGATAATCTTACACATTAAACAGGATCTTTACATAATTCAAAGAGTCTTTCAAAAAATAGATCTTCAAAATCTTATCTGTAAAATAATTTATAACACATCCAACAATATGATTATCTTTAATTAAATCTCTTAGAATGTGAAAATGCTCTAATTTATTCAAGAATAACAGTTCTTTATTCTCCTTCTTCTTCAAATGTCTCAATTAAATGTATAACATTTTTAGAAGCTTTTCTTCTTACTTTAGCAACTGTATCTGAACAAAATTTAAATAGAATAGGAGCAATATGAAAAAAGATAGTATCATTATTAAAACATCTGGTTATTGGAAATATAGATGTACAAATAATCTAACGAGTTCGCCATTTATGTTAATCTTTCTAAAAATTGAGTAATAGATCAATAACATAATCTCTTTCTTCTATAGGAAATATAGATATAAATTTTGATAAATTAACTACTATGCCATTTCTGACTTCTTACAATTTATCTTATGCCAATGTTTCTAATACAGTGATCAAATATTATTTAGACAAATCTGGACCTAATAATTTAGCTACTTCATGAAAACTATAAGCTAAGGAGATTTTAACTTTCTTATTAAATTAGAATTATAATTACATCTGAAGGATATTTTAATAGGAATCCATACAAAGGTTAAATCAAAAGCCAACGATTTCGACCAATTGCTTATAATACTCCTGGAAAATAATAGGCACATTTATAAACAAGCTTAAAATATAATATTAAAATGATTCTTACATCAACACCCATCATATTGATATTTTTATCTAATTAATTTTAATAATATGCCAATAGAATATCCATTTATTATTAATCTTTTTCAGTAAATTTAATTGTACTAATGAATTCACCTAAATATTCATATGCTGTCTTTCTAACTTCTTTATTTTAATCAGAAAGAAAATCTAAATATTTTGGTATTAATTTTTATGTTTTTAAGTGATGTCCTGTATATTTTGAAATACCTGATATTGATTTAATACAAGCAAATTTAATTTATAATAATCTATCTTCACAAGATCTATAAAATATATAATAATATTACTAAAGAAAGAATGGTATAATTTTAAGTTCTATACATTTTTAAGAGAGACTTACTGATAAATTTGGTAATTGTTCTATAGCTTTTTCTCTTACAAATTCATTTAAATCTATACCAAGTGATAAAAGTTCTCCACAAATATAAGACTCACAATATTTCATTGAAAAAAGAGAAGCAGTTTAACCAAATGTTTCAGCTGCTAAAATACGATTTTAATGGTTTTTTTCATCATGAGCCATTTCAATCAAATGTGCTAAAATTGTATCAACTTTATCTGATTCAATTAAAAAGGGTGCTATCTTAAGTAATTAAGTTAAGACTTCTTTTTTAATCTAAAACTCATATAATAAGTTTACATCAGAGTCTTCATGCACAAGAAATATATTCATAAATGGCAGAACATGATCTTTCAATTCCACATATCCAGATTATCGTTTCTTTATTTGTTCTACAAGTTGAGGTAACTATCTAATAATAGATAATTAGATTGAATAGGAATCATGAACCTTTCAAATATGTATTTAACAACATTTACAAATTGCTTAAGAATAAATCCTAAATTTCTATATGCATCATCTCCAATCATTTCAAAGACTTCTGCCAAATGCTCTGCATACGCTAATCTACAATCAACTCTATAGGTTACCTCTCTTTGTTTATCAGTTCTTAGAAACATTTCAATTTTAGTAATGCTACTTATGGATCTTCAGCTAAGAAAACCTCTTATTCAATAGGTTTTAAAGTAATATTTATCATTGATTCCTCTTTCAATATCGATCTCATAATATCTTACTTCTATTCTGGGATATAAACATTAATTAATACCATTAGACATTTTAACAGGAGAAACTTCATTACTATTTATCATTAAAAATTAAATTAATATATATGATATAGATATAATTTTTTTTATGTCTCATATTGATTACTTTAAATTAAAACTTATATTTTTAAACCATCCTAAAATCTATATATAACTATAAATCATAAGTTTCTTACAATAAAATAAAGTATAAAATATAACATTTATATTAATAATTTTGTATATTTATTTATTTATATGTTTGATTGTTCAAGTTATGACAGTTGGTTCATTTCTTCCTGTGAATTAAGCAATATCACTAATTTCTAATCCAAGCTTAATAATATTGGCTAAAGCAGTAGCTGTTTCATGTTTAATATCCTATTATTCAAATTATTCAAAATATATTCTAATAGTTGCACCAACAGATCCAGTACCACTTAATCTAAATATAATTCTAGATCCATCTCCAAAAACAAATCTTACACCTTGATTTTTTGATACAGATTAATCAACAGGATCAACATAATCATAAATATCTGCTTTATTTCCTTCTTTCAATTACTATATTAAAATATAATAAATACTTCAAAATATTAGAATTTTGTTTTTAAATGTTCCATCATTTTATTAGCACCTGCTGAATCAACTTATTCATAATCATATCTTGAATAATAGTTTCTACCATATTATTACCAATATTAAGTAACTATTTCTTCAACAGTGACAAAATGATCAGAATCTTTATTTTTATATGCTAAAATAGTCAACCATGCTAAAACAGCCCAAATTCCATCTTTTTCTCTAATATGATTAGATCCTGTTCCAAAACTTTCTTCACCACATAAATTAATTAATCCTGCATCCATTAAATTTCCAAAAAATTTCCAACCTGTAGGTGTTTCAAATAATTTAATTCCATTTTTATTAGCTACCTTATCTAAAGCACCTGAAGTTGGCATTGATCTAGCTGCTCCTAATAAACCATTTTTAAATATTAAATTAGCATTAGCAGCTAAAATTGCTAAAGAATCAGAAGGTGTTACAAAGAATTATTTACCTAATATCATATTTCTATCTGCATCTCCATCACATGCAGCTCCAAATTATGGAACTGTATTTACATCCTTTTTCTTATGAATATCTAATAATTCAACTAAATCATGAGCATAAGTTAAATTTGGATCTGGATGACCACCTCCAAAATCCTCTGATGGATCACAATTCAATAGAGATTCCTTTGAACATCCTAATAAAGTTCCAAAAATATGTTTAGCATAAGGTCCAGCTACACCATGCATTCCATCAAATCTAAATGAAAAATCTTTTTATTTAATATTAAATTAATTTTACCTTTATTTGCAAATAATCCTTTAAGCAAATCAAAATCAAAAAGTTTTTACATCAATTAAGTATAATCTTAAACTGTATCAACTATTTTCACTTCAAAATGTTATTTTTCTAATCTAGTGCCTTCAAATTTGTAAACACCAATTTAATCTAAATTTATATATTTCTCGAAATCATAATCTACTGTTAAATATTCTTTTATTTTAGTTGTATGCTAATATATATAAATAAATATAATTACTGTATAGATTTAATCAGTAAAATCTTCTGGAGCAGGAGCACCTGTTCTTACATTAAATTTGATTCCAAAATCTCCATGTTCTTTACCACCTGGATTATGAGAAGCAGTGAGAATTATTCCTCCAATGCAATTTCCAACTTCTTCATTTACTTTACGAATATAATGTGAAGAAGCAGGAGTAGACATTAAACCTGCTTAACCAACATGTACTTCACTTATATCATTTGCATAAGCTAAACGAATTATTTAGAAAATAGCTTATCTATTAAAGTATCTTCCATCTCCACCAACAAATAGAACATTTCTTGCTAAATAAAATTACTATTATTGGATACGCTTTAATTCATCTTTGCGTAATGTATTGAAAATGCTTTGCACAAAGTTCTCTAAATAGTTTGGTTAAGTTGCTTCACTCACCTTCTTACGTAAACCTGAAGTACCTGGTTTTTAGCCTGCGTATGGTTATGTTACTTAAACTCTGGGTGCTGGAATTACTTATTACATTAATTTTATGTTTTTAATTCAATTAATAAGGGCCTAAATTGTTATGATAATTGATAATTATCATCTTAGGGAATATGAATGGTTATTAATACTTTAGTAAAGAGAGTAGTATTAAAGTACTTAATGATGCTATTATTCAAATTGCTTATAGATCGTTCTAATATATGATTTTCTTAATAAATAATTTTTAAAAGAGATGTCAAGTAAAACGGAATTCAAATTTATAAAAGTTTAGAAGGGAATAATTCTGAAGATTATAAATAAGCATCTTTTTTTATTGTATTCTATTTTCATTAACTATATTTTGTCATTTTAATACAAAATGAAATATAAATATTAGATAATTTTTACATAATTAAGAATTAGTATATAAATTAGACAGTTTAGAGTAAATATAGATAGTATAAATCCTGAATTTAAACAATAATCTATATTCTTAGAGTTTTATATATATATATTATTGAGGTATTATCAATTAAATTTTGATTATTTTAACTCTTTTGGGAATTGTGATTGCATAATTTGAATATATATGGAAATAAAGGGAATAATTTTATACTAAGGATTAATGTATAATGTTTATGTGATTAATATTGAAGCTCATATATCATTTTATTCAATTTCTTTCACAAACCAGTAATAATATTATAATTCCTTTATTAATCATCTTTTACCTGAGATTTACCCATTTTAGGAATATCTTCGATAAAAAACCTCTATTAAGATGAACTATTAGGAGTTCCTTTTGACATTCCCTAAACTGGGTTCTAATTAGACTTTTGTCTTTTCTCAGGTCCATGTAGGTTTTATACACTTTTACTTTAATTGATTTATCCACCTCTAGGAGTGACTGGATTACTTTTATAATTGCTGACTGTAGGAATATCAAGATTTTAATTTAATGGTTATATTTCCTTTTTTTATGATTGATTGATTTAACTATGGTAATTTAATAGTAGTTTTTAAGTTTAAGCAATTCTATCTTATAATGCAGAGTGTTAGTTGCTTTTGTGAATAGATAAAATAAACTCTAATAATTTAATTGTCAGTTCTTAATATTTTTTTTCTTATGCAATTTATTTAGCATTCTCTTGAGATATAAAAATCTTATTGAACTCTCTAGAAAGAAAAAAATTCTATTCTAAAACATTGAAGAACTCTTAAATTAATTATTACAATTTATCCATTTCTTTATTGTTCTAAATAAATAATTTATACTTAATTGATATATTTAATATTAAATAGCAATAAATTATATATATATATATAATAAAAAGTCGTTTGCACAAATACTAAAAGATTGTAACCAATATATTAATATTAGAATTTACATACATGATAATATGTAGAAATTTATGTTATTAATAAAAAGTATCTTAAAATATGATGAAAATTAATTTATTGTTTAATCATATTTTATTGTTATGGACAATTTTTATTTGTAAATGCACTAATAATCAATAAAGTGGAATAACTAATCAAAAAGTACTTGTTCATCAAAAGAATAAAATAGTTAAGAATTTGATTGGAATGATATTGAATATCTATATTAAGAATGCTAATAATAGGTTCAAGCATCAAACGTTACTAATATTATCAAAAGTAGCCAGAATTCTGAATTAAATCTTAAAATGGATCAATTAGTAAGAACTAATAATCAAAGTAGCCTAAGTGAAGTTAATGAAAATTAAGCCACTCTAGAAATCAACGAAGACTAAAAAGAAAAATTTAATGAAATACACCATAAACCTAATTTAAAATTTAGTAATTCATCTTACTAAGGACATAAAAAATCATTTTCATAAGTTATTTTAGAACAAGAAAAGTTTAAGAGATATCGTAATAACAAAAGGAGTGCAAAAACGCTTTTATTGATTTCATCTAAGAGATCATTAATGACACCTTTATTTAAAACAAACTTATAGAGAAATATAATATAATTATCTATTAACTACTTAAACTCACGATATTCTAAAACTCTATTAGTCGATAAGAACATATTAGCATGTGAACTAATAGTTCTTGCTATATAGGAATACAAGAAAACTTCAGATTTTGATTAAAGTTTATTAAAATACTCAAACTTTACATTAGCTTATTAATTAACAAGTGTTGATGATTATTGTGATTTTTCTGCTTAACCTTCATAAAAAGATAGTTTTATTGATAACTAATTTATTAAATAAGATGAAGACCAATAATTTTAATATATCACTGATAACGTTGAAAATAATATAAATAGAGAGTACTTTAATTTAGAATTAAATTCTAAAGTGAATTTTAGAAATCTTACATTATAAATATCAGATACATCAATCTTTGGTATTGATTTATTTACAATTGAGATAACTAATAAAATGTATCCCACTTAAATTATTTTATTAATTGAGGATACAAAAAATGAAATATTTTACAATTTAAAATTTGAAGAAAACACAACTATTTAAGAAATATATAATTAATTATAAAAGAGAAGTAATTTTAAATATAATCAAAATGAATGTTTTTTCTAACTTAAATATCCTTGTGTTAATTTTAATAATTAAGAACCATTAGATATTAAATTTCCTATTTCTATACTCCCAATTCATTGGTTAATTATTAAATATAAGACTAATTAAGATAATCTCAATGATCTCAATAATAATTTTGGATTTACTACATCTTCAATTAAATCAATAACCTCATCTATAATTTAGAAAGATGATTTAATAGATCAAAAAATTCAATAGATGTTTAATTATTAAGAATATAATTTATTAAAAATAGAAAAAAATGAATAAATGAGTGAAGTCATTATTGGAATAGACTATTTTGATTTTTATTACTACTACACTAAAAAAAAATAATAAAGTTATTCTTTCTGTAAGATAACAAAATTGATAGTTTAATTTTTATTGTAAAATCATTAGTCTGGACAAACTAAAGATTATAAAAGAATTCAAATATCTTCTATTCTTTAAATAGGACTGAAAAATAATGAATTACTTATAATAAAATATCTTAAAGATGAGGATAAAATTAAAAAGATTAAATTCATGTTTCCATAGGAAAATTAAGAAGTTCAAAAGATGAAAATGAAAGAACAGTCATAAGATATATAGAGTATTATTGATAAGTTATCATTTATAATTAAAGAGAGAAGGAAAAATACTCACTAATTATGATTACATTAAATAAACTTAAATATTCTCATAGTTTCTTATAAATAATATATAATTAGTATTTTTTATTATAATTGAAATGGAAAAATAATATAATACATCATAATTAGATGTATCAAAAATAAATCTGTTTTAACCTTTATCATAATGCTTTCAAAGTAATAATAAACTTAATTAAATCTAATGTACTGATTGATAGTCTTTAACAATTCTAATAAATTATTAAAATTATTTTAAATAATACTAATAATGAAGATATAAATAAACTATATATGATAAACATAGATAAATTAGAGTTTAAGAAATAATAAAAAGAAATTCACTACTAAAGAATAATTAATAAAAATGTTAAAATAATAATAAACGTTCATAAAATTAATTATAATAATATGAATCATATTTGAAATAGTATTATAATTAAAATAAGATTATTATTAATTATTAAATCTATTGCATTCTCCTAAGAATTGTTATATAATCATATATTTAATTTTTAGTAATTTTATTAAAATATAATTATGAATAAAATCTTATGAAGATATTTATTCAATTATATATAAAATATTTATTTTAAATCAAGATAATTCATTTTTAATATCTAAAAGTTCTTATTTCTCTTTTAATTACATTTATAAATATTCCATCTCTAATTTCAATTAATCAATAGTTTCATCTTATTCATTTCTTTACAATAATTCTTCCTCTAATTGATCTTTTAATAATTAATTTTCTTCTAATAATTCATCTCTTTAAGTTTCAACTATATAATGTTTTTCTAATTCATGTTTAAATTCAAGTTCTTTTTCTTTATTTATTTATATTTATTCATCTATTTTCTTTTTTTACTCAATTATTATTTATTATAATTCTATCTAATTTAAGTTATCATAACCAATTGATGTAATCTACTATTAGATTAAATTTTATTATTATTTAAATTATTATTTTAATGACTCAGAATATTATTGACTTTCTTAAAGTTTAATTTTTAAATCTTCAATTTAATTTTACATATCTTAATACTATTTCTATAATTCTGAATATGATTCTTAATATTAGTTAACTTATACATTTAATTCATTAATTTTATATTACTTTTCATAAATTTATTAATTATAATATTCTTAAGTTTCAAGTTCTTTTTGATTAAAATTAGATATAATAACATCTTTTTCATTTATTTAATCATAGAATTCTTGAAGTTGTTTTTTCATTTATATTATTAATTCAGCATTATTATTTGATTAATTTTAATTGATATCTGATGATTACTAATTATCACATTATTCAAAGGATTTGTTTTATCCTTTTTCTATTTAATTTTCAATAAATGAAGTTTATTATTGATAATCTCTTTTATCAACAAATACTTACTGAGGACTAGGTTAATTATTTTAAGTTCCATCAAATTATTTTTTTATTTTAAGAGGACTTTACACTTATTCAAAGATATTTTCTTTAAATAACTCTTCTTTAATTAATTATTCTGTTGGTTTTAGTTTTAAAAATTATTAAAATGCATCACAATCTAAAATTTCTTATCTAGAAGTTAATGTCTATAAATAGCGCTATAATCCATATTTGCGCTCATTGATTTATTCAACTGATTTCCCAACTAGGAAAGTAATTAATTTTTTTTTTGGCAATAAAGGTAATTATTTAAAATTTAATTCAAGAATACGATTCAACTCTTCAAATTATGAATATCTTTTCTATACAATCCATTATCTAATTCCATTTTTGACTGAAATTTAATAAAATATGGTTGTACTCTCATATGAATATGAAATAATTTCGATCTATGATGTATACTATCAATCTTACGTCGATTGATTGTTATTGCTGCATATTATAAATAAATTATAAATAATTTGTTAAAAATTTGATAAAGTCATCATACAATATCATTTATGCCAATTACCTAAACCTGTTTCATCTTCTTCATCTGAATCAATTTTTTGATTCTAATTTTACAATTTTAAAATATTCTCCATTTTTGCTTCAATCAATTATTTTGATTTGACTTATTCATCTTAATCACCAGCTTTCCATTTTTTTGGAAAATGCCACCACTTAATTATTTCATCCTTTCCACCAGTAATAAGAATCTATGTTGATTCTTACCAAATTAATTTAGTAATAGCTTTATCATGTGCTTTTAGTACAACTTAAAATAATAAATGAAAATACATTAAGGTTATAAATCAAGTGCATTATAAATAGTTACAGTTCCATCATCATTTCCAACAAATAATTCCCCTCGTTTACTTGACCATTAAACTTCTCTAGTCTAAAAATTAATAGTAATTGATTTATTATACTTTAATTTTAGCTTAAATTTTTGTTTTGATTTTTCCTACATTGTCTTATAAGCATTTACCAACATCTAATACACAAATCACACCATCATCATAAGAAACAGATATTAAATAGTTTTTCTGATAATCCAAAACTAAACCTCTAATAAATGATGTGCTCGTTTCAATCTACAACATTACTATTGGTTATGCAGGTTTAATATTTAATATATATATTTAACCATTCCTATTACCAACTACAGAAATTTATCTCTATTCATTATATGTCAATGATGTTAATTCATGTTTACCAATTGAAAAATCTAGAATAATATAATAAATTTGAACCTGATTTTAATCCACCTTATTCCATATCTATGACTTTATAATGAGTATCTTTAGAAACTGAGTGAATTTACCCATTTCTATAAAATAAACCCATAATTCTGCTCATATGTATTTCGATTTCTATACTTTATTCATACTTTTCGAATGAATCTCTTTCTGAAACTTTTATAAAATTTATATTTCCTGAATCCAATCTATATATTAATTCTAATAATATTACCCTATTAATAAAGTGCAAGTGATTGGTTCATAAAACATGCATATTGCTTAAGTACTATACTCTTTTGTCCATAATTTTTTATAACAAAATTCTCCTTCTTCTTACTTTATATAACATTCAACTTATCCCACTGGTATGGTTTTGACTTCCCCTTATTCAGAATCCCATGGCATCTTCATATTATTAACATAAGCATCCACTCTATTTAAAACACTCATATCTGCTTAAAGGAGAAACATCACTCCTTAATCAGATAAAGAAATATCACGTATGCCCATAATTGTTTTAAATGAATGAAGTAAATTAGGTGGGAGTATTTCTTCGCATTATTCAAGCTTATTACAAAATACTATACCTGCAAAAAATCTCTAAGTAATTATGAATGATATATTTCACGACGAACTATTAATTACTAAAGATATTTCTCTAAACCAGCTCTTCGCTCCTCTAATTATTCTTTTGATTTTCCGACCAAAAATGTAATAAATGCTTTTTTTGGTAATTCTGGGAGTTCTTAAAATAGTGGTATCAATTTTTTGTGTAAATCCTCAAATTAAGAATAGCGTTTAGAAATTTGCCATTACTATTTATTTCTTGTCTTAATATCAATCAAATATTAAACATTTGATGATTCTTATTGATATGAAGGAATGGTAACCTTAGTATATATTAAATTAATACATTTATGGATTCATTCATGAGTAACATATTTTAATTAATAAATTAAAAGAGTTTTCATAATGATCTAGTGTTTATTTCTAGTTAGTAGACAAGGAAAGACCAGATTGACTAAGTGGTATAATCAATCACTTACTACAAGGGAAAAGTAACGATTTTTAAAAGAAGTATTGTTATGGATGTTATTGTAAAGATAAACTCATTAGTATTGACACGCGGCCAAAAGATGTGCAATTTCTTAGAGTATGTAGAATACAAAATTGTTTATAAACGATATGCTTCACTTTATTTCATAGTTATTTGTGATAAGGAAGATAATGAACTGTTGATATTAGAGATCATTCATCATTTTGTTGAAGTTTTGGATAAGTATTTTGGTAATGTATGTGAATTGGATTTAATTTTTAATTTCCATAAAGCCTATTACATTTTGGATGAATTATTATTGGGTGGGTTCCTTTAAGAGCCAAGTAAAAAAATTATACTTAAAGCAATCACTAGTCAAGAGGCTCTAATAGAAGAAGGAAATGATGATCAATCTAAATGATTATTAAAAGATATACATTAATAGCTTGTTATGTTTAATTATACAAAACTATATTTTTTATATATTCATTGATTTTGTTATGTCAGAATTTAACAAATATTATCATCATGTATAATCTATCTTCTATTTGAATTACTACTTAGACAAGTATTTTATCTAATCGATCTTCTTTATAAATCTTCTTAATTATTAATTCTGCTTGATGGAGAAAATAAACTTTTATTTTTTCGATGTCTTAATTTATTTTTAAATATGCCTATTTAATTATTCAAGTCCATTTAAACTAATTAAGTTTGATCATTTAATTACTTTTCATAATCCTATTATAATTATTTATTAAATATTTTACTTCTTATAATAATTTTATTGTTCCTTCATTTTCTTCAGAGTTGCTTTGTAACAATGATTGCATTTCTAATTTTTAAACATTTGAAGAGAAATGAGAATGACGTGACTTTTTCATTTCTTTATTGTTTGTATTTTCATCCTCTTTCTTCTTTAAATTACAAAGTGTAAAAGGTCTGGAAAGAATATATTGCATTTTTTCCAAAAAATAATTCTTAATAGGATCTTTTTTCAAATCAAAATATTCAACTAATTCAGCTATACTTAAAATTAATTGCATCAAATCCTTTATATCAATATCCTCCTTAAAGAAACTTTATTCTAATCCATTAAGTAAAGTATAATATTCAGAATTAAACTCTTTTTTAGCATAAAATCGAGACATTAAGGTAGATTAGTTTATTATAATTAATTATTAAACCAAAGTTAATTAAAGTTAATCAAAGTTAATTATTTAAATTAACAAAAATAGCAAGTATATCGACATTGTTTAAAATAAGTTAGATAAAAGAGTTTCTAATTAAAAAAGTTGAAAAATTATCAGAAGATCTTAAATTTATTGGTTTAATTTACAATCAAAATTGTTATATTGTTATAAACAAATAACTATATAAATATAAAATAACAACTATTAATCACAAATCAAGCATCTCTAGAGTAGGAGGTTTATAAATTTTAGTAAAGGTTCTGCTTGGAGATTTTTTATTAGGACCCTTTTTCTATTTTCTTTACTATAATTTTTCCGTTACTTACTATAATTACTTAGCATAATCATTATTTATAATCTTTTCAATATTCTCTTTCTAATACAAAAAGTCCTTTAAGAATAAATAACTATTAAATTACATTTTGTAATTATTTAATCCCTCTTGGAGTAATTGTTTGATTTTTCATAGTTTCATATTAATAATTTTGATAATAATGTTTTAGATTTTCTTAACCTGTAGGTGAATTACGTCTTGTACTTGGTGCTGAAACAATTAAGGATTGCATTGTGCAAGGTGATTACATTAAACGTTTCATCTTTTCTATAAAGTATTATTTCATTGGATTATTATTCAAATCATAATACTCAATGAATTATCTATAGATAAGAGCTAATTGAGCTATCTATTCATATTAAGTATCACCATCTTCAAATCGTTTCTCAAGTTCAAGTGCTTATTCAATTTACAAACGTGAAGGGGAAGTCATAAAATTAACAACTAATTAATTAATGTTAATGTAATTCTAAATCATAGGCAAAAATGGTGTTGGAAAAAGAACTCTGATTGAACTATTATAATAACATTTTCAGTTAGAATTAGTTACATCCAGAGCTGATGTTGCAATCTATTTATTTGACATTAGTGATCAAAACAGCTTAGAATACTTAAAAAATCGTTACAATTCAGAAATCTAAAATAAGAGTACATATTTGATTGGCAATAAACTTGATCTCATAGATCGAAGAAAAGTTTCGAGTAAAAATGCTTCATTTACATCTACAAAGGTGAAAATGCCCTTAAATTCTCTGCAAAGTATGGAATGAGCTACCATGAAATATCCTGTATCACCAAATAAAATGTTAGTCATCTCATCTATGTATCCATTTCCATTTTACTCTTAGACTCTTTAATTATAGATGTAATAAAGTGGAAATATGTCTTATAGACACTAAAAATCATCTACAATCTCTGTTCTTAAGTTTAATCGTATATCAATGAAAAACAATAATGTTTCTTAAACAGAAAGTGAAGTCTCACCCAATTCAAATAGAATAGATAATTCTTAAGTAAATAATAACTAAAAAATTAATTCTACTCATTCCTTTAGATAAAAGGAATTAAATGTTAATTAGTCTTAAATTCATATGAGAAGAGTTCAAACATATATATAAGAAGATTAAGATTCACCTTTAAGGTAAAATTTAGAGAATCAAAGTAAATCCATTCTTAATGATTCATAAAATAGTCCATCAATTAAATAAGATTAAGTAATGAGCTTTTCAAATAAGAATACAAATACATTATTATAGACTTAGCAAAAATAATAAGAAGTGAATACATATAAATTAAATTAATTTAGTAGTGATAATACTCCTAAAAATTCAAGAATCAGTAGATGGATTGAAAATGATACCAATAAGAATTAAAATTCTAATTCTTAAGTTATCTTTTAAAGATCACCTTCTAAATTACAATCTTAAATCTATACAAATAGATCAGCATTTAATGAAATGAGTAATTCTTAAGATAAATTTACAACAATATAAGATGCAATGAAAAATGGATTGGATTAATTTAAATAATTTTAAGCTGAAATTGAAGATAAATATATATATGAAATTCAGAATTACATTTAAGTAGAATGTGAAAAGATTTTTGACAGTTTTAATTAAGATTTATATTAATAAAAAGAATAAAAGTTGAAATCAGAAAATGTATAAAAAAAAAAAGATTCTATCAATATATATGAAATCTCTTAATTTATTAAATAAGAAAATGAAAACAATACTAAAATTAAAACCTTTTAAAATAATTATTTTCATCATTAAACAAAATCAACTAATTTAACAATTGAATAAAATCCTTAATCTAGTTAAGATTATATCTCTAAAATGGCTACAAATAAGTCTCTTAATTAACCTAGTAAAAATACTAATAGAAATAGTTATAGAAATAAATCTTCAAATAGTATTGAAGTATAATTGAGAGAATAAGTCAATACTTAGTTTAATAAAACTCCAGAAAGATAATTGAATTATAAATCTATCACACCAAACAAATAACTCATAAAATGTGTTGATATAAATGATAATAAGAATCAAAAATTATTTTCTGTTTAATTTAAACTCAAAACAGGCAAAACAATTAATATAGTTATGAAAAAAAATGATAATCTAATTCAAGTTGCTTAAGAAAATGCTCAGAAATACAAATTGGAACATAATGTTTATATATAATTACTTAAAATTTTAAAAGATAAATATAGAACAATTTTAGAAAATTATCATATTTGATACTTTAAATATATCTATATATAAATATTTTAAATTTTAATTATGTCTAATAGAAGTAAGTAGAATGCATCAAAAGGACCAGGTAATTCATATTGTTATAATAAGATAAGGGAGCATTTCCATTAGATCATTTTCATGAGTGTGATAATGAAGCTAAATAATATAATTAATGCATCCAAAAACATGAGAACATGCCAAAGAGATGTAGAAAATATCAAGTTGATTATTTACAATGTAGAATGAATAATGGTCTTATGGAAAAAGAAGATTTAAGTAAATTAGGTTTAGGACCAGAAGTATAGATTTATTATAATTTTTAGACATCTTGGGAATCAGAAGAACAGGAAAAATAATTTTTATTTGATAAAATTAATAGAATCAAAACAAAAGCAATGGATGAAGTAAAAAAGAAAACTGAGTAATCAAATAAATAAGAGTGATTTTATAAGAATTGCTATCAATAAGAACTCTTAATAAATAGAGTTCTCTTTATTTCAAGTTAAATGAATATCAAATCTACTTAAATACTCAATAATTATCTGATATCTTAAGTAAAAAGAAAATTTGATTATTCTGATTCTTGTAATTATAAGCAAATTCTTTTTTGTTACAGTATTCTTCTTAACTTAAATAACAGATCATACATATATTCTTTTTGTATATGAAATGAAAATAAGTATAAGTATTTTACTTATTCCCATTTCAAAAATATTAATAAATAAATTTGGCTTAAATCAGATGATCATTATAATATTCTAACTTATTGTTAATCAATTAACTAACTTTGCAATATAAAATTATATTCATTAATATTAAATTAACATTTCCGGTATAGTCTAGTGGTTAGGATATCAGGTTTTCACCCTGGGGACCCGGGTTCAATCCCCGGTATCGGAAAAATTTTTTATTTTTATATGTTTGAATAAATATTAGATTAAAAGTTTAATTAAAATTTTATTAAAATTTTATGAAGTTTTAATCGAAAAAAGGATTCAAGGATTTAATTATTAAAGACCTTTTAAAGTAGCGCCTATTTTTAATTTCCAATAAGTTTTAGCTTCGATTAATTAAAAAGGTTTTAAGATAGTATCTATTAAAAATGTTTTGAAATAATTAATTTAAGATTTCTTGAGTATGAAATAAGTAACTCACATCTTAAATGTTGGGATTAAATGAAAATTAAAAGTATATTTGGGTATTTGATATAGAGAAAAAGGTGAAAATTTTATCCATCTCATAAACTCCTGAATCTAAAAGAAAAATAACAATAATATTTTAATGTGTTAATAAAATCAAAGAAAAATTTATATTATATATATAATATATTTGAATGATAACAAATATTTATATTGGTTACACTTATTTCTAATTTTGAAAAAGTTTATTGACAAAGTAAACAATCTTGTAGATAGGTTACTTATTCTTAATGATATATTAAAAATATCTAGTGATCAAATATTAATGAAATAATATATATATAGTATAATACTAAGTTATAAATTATTAATTATTTTAATTTATATAAAAAATACAATAAGATGGCAAAATAATGGTTTACCACATTACCAAGCAACTATTTTATGAGACAATCTAGAAAGGGAGGCAGACGAGAAATCTTATTTACAACAATTGGTATATAATTAGGTTTTGAATGTTGTTAGCATTGGGATTGGCTCATTTTGGTCTTTTTGAACCTCTAAGAAATTCATATTATCAAAGAGGTGTTCTTCCAACATGGGAAAGATCAGTTGTAAATGGATAGCCATGGACTATTTGAGATAGCAATACACGATAAAATTAATAATAATACAAAATATAAAAATATTTATTGATATTTTTCTCTCTTGATCATGGCCCCCACCAGTTTTATTGCAAATAAAATAAAATAAATTATTTTATGGCTTCCTTATCAAGTGAAAGCAATACCAAGGATAGTGAAACCTTAAAAGAATTATTGAAATAGAGACCCAGAATCTAAAAAAAATAACAATAAACCAAAATTAACAAATCCAATTCAAATCCTATTTGGAATCCAGAAGATTTAAAGAAATTAGAAAAATGTGTTTCTATTTTAGGAACTGATTTCGATTTAATATAGTTATTATTTAAGAATCGAACTAGAAAATAAATTATGGTTTGTATTTTTTCAATTGATTTTAAAACTATAGAATAAATACAAAAAGGCTAAAATACAATATGATCGTAAACATAAAGAAAAATTTTTAAGAATTAAAGAAGCACTCAATAAAGAATAGGAAGTCTAGAGGCATCGTTTAGGAAGCATAGATTCAATTGATTTAGTAATAAAAATGTACATAATATTAGAATATTGCATTAGATATTCATGAACTTAGCACAAAAAAGGAGTGATAATATTATATTAATAATAAATTAAATAATATAATAATGAAAGGAGCACACAAACAATTTGCAAAGACTATGGAAACAAGTCTTGGTGAAAATAGAGTTAAATAATAGTAAAGGTCTTTATAAGAGGGTCATTAAGAAATTATAAAGAACCTAATGTCTACAATAATAGGAAAACCTACAATCGTAGAAGCTTAAAGAGTTTTAAGAGTTTTAGATTAGCTTATCTAAAATTTAGAATATTGTTTATATTTGGATACTGAATTTATTGGACGCTTTTAAACTGGAAAATTTTTAAAAGATGCAAAGTAACCGCTAACAGAAGAAACTATGAAACTTTTGTAATCGTAAGCTGAAATAGAACAGAAATATAGACCTTATGCAAATTTAGACACAGCATTAAATCAAGGGGAAGAAATAGATGAGACAAAGAAAATGGAATCAGAGAGATTAGAAAATTTATTATAAGAAAATTTCAAGAATTTATTAAGAAGACTATAACATTGTCCTAAAGATTATGATATTATTAAAGGAATGAAAACAAATATCAATACAGAAATGAGTGATTTATTACATTGTGTAAAGTGTATTAAAATAGTTATGTTGAAAAAATTAAGTACAGCTTAAGAAGAATAGAATAGTCATGTTAAATAATTAGAAGATTTAAAGTCTAAAGTAAATATATATTATTATATAATATAGATAGCAGGATAAGAGAAGACTAAAAGTTAATTAGAACAAGAATTACAAAAAATTAGATAGGAAAGAACTGCAAATATGAATAAGATGAAAGAAGAAATAGAGAAATTGAAATAATCTATTGCAGAAGTTAAAGCTAATAAATAAAAGAGATAAGATTAATTGGCTAAAGAAATTTAGAATAAGTATGAAGGATTAGAAAAAGATCATAAAACAAAAGAAGATAAATTATAAGCAGAACTATAAGCTTAGAGAGCTCGTTTTATAAAAATGAAAGATGAGAATACATAAGAAGAGGCAACTTTGAAAAGGCGTAAATAAGTTCAAGATTAATCATTATCTGAAGCAATATAAATATATGATCAGATGATGGAGGAATATATGAAAAATTTAACTGATTTATAAAGTGAATGTGCTTCAATAGAGAAATAATTGAAAGACAGGTAGGAGTATTTCAAAGCAGTTGATTCAGAAAAAGGAAGAGAAAGATAGTTGGAAGAGGAATTCAGAAGATTAAAAGAACTACATTAAATAGAATTAGAAAAGAAATCAGAAGCAGCTAAACATATTTAAGCATTCTTATAATAAGTCAAAAGTATGAATTAAATAAAATATTTATAGAACCATCAAAGAAACCAAAGAAAGCACCTAAAAAATGAATGTTAATTTTATATATTAAATAATTTTCATTTTTAATTTATATACAATCATGTTAATAGTTTACATTTTGTACAAAAATAGATTGCATATTAATAATCGTTTGGTGTGATAAAAAGTTCAAAATTATACAATTATTTGCATTTGCTACATGTAAGTGAATTTAGAAATCTTATACCTTCATTACAAATTTTTATTTCTTGATCTTGTATTTTAATTTTATTCACTCTTTTTTCACAATAACATCCACAATATAAGCATTCTAAATTACCTTAGACACATTTCAATTTACATTATTCACATTTTTCTGGAATTTTTCCTATTTTTACTTCCTAGTTATAGAAACATTTAAATTATTTTCTACAACAAATGCAAATTAAATGAATTGGTTCTTCATCTTCTAAACAATTATTACAAACACATGAATTTTCTTTAAAATAGTCCTCATATGTCAAATCTTTAAATTCTCCACAAATTTAACATATAACACTTATGGAATCTTGTGGATCCCTTTTCCAAACTAATATATTACTTGAGTCTTCTTAATTATCTGGAATAAATTATTATTACTATTAAGAATATGAATATCTCTTCAAATTAAGTTGTTTACAAATTTCATGACATTTAGAATGTTATTATTCAAAAAAGTAAATAAGTCCTTCTTATTAAAAATTTGAATCATCATTAAGAATTTCTCGAATTTTTTAATCAATTGTATGAATAGTTGGATCAGATAAAATATTATTTTTACCTTATAAATCCGTGATAATAAGTTTTCCTTCAGTTGCCACATAAGAATAATGAGAGAAGGCGGTGTAATAATATTCATCTTGATCAACAAATTTAGCATTATTAGTATATTTTTTCCATTCCTAAAAATTTGGTAGATTTATATAAGTTTCTGCAAAAATTTAATTAACACCCATGAATGGTTCTTCTAGTTCATAAATAATTGGGGAAACATAAAAAATTGGAGGTGCTCCTTTGATGGATAATGTTTTTAATCTAAAACCCTCTGCTAATTATTAAGCTATTAGTAAAGAAGTATATCTGATTTTTATGAATTGTTGATAAGATTTTAAGTTCTCTTATGATATGGTTTGTTTTTGATTATATTCATTTACAATGTATTTTGGTAATTTTAAAACCAAATTTCTATTTAGAACTATATCGAATAATTTATAAATTACACATTCTGCCCCTTTGTCTTTTTCTTCCAATATTTCTTAATATTTATTAATAATCAATAAAGTATCTCCTTCAATTTTATTATTTTTTTCCTATTCTAAGAAATTTTACCAGTAATCTATATTATTATCCCTTAATAATGAATTATTAATTTCTAATGGTTTATATTTACTAAATTTAGCCTTTATTTTAATAGTTTTCTTAGTTTTGGATGTTTTAGCTTCAGATTATTTTAAGGATGTTCTAAGTGAAAATAGAACTGATTCGTGAAAACTATCTGGAGTTGTTTTAGTAATAATTAAACTAGGAAAAGCAGATTTCATTTTATTAAACATCAAATTTGTATTTTCTGTAAGTTTAAGACAAGTAAAGAAATTATTTACTTTTAATTCGAAATACTTTTTCATGATATTCTCCAAATCTCCTTCCTATACTTTATCAAAATGATCATCTTTTAGATTTTCATGATAAGGACCATGAGAAGGACTATCACAAATTAAAAATGTGCATAACACACTATCTTCATCTTTACTGATATTGAGTCTGATTCCTTTTACTAATGCTCCAATAACATTTTCTGGATCATCTCCTCCTCCTTTTGCTTACAATTTTTTTAGAAACTCTAAGGTAACCTTAGGTTCAGTTGTGAATTCACGATATAATAGATTATCTTCATCATCATAATCTCTATATGCTACTATGGCTGTTCTTACTATATGTTTTTTTTTATCTAGTTATGTCTAAAATTCATGGATAATTTAACAAATATTTTCTTTAGCTGATTTCAACCATCTTTACATACTTCCAGTGTTATCAATAATAAATAGAACATCTATTACTTATGCTTTTAAAACTATTTTTTTCATTCGGTTATATTAAATTTTTTCAAAGTATTAATTTACAATTTCTTGATTCATCATTTTTGATGATTAATCTATCAATTATGTGGATTAATCATAAATACATTATCTTCTTCTTGTATCTTTAATATCCTTAAAATTACTATTTTTTAAACATTCCCATTCTATATGATTGTTTTAACAACTAGTTTAAAATTGGCATAGACCTGATAAATATTATAAACATATATCATTTGGCAATTTATGATTTTTACCATTTTCTATTTCTTCAGGATTTAAATCAAATATATTAAATTCTTAATATGCTTCCTTTTTAATTTCTTACCAAATTAAATGTTTCAATTAGCATTCTTATTTATTCTTACATTCATCTATTAAATCTTCAATACAAATGTTTTCAGCCCATTTTCGATGTAAAAATCTACAATCTTGTTTACCCTAACATAAATTCTATTTTTTGCAAAGGTTAAAACTATATACCCCATTAATTTTTCCTGATTACAAATAAGCTTTACATTCCTTATTTGAAAAATGCAATAAAGAATCATTACAATCATCTTACTTTTTTTGCAAATGCTAAATGCAAAGTCCTGCAAAACATCTAGGATGCAATAAATTACAAACTTCATTCTTGCATTGAATGTTATCTATACAAAGTTCATTTATTTTTGATAAGTAAATCATCTTAATAGGTGTTTTTATTTTGATATAAAAATATGAAATCTTATCAAATAAAAAATACTAATATCATAGATTTATAATAACACATAATAATTAAATCAAATCAAATCCTGAGCTTTTATTCATATAATTATCTATTCTATTAAAGTTTATTAAGTCTCTCTCTCACTTCACTCAAACTATCGTTTTTAATAAGTGAATTCTCTTTCGAAAATTCTAGTTTTTTCTTAGGACTTGGAGTATCTGATTCAAAATTTTCAGATGATTTTAAAATCTTTTTCATATACTTCGCATGTTTATGAGCTGATTCTAATAATTCCTGTATAGTTTTGCCATTGGGACTCTCTTATTTTTGTTTCTTTGGAATATTCAAATTTTATTATGATAACTAATTTTAACATTATGAAGTTTTCATTTGAGAAGATAGACTTTATCTACTGTCTTTAAGAGTGCCAATATTACCTAATTGAGACTTTAATTTTATAATTTCAGCATCCTTTTCTCTAAGTTTACTTTATAATTAGTTATTTAAATCAGTTAATTCTTTATTTAATCCTATAATTGTTTATACCTCTAAAGCTTAAGGTTTTTATAAATCTGAATATACACTCGTACGTAATAAACTTAATTCTTACATTAATTTTGCATTTTAAGTTTATAAAGATTCAATTCTATGATTAGCAATAGTTAAGCCTTCTGATAATTTTTAATGTTATTAGAATGAATTACTTGTTTGTGAAGCTAAAGTTTTATTTTAAGATTATAAATTTCCTATTTCAAATTCATATTACTAGATCAAAACACCTCTTTATTGAAATGATTCCCTTTCTTTACTGTATTATTCTACCAATTATTCATTCACTTATTATTCATAATTTAATTATTCAGTTAATTCACTTAATTAATTCTTAAATTGATTTAGTTATGAAGTTTCATCATCCTAATATTATTTAAGTGAATCTTTAAAGTTTTATAATTAATTAGTTAAACCATCAATTTCTTCATTTTTAACCTTCAATTAATTTTCTAAATTATCAATGTAATCTTCATATTTTTCTAATTTAGAAATAGCATCCTTTTAAAAAGTTTAATGTCTCTAACATTATTATTTAAGATCTTTAATTTGACTTTCTTGATTTGCAATTGTACTTGAATAATTCTCAATTTAAACTTATAAATTATCAATATCCTCACTTTTGACATCTAAGTGTTTTCTCAAATCAATATTACATTATTCTAATTCCACAAATTTAGACTTTAATTCTCTATTTATTTTTTCTAAAGCACTTCTTTCATCACTTTCAATCTATAAAGTCTTAGCCAAATATTCTTTTTCTGTAGTAACAGGTTAAGGTGGTCTAGATATAGCAATAGCATAATTTATTCCAACACCAAAATGTTAGATATTCTTTAACACTTTAACTGCCTCTGTTCTAGTTTATGTATCTCCTACTCCTAATTCTCCATTTACATTACTACCCCATGAATATAACTATCCTTAAGTATCTACACCTAATCCAAGAGTTCCATTTAATTTGACATCAACAATATCATTTAAAAATAATGTAGGTTTAGAAAATGTTCCAAAACAACCTGATCCCCAAATATATAGATTTCCACAACTTATTGCAGCTGAATGATTTCCTGCAGCAATTTAATCTACTTTTGGAATATCAACTAATATTGGTTTAAAGGAATTCTTAACTCCTTAGATACCTAATTATCCTAAATTATTAGATCCACAAGCTAATAATTATTAATTAATTTTTATTAATGAATGTGATACACCACATGCTACAGTCAAAACATTATCCATAACATGAGTGACTTCATTTATTCTTTTAGTGTTTTAAATACCACATTATCCTGAATCATTAGCACCTATTGCATATAATTGATTTTTGTTATTTATCATCATAGTATGTCTAGCACCACATTTTACAAATCTTATTGATTATCCTATTTATTTTGGTTATGTGATATCATTCAAAACTTTTCCCCAAACAAAAGCATTATTGTTAATATTTAAAGAAATATTATGATTCCAACCACAATCCATATCAATAATATTTGATTATATTAATTAAGGTGTTAATGATCTCTCAGAATAATCATCACTTCCTATTCCTAATACACCATAATTATTTGTTCCTAATGCATATAATTAATTAGTATTAGATAGAAATAACATATGTTCTTCTCCACATGATACTTTGGTTATTTGGAAATTTATGATTATTTGTTTAGGTGTAGTGGTTTCTTCTTATTAAGGTGCAGTTCCCCAAATATAAACTGACATTTTAATCGTTAAATATTCAAAATTATTAAATATTAAATATTAACTTAATAATATTCAAGTTTTCTAAGAATACTTTATTTCTATAATCAGAACTTATTATGGATCTTGATTTATTAATATGATCCAAAATTATAATGAAAATAATTAATAAAGTAAAAAATAACAATTAGAATATTCAATTCATAATAAATTTATTGCAAATTTAACGAATGTTTTCTTTTACATCAGAACTTTCAAGATCATCATTTGTATCTGGTAAATTACTTATTTTTTTATTTAAATCTTTCAAATCTTAAATTGCTTCATTCATCAAAGTTTCTTATTTTTCATTTTTAACTAAAATTGTTCTGCTACTTTATAAATTATTTTTTCCAATTTACAAAGATTAAAGTAGTGTATAAATAACTTTCATTTACATAGTTATTATTTCATGAAGTTCACTCATTCTTGTAGAATTATTGAGTTTTTTTACTATCATATCTGTTAATATATCACAATTATATATAATTGTTTATACAGATTAGCTACGTTTTGTATTTTGCAATAACCATTTTAAAGCATCTTATAGTTTTTAATCATTTTTCACTAATAATTCAGTTCTTCGAGTATCTGTTTTTATTTAATTCAATATTACTTTATATATAAGATCTAAATATTTATTTTTTAATAGTTCATTTTAATTTAAAGTTTAAGTAATGTAATATTTTATTTGATCTTTAATAGATGTATTTTCCCTGTAGCTAAATTCTTCTTAAAATAATTCTAAAATTTCAAATAAATCTTAATTTGAAATATTATTATTTTATTCTTACTCTTAAAATTCATTAATTAATTGTTGAAATTATTCTACTTCTTAAAATACTTTCTAAAAGCTTGTCTTCATTTCATTATACTCTTATAAATCTATAGATAACTATGTAGATTATTTATTTAAAGTTTAGGTGGATTGTAAACTTGAGTAATTAGATGATTTTGTCTATTTCTTTTGTAATTTTTAATTACTTACACAAGATTAATTTTCTTTATTTTCATCTTGAATATTTTCTTAGATTGCTACTTTTTTAATAGCTTTTTCAATAATTTATATATTATCCAAAGCAATTTATGATTTCTATAGTAGTTCTTGCTCTGTTTATATTACTAATTCAGATAAAGATTTGATTTCTTATTATTAAATTTCAATAAAATCATTTGCTTATTGGTTTAGTTTAATTAATTCTTCAATATCTTTTTAATCACAACATTCTAAATTGTGCTTTAATTATTTAATTAATTCTTATTGAATCTTGTTTTTTTCTCTTAAAACCCAGACCTCTTCTGATAATTAAATAATTTATGATTCTAAATCTTAATTAGATTTAATAAAATTTTCAATTTAAGAAGTTTAAATTCTTTAATTTAATTAGTTATTTGCTTTAAAAATGACTTATTCAATAAACTAAACAAATTCTTATTAAATGCTTAAATTATTCTGTAAATCAAAATCAGAAAAATTTATTTCAATTGTTTAGATTTCTTAATATCTTTTTGGAGTAGGTATTGTTTACATTTTTGAAACTCTAGATGATTGGATTTTTGTTTCCTAAAGAAATTTATCAGCTTCTTCTAAACCTTTGAAATTAAAATTAGATGCCAATGATAAATCTAATTTAAAGTTATTACAAGGAGCTTGATTCATATTTTATTATTATTATTATTATTGAGGGATCTTTGTGGATTAATTTATAAGATTTTATCTATTTTCTTTATTGTTTATTTTTTCTTTTAACAAGTCTTATATATCGCGTTTTAGATTTTCATTCTCTTATATTATTTATTCATGTTATTTAAGCTTAGTTTTTAATTTTTTATGAGCCTTTGTTTTAGTTTCTAATTTAAGTTTTAGATCTGCATTTTCCTATTTTAATTATTCAATCAATAAATCAGACTTATTAAATTAAAATGTAGAATATTGTTATTGATTATGATGAAATGGTTGAACTGATGCTAATTATTATTCTAAAAATTAATTTTATTCTTTGACCTTTGTTAATTCTTCAGCAGACTTTTGTAATAAATATTCATAATCCTGTAATAAATTGACATCTTAACTAAATGAATAAGCTGAATCACTTTTGCAACTACCACTTTTTTTATATTTTTAAACCGACATGTAATCTGTTAATTAAAATTAAATAGTGTGTGGTATATATTATATAATCATTCTTTTGAAATTAATCTTCCTTTATCCCAAATTCCAACAATTTCTTTTCCATCCAATTCTGTAAGCACACCAATTCCATGTTGTTTACCTTAAATCCAAGTACCCTTTAAAGTTTTACCATCTGAAAAATAAAATATGCCTTATCCATCTTTTTTATCTTCTTTATAATCTCCAACATATCTATTCCCATTTGGCCATTTAAATGTGCCTTTACCATGCATTTAATTCTTCAACCACTCACCAGTATATTCTTGACCATCTGGCCATTTATATGTTCCAAAACCTTAAATCTAATCTTTAACATAAGTTCCTTCATAACTATTACCATTGATCCATGTATATCTACCTCTTCCATTTTTCATACCATTAAGATATTACCCTTAATATTAATCACCTGATATCCAATATTCAATAGCATAACCATTCTTTTCATTATCTTTCCATTCTCCTTCATAATAATTACCCTCACTATCTACAAACTTTCCAAATCCAAATTATAAATCATTCATCCAATTACCTTCCTGTAAATTTACAAAACCTAAATATTACATAATATGATCCATCTGGTTATATCAGTCTCCCAAATCCATTAGCTTAATTATTTTACCAATATCCTTCATAATATGTACCATCTGGCCAAAATTAACGTCCTCTACCTTATTTTTATCTATTATTCCATTATCCAACATATATTATGCCAGTATTTATAAATTTCTATAATACTTGGTACAAATTTACTTGTGGAGATAATGATATAGAATCAATAAATTTTGTATCATTATCAAGATCATATTAGAAAGGTTATAAAGTATTTAAGATATTAAGAACTTTAATATTTGAGATTTTTGGTTCTGAAACTTAAACAATTGTATCTTATTCATCTTCATTTTAATTTTGATTTTTATTATTTTCTTAATTTAAGTTATGATATTTCATAGGCTCAACTTTTGGAAGATCACTTTTACTATGAATTGATCTTTCATTGATTTCAGATCTAGGAGATGTAAACTAAATTAGATATTTTAGATACTTCACTAAAATATATTTATTTAGATGTATTTTCTTTGACTTAAATCAAGTTGGTCTATTTGGGTGGTTGCTGATATTCTTGAAGTTGGTTTTAATTTCTTTAAGAAGGCTCAACACTTGCATTTTAGGTTTTTATAGATTAATTTTGAATTTATGGTTATAATCTTTAAGAAGTTTGTTGCTTTTTGACACAAACTGTGCCCATTTCAATTTTTAATTTATATATTTATATAGTATATTAACTAAATCTCATCTTATATATTGGTTTTCGTCCTTAGCATAACTTTATTACATTCTTGATTAATTCATTCTAGATTATTGCATAATAGCTAAAATTTAATAAGAATACTTTACATTAATTTTTGCATGATTTATCTAATCTAGTCATCTCTTGAACTTATTGACTTTCTAATTCTTTTCTAACATTTTGATATTTTTATAATAATCTAATTAAATTATATACAAATTAATTACTTTTCTAATTCTTAAGATCTAATTTTTCTTTATTCTTCTTATCCACTTAAAATTCTTTATGTAAGTGCATTCAATTCATTAATCTATTTTTATCTAAGTTAACTTATTAAATTCCTTATTTTTTATTATCTACCTACTGTCCATTTCTCTAATTCATCTCTCTCTGAAGCTAAGATTTTTTATTAGATTAAATGGGCTTCCATATAACTATATAATTTATTTAATTTCTATACTTTTCTTATTTGGCTAATTGTTCTTCTGTTTTTCTTAAAGCCAATAACTCAGCTGAGTCTTTTGGTTTTACAGGAATAGAATTTTCAAGTTCTTCTGAAAATTATCTTAACTCATCCTCATGTCTTTAAAGTGTTTATTCTTTAACTTTTTGAGCTTCTGAATCAAATTCCATCATTTTCTAATCCCAAAATGTATTGAATTGATTGAATTCATCGCAATGAGCTTTTTCTATTTCCTACTTCTCAGAACAATGTCTATCTTTGACATCTCCTTTATTTTTAGAATCAAGTTCTTTCTTAAGTTCAGCCAGTCTCTTTTTTGCTTGATCAGCCTCAAGATATTTTCCAGCCTTTTCACAACTCTTTTAATGATCATATAAGATTTAGCTAACATCAAATTAATTGAATTACATATATTCTTCTAAGTCTCCCTATTAGGCTGGTAGCGTATTAGTATTCTTTCTTGATGAAGTAGGTCTTTAAAATGAACTCATTGTAACAGAAAATAAATATTGTTAAATTTTAATAATGACGTTAAAAAATTAATTCTTGCTTAAAATTCTACATAAATTAATTATTGGTAACATAATATAATATAGTTTTCTTCTTTCTCTATTCTAATTAGATACTTTTTATTATTATTCTAACTCAATAATATTGTGAGTAGTGCTATTAGATCTAAGATGTATGGAAAAAGTTCAGAAATTCTGAAAACATCAAAAAATCTAATCCACAAAACTATGCAAAACAAATTATTTTTAGATATTATATTATCAATATCTTAAACTAAATAAAAGAATCCATTTTTATTTAACAATTAATTTATCTTATATCTAATTATTCTACTTAAAACCTTAATGAAAATATCTAAAAACATTATATTTATTAATTATTAAGTAAATTTATTGCTAAGTTTTCTATCCTTTACTTATGATGTGATTTTTTATATTGTTTAATAGATTAAATTAATTTAAAACCTTAATTCCCAAATTCTTATATTAATAAAAATTCATTTCCAATATTTGTTTAAGAATTTATTCTATTATAAAATCTTTCTTTTA